CAGGTCCTTGTGTGCACGGCCACTCTTGCCTGGGGGGTCAACTTGCCTGCTCACACAGTCATCATTAAGGGCACTTCGGTTTACTCTCCGGAGAAAGGCAGCTGGGTCGAGCTTAGCCCGCAAGACGTGTTGCAAATGCTCGGTCGTGCCGGCCGGCCGCAATTCGATACATACGGCGAGGGCATCATCATCACAACTCAAAACGAGATCCAGTATTACCTCTCTCTTCTAAACCAGCAGCTACCGATTGAGAGTCAGTTCGTCAGCCGGCTTGTTGATAATCTGAACGCCGAGATAGTGCTTGGCAATGTCAGGAGTAGAGATGAGGGTGTGGAATGGCTTGGCTACACGTACTTGTTCGTGCGCATGCTACGGTCACCCGGCCTATACCAAGTCGGTGCAGAGTACGAAGACGATGAAGCTCTTGAACAGAAGCGGGTCGATCTCGTTCACTCCGCTGCATCAGTGCTCAGAAAGTCAAATCTCGTCAAGTATGATGAGAAGACTGGCAAGCTTCAATCAACGGAGCTTGGCCGTATTGCGTCACACTACTACATCACTCATGGTTCTATGGAGACCTACAACAACCTCATTCAGCCCTCGATCACCACCATTGAGCTTTTCAGAGTCTTCTCTCTCAGCGCAGAGTTCAAGTACATCCCTGTGCGCCAGGACGAGAAACTCGAGCTCGCGAAGCTCTTGGGCAGAGTCCCCATCCCAGTCAAGGAGAGCATCGAAGAACCACACGCCAAGATCAACGTACTCCTCCAAGCTTATATCTCGCGACTCAAGCTGGATGGCCTTGCTCTTATGGCCGATATGGTGTACGTCACGCAATCCGCTGGCCGTATTCTTCGCGCCATCTTCGAAATAACCATGAAGAAGGGCTGGGCATCCGTGGCCAAGACTGCTCTGGATCTCTGCAAGATGGCTGAGAAGCGCATGTGGCCGACTATGTCACCACTACGTCAGTTTCCCGGCTGCCCCAGAGACATTGTGCAGAAGGCGGAGAGGATCGAAGTGTCCTGGAGCAATTACTTCGATCTCGATCCTCCTCGCATGGGAGAGCTGCTTGGTATGCCCAAGGCCGGCAGGACTGTCTGCAGTCTGGTGACCAAGTTTCCCAGAGTCGAGGTTCAGGCTCAAGTCCAGCCGTTGACCAGGTCCATGCTTCGAGTTGAACTAAGCATCTCCCCTAATTTCGAGTGGGACGTTGAGGTCCACGGTCCCGCGGAGAGTTTCTGGATCTTTGTCGAGGACTGCGACGGGGAAGATATTCTTTTCAGTGATCAGTTCCTGCTGCGCAAGGAGTACGCCGAGTCCGAGTCAAACGAGCATATTGTCGACTTCACCGTGCCAATCACGGAGCCAATGCCCCCTAACTACTTCATCTCCGTCATCTCGGACCGCTGGATGCATTCTGAGACGAGGTTGCCGGTGTCTTTCCACAAGCTTATACTGCCCGAGAGGTTTCCACCTCACACGGAACTCCTCGAGCTTCAGCCGCTACCCGTTGCGGCTTTGAAGGCCAAGGAATACACGAAGCTGTACCCTAATTGGGATCACTTCAACCGTATCCAAACACAGACTTTCAATTCCCTATACAATACCGACCAAAACGTGTTCGTGGGTGCGCCGACCGGCAGTGGCAAAACTGTGTGCGCTGAGTTCGCTCTGTTGCGCCATTGGGCCAAGGTAGACGCTGGTCGCGCTGTTTATATCGCCCCATTCCAAGAGCTTGTCGACCTTAGACTCGATGATTGGCAGAAGAGACTCAGTGGTCTACGCGGCGGCAAGACAATCGAGAAGCTCACAGGAGAGACCACCACGGATTTGAAGATTCTGGAGCGCAGCGACTTAGTCCTTGCAACGCCCATTCAGTGGGATGTGCTTTCCCGCCAGTGGAAGCGCCGCAAGAACGTCTCGACTGTGGAGCTTTTCATCGCGGACGAGGTCCATCTCTTGGGCAATCAAATGGGTTACGTCTATGAAATCATCGTTTCAAGGATGCACTATATCAGGACTCAGACCGAACTCCCGATGAGAATCATTGCTCTCGGCGTTTCTCTTGCGAATGCTCGCGACCTTGGAGAGTGGATCGATGCGAAGAAGCATGACATCTACAACTTTAGCCCCCACGTTCGCCCCGTCCCTCTCGAACTTCATATCCAGTCATACACCAACCCTCACTTCCCCTCATTAATGCTTTCCATGGCGAAGCCCACCTACCTGGCTATCACCCAGATGTCTGCAGACAAGCCAGCCATTGTGTTCGTGCCGAGTCGAAAGCAAACCCGAGCCACGACCCGCGACCTCCTGACCGCCGCCTTTATGGACGACGACGAGGATCGCTTCCTGCACGCCGAGGTTGAGCAGATGCGCCCTCTTCTTAACCGCGTCAACGAGGAAGCTCTAGCCGAGGCCCTTTCTCACGGTGTCGGATACTATCATGAGGCTCTGAGCCAGAGTGACAAGCGCATCGTCAAACACTTGTACGAGCACGGCGCCATTCAAGTTCTGGTCGCTTCTCGTGATGTTTGCTGGGAATTGAACAGTACCGCCCATCTTGTTGTTGTCATGGGTACGCAGTATTTCGAAGGCCGAGAGCACCGTTACATCGATTATTCTTTGAGCGAGATCTTGCACATGTTCGGCAAGGCTCTGCGCGCCTCGAAGGATGGCAGAGGCAGAGGTGTTCTCATGCTCCCAGCAGCAAAGAGAGACTTCTACAAGAAGTTCCTGAACGAAGCCCTTCCTGTCGAGTCTCATCTACACAACTACCTCCACGATGCCTTTGTGACCGAGATCAGCACCAAAATGATCGAGTCAGGAGATGACGCCATAAACTGGACGACATTCACCTACTTTTACAGACGTCTTCTCGCGAATCCCAGCTTCTACAGCCTTACCAGCACCACACAAGACGGCCTCAGCGATTACATGTCCGATTTGATCCAGACGACCCTACAGGAGCTGAGTGACTCAAAGATCATTGAGCTTGATGAGGATGACGGCTCAGTGGCGCCGCAGAATGCAGCGATGATTGCTGCCTACTACAACATCTCCTACATTACGATGCAGACCTTCCTTCTGTCTCTCAGTGCCAAGACAAAGCTCAAGGGCGTCCTTGAAATCATCACATCGGCTACCGAATTCGAGGCCATACAGATCAGGAGGCACGAGGAGGGTATCCTCCGCCGCATCTACGACCGCATTCCTGTCAAGATGGCTGAGCCCGTATACGACTCGGCGCATTTCAAGGCCTTTGTTCTTCTCCAAGCACACTTCTCCAGGATGCAGCTGCCAATTGACCTGGCCAAAGACCAAGAGGTGATCATCTCCAAGGTCCTCAGTCTCCTGAGCGCTACGGTCGACATCCTCTCTTCCGACGGTCACCTCAATGCCATGAACGCGATGGAAATGTCACAGATGGTTGTGCAGGCGATGTGGGACCGCGACAGCCCCTTGAAGCAGATCCCTCACTTCACGCCCGAGGTTGTGAAGGCGGCTAATGAGTTCGGGTATGTACCATCGACATCGTTGATTCCATATATAGCTAACCTCGATCTCTTTCACAGCGTCAAGGACATTTTCGATTTCATGGAGGCCATGAACCCCGATGAGAACCCAGACTACGCCAAGCTTGTCAAACGTCTCGGTCTCTCGCAAAAGCAACTGGGGGAGGCCGCCGCCTTTACCAATGACAAATATCCCGATATTGAGCTCGAGCACAGCATCCTTGACGAGGAGGAGATTCGGGCTAACGAACCGGCATATGTCAGTGTGCAGATTCAACGGCAGGTGGACGAGGACGACGAGTTTGACCCGACTGTGCACGCGCCGTTCTACCCTGCCAAGAAATTGGAGAACTGGTGGCTTGTGGTCGGCGAGGAGACGACAAAGAACTTGCTCGCCATCAAGCGCGTCACAATCGGACGCGAGCTCAAAGTCAAGTTGGAATTCACAGTACCAACGGCTGGTAAGCACGACCTGAAGCTGTTCCTAATGAGCGACAGCTACGTTGGAGTAGACCAAGAACGCGAGTTTTCCATCACAGCCGCGGAGGGCATGGACATGGACGACAGCGACGAAGAAGAAGACGAGTAATAGACGGCTCGAAAGATAGCAGAGCCATCCCGTCCGTACGATATCTCAATGTGTACTATATGGATCGAGAGAGGAGTTGGAGGATAATAGACAAATATTTGGTCAGAGTCGGTTCTTCTTCCCGATGCTCGATACTTACAGGCGACTCTTCTCCTCTTTCGGCAGGGTTGAGTGGCCTGAGGTCTGGTTGTGCAGACTGTGTACGGTGTGACAGTAGTTTCGGAGGGTGGTGCTTGAGTGGCCAAAGATGACATAGGATTCAGAGTGGGGGGGGACACTTTTGTTGGACCGTGGCCTTCGAGAAAGCGAGGCACAACCAGTACGTCATACTATTATGAAGACAAAAAAAAAGTGGAAGGCGAGGTTTCTGTAGGGCGGTTCGTCTCTTCCAGGGGTACTGAAAAGGGCATGGGCTGTGATATAGAAGGATGGAGGTGGCTGTGTTAAGCAAGCAATGAGAGGATATTCGGCTCGGTGGGCTGGGCATTGACCGGGTCACGTCCCACGTCTAGCACACTCCTCTCCCACAGCGCAAGCACTGAGACTGATAGCACCCGTGGACGCGATTTAACTGCCTTGTGGATCAGCACGGTCACGTGTCCTGCCGCCGTCATCCGCGTCGAACTCCAAGATTCTGCGTTCATCTTTTCCCATCGTCCCTTTCTGCCACCACAACACGGGGAGCTCCCAATTGCGCCTATCATCCTCCTTTCCGCCTGGACATCTCCTATCATCGTCGCGACAACCAAAAATCACGAACCGCGCGTATCAGAACGCGTCGTCCTTCCTGTAGTTCATCGCATTAAGCCTTTGGCGTCGCGACTTGCCAATTTACCCCATCCATACCCTTGCTCCCTATCAGCTCCTACCGAGCTATTGCTCCATCAACTGCAATGTCTGACGAGCTGACCACCAGCGGTCAATCCGCGCCTGCCACGAAGGAGGAGGTCGAGAAGAAGGTTCAGGGAACCTCGTCTACCGCCAACGCGAAAACATCCGAGTCCGACGCAGCTGCTGAGGGCAACACCGAGGAGGCGCAGGAGGAGGGCGCCAAAAAGACAAACTGTAACCAATCCCTACGCGTCATCTTCACCTCGTTATCAACACTATCATCGCGCAATCGATTCTTTTTACTGACGCAGTGTTGAATAACAGCTGACACCAAAGACGCTGAATCATCCGGTAAGACGGATGAGCCATCCAAGGACGAAGATGCGGATGTCGATATGAAGGATACCACCAATGCATCTGAGGCTAAGGACGCTTCCGAGAACGCCGCTGCTGATGCTGACGCCGCCGATGCGACAGCCGATAAGTCCAAGTCGCGTCGCAGGTCGTCTGGTATTTCAGAGCATAAAGGAAAGAAGCTCAACAAGAAGGCTTCCAAGGCCAAGTTCTTCCACACCAATGCGCAGCCTGGGGACCACTTCCTTGTCAAGCTCAAGGGGTATCCTCAATGGCCCGTCATTATCTGCGATGAGGAGATGCTGCCTGAGACCTTGCTCAAGAGTCGCCCCGTCACAGCAAAGCGTGCTGATGGCACATATCGTGAGGACTATGCCGATGGTGGCAAGCGACAGAACGACCGCACGTTCCCTGTCATGTACCTTCGCACGAATGAATTGTATGTCGAATTGCCCCAGCTAGCATTTGTATGTCTACGAGGATCAACAGCTAACCTACAATTTTCCAGTGGCTGGGTACCAAACTCTGCGCTTCAGGAGCTATCCTCTGAAAAGGCTACCGAGCTTCTTACCGACAAGGTGAAGAAGGTTGAACTGCGTGACGCCTTTGAACTTGCCATTGAACAGCACCCACTCGACCATTACAAGGGCGAACTGCAGAAGTACCAAGACGAGCTTGCTCAGAAGCAGGCTGCCAAGGATGCCAGAGAAGCTGCAAAGAAGAACAAGAAGAAGGCTCCTGCGGTCATTGATGATGAGGATGTTGACATGGCTGATGCTGCTGACGAAGACGTCGCTGAGCCCAAAGAGAAAACTAAGACTAAGAAGCGTAAGGCTGATGAAGAAGCTGTCAGCGTTAGTGTGCAAGCCCCAGACAAACTTGAACAACTGCTGACATCCTCTTCAGACTCCGGCACGGACTGACTCCGCCAAGAAGCCAAAGATCAAGCTGAACACATCCTCCACTCCCAAGACAACGAACGGCACAGCGACACCGAAGTCTGGCAAGGAATCGGCTGCAAAGCCGCCAAAGCCCAAATCGGCAAAGAAGGACAGCGTTGAGAAAAAGGCAGAAAAGGTGGCTCCCAAGGAGCCTGAGCTCACCGCTGAAGAGAAGCACCATCGCAAAGAGGTAAGTCAAGATCCCGTATGCTCTTTGTTCAATGCTGACAGCCTCTACAGAAAGAGGTTCTTTTCCTGCGCCACAAGCTCCAGAAGGGTCTCCTGACAAGAGATCAAGAGCCTAAGGAGGAAGAGATGAAGTTGATGTCGGAATACATCACCAAACTCGAGAGCTTCGCAGACCTCGAGGTCTCGATCATTCGCGCAACCAAGATCAACAAGGTCCTCAAGGCCATCTTGAAGCTTGACACGATTCCGAAGGAAGAAGAGTTCAACTTCAAGAGCCGGTCGCAGACGCTACTGGATAAGTGGACCGAGATATTGGCCGGAGGCAATGCTGCGGCAGCATCTGTAACCCCTGCCCCCACCAATGGTGTCAATGGCACCAAGAGTGAGGAGAAGAAGGACACGCCTGCTGCCTCGGAGGGTTCAAAGGAGACGAGCAAGGGTACGGAGAAGTCCAATGAGGCTGACAAGCCCGCCGACAAGGAGGACAAAGAGCAAAAGAACCAGAAGTCTGCGGAGCCCGAGACGGCAGAAGAGGCGCCCAAAAAGGCTGCTGAATCGGTTGAGAAGTCCGCTGAAGAGGTAAATGGCAGTGTGTCTCTTGCGCATGGTGACACTAGCTAACCTTGTTTGTAGCCGGCACTTGCAGCCCCAGAACCAGTCGAGGCCAAGGCTTAGGCCTGCCGTTTATATCGCAGAAGTTCTTAGGAGTGAAGACATGGGTCCAGACATATGTGGGCGCCGCAGGCCACCGGGGCTTGGCCTTTTGCGTTGCCTGGCGTATACGGTTTCTTAAATCGCAAAAGCGATCTCGACTTGGTTTTGGTGTAAAATTATTCGCCCCCGTCTTTTAAGGAGTGCAGCTGGGAAGCATGAGATGGCAGGCGGTTGCGGCGACCCCCCATTTCAGACGACATGCGTCTTCGTCCAGCGAAGTGGGTTCAGTGTACAAAGGGGCGGAGGCTTCCCCAAGGCCCAAGGGAGAGGAACCCAGGTCAGGAGAGGAAAGTCGAGGCATCTGTAGATGCTTGCAATGTCTACGTGTGGCTCTTCTTCAGGTTATGATGAAGCAGAGGTAGGATGTCATTGGCCTCAGGTTTTGGAGGTAGAATGGAGATCGCCTCAGGTTTTTGTTTTGCGAAGGCGGGAGCGGACAAGACTGGTAGTCACTAGTTTAACACGGCCTTGGAGAATTGGTTCTAATATCATTTTGCAAGAAACAAGTCCTTGACAGTCACGCATGTACTTGGTGAATGTTGTCTGCCTGATCTAGTAGCTAGCTAGGTTTCTGAGGTGCAGAAACATACACTGTGCACAGAAGATATACACCGCCCCTCTACACAGTTCATATTCATTTTGACACTGTATGTGTCTGTGCTCCATACCTTCTGTGCAAGCGACGCGTGCCAGTCCCAAAAGCGCGACTCCTACTGCGACGACATTCAGTATCACAGCAGGACCGAAGTGACAACCCGCAAAATGAGCGGCGAAGACAACCAAGAGTCTCAATTTAGACAAGATGATCACCAGGTTAGCGATTATTAAGACGGAAAAGGACCCCGTTGCTAACTCTTCTCCCTAGGCAGCCTACATCTTCCGACCCAAGGGCGAGGAAGCTGTAGCAGATCGACCTACCAAACGTCGGCGTGTATCCAAGAATGCGGTCACTGAAGAGGCCAATGTCGCCGATGCATCGACTTTTGCACCGTTGCTGAATGGGAGCGAGCTGGCTGAGTGCGTGAAGTTGCGCGAGAAGCTGTTTCGGACCAGTTGGGGCCGTCTCGAATCTGAAATCCAGGTCGGCAGATCCCCACACCCTGGATCTCTGGGGGCAACAACTGACTGCAAGATGTTACAGAAAATCCTGCGCGATGCCAACTCGGCTACGCTGGACCAGGTCACGGCCTTTTTCCGGGATCAAGCTTGTCCGCAGTGCGTATATCCAATTTCTCAGAGAGTCTACGGCTGACAACCCGCCGCAGAAACAAGATTTCCTCAGCCTTCATCATCACTGGACCCAATATTTCATCCCAGGATCTACTGTTTGAGCAGCTATCAGAAACCCTTGAGGAAAACACGCGAAGCAAATTTGTACGCTTGAAGTCGTCCGAGGCCATCAACCTAAAGGCTGCTCTCAAAACGATTATTGAGGATGCCACATCGCGGGGCTCTCTGGATGACGAGGATGTCGAGATCTCACTCGGTCAAGATGTACGTTCATTTGCCGTCAGTAATGACCTTATGAAAGCTTACCGATTTCAGGGGCGAAGGTATTTGAACTACGACCTCGAAGGGCTTTACGCCTTTTCAAAGGCACAGCAGTGCGATCACATCTTCGTCGCATTCCAAGACAGCGAAGGATTCGATAGCGCCCTCCTGTCTGACTTGATTACACTCTTCGAGTAAGTTGGCTTCGCACATGTTCTCGAATCCGAGTTGACGTCTTGGCCACCTAGTTCTTGGCGACCCAAGATCCCGTTTACACTCTTGTTCGGCATTGCGACGTCAGTAGAGCTACTTCAAGCGCGTCTACTCAAATCTGCATGCCAGCATCTCTACGGCGCTCAGTTCGACGTTGTGCAAACCGGGGTCATCTTGGAGCAAATTTTCAAGGCGGCTATTGCAGGAACCGATGCCGCTCTCACCCTCAGCCAGCCCTTGTTGCAAAGCCTGGTTGTTCGACAACAGGACCAGGTTGCAAGCATCCAATCATTTGTAGCTTCAATCAAGGTGAGAATGAGCACTGTATTCAAGGGCAATTGTGTTGATCAGTCTTAGTATGCATATATGTGCCACTTTTATGCTAACCCGTTGAGCCTGTTTTCGATGGAGGACGACGAGATGAACAGCGAACTTGTGCAAAACGAACACCTCGAGGCTCTCCGATCGCTCCCTTCGTTTCGGCACGAGGTTGAAAGCGCCGTTGAGGGCAAAGATTTGAGATTAGCAAGGTCTTTGTTGGAGGATGACAGCCTATTACGCGAAAAGATTTTTGATATTCCAGAGAAGAAACGCGAATGGGTCACTCGTCTCCTCCGCTCGCTTAAGCTTGTCCAGGCAACGGGTGTTAGCCAAGAAGACTTTCCCTCGATATACATGAAAGCGGTAGCCAAGGGCATCAGCCTTGCGACCGACGACTGGGACATGGTTGAAAGCATCAAGCGGATGCAACCGGATGAGTTTGTCTCGATGCTCCAACATATTCGTGAGACCATAACTTGTGGAGATGACCACTTATGTCTCGCCGGATGGGAGTCCGAGGCCGGACACACGCCATCTCTTGTACAGACCCTCCTCGACAGTTCAAAGGAGTTAGTAAGCAGGGCGCAAGAGGGTGGCACCACCTTGAGGAGCGCGTATAGTGGCCACAGCAGAATTCTCCGTACCACTGTTGTTGCACAAAAGGTGCAACTCAGCCATGATTCGGCTGCGCTTTCCGAAGACGATAAAGCTTTTACCGAGATCGTGGACCGTGTTGCGGAGCTTTTGCAAGACGTCATATGCTGCGAGCCGGCCGCAAGTGTTTTCCTGCACGAGACATGGCTCTACGATTCCAAGACACCCTACCGCGACGTTTTCGTACCCCGTCCCCAGGATGTCTTTGAGCGGAGCCTGAAGCGACCGCAGGACTACCTCGCGTGCGCGTGCTGCAGCACAGAAGAGGGTATCTCGACCACATTGCCCGTTACTTCGCTGCTGTATCATTTGTATTTGGAGACTGGCAACCTCATCAACGTCGCGGACCTGTGGTCTGCATTCTACGCAATGGTGGGCGGCGGTGACGACGCAGAGAGCGAAGGGAACGCTGATGAGCGGGCGGTGCTGGTCCTCTTCTATCGGGGACTTGCCGAGCTAAAGGCTCTCGGCTTTGTCAAGGCGAGCAGAAAGAAGACGGACCACATTGCCAAGATCAAGTGGCTTTGAGAAGCTGAAAGAGCCGACGACAACGCCTTGCAGCTGCGAAACGGGACCATGGCGTGAGAACGCACGTCAATCCTGTAATTCCAGGGAAGAGTTATGGAACGGAGCAACAGTTGTGGTCTAATTTTTAAAAAACCTTTTGTCAAGAACAAGGAGGCGAATTCTGCTCTTGAATCAGTGCATGTTGTGACTTTTCTACGATTGAGATGTGCTAGGAGATGGGTCTGTGTACGGTGGGGGAGTATGCAGATGTCTCTCTCGAGGAATGTGTCACTGACTCGGGCGTCTTTATGTCGAAAACGACATTCTTCACAGCGGATTTCGTCTTCAACAAGGCCATTGTGTTTTCATATCTCCTTTGTCTCGTTGTCCAGACCGACATGGAGCGGGGTACCCAGCCTTTGTCTACAAATCCTCACTCCGCCCCCTGCGAGCTGCCGATACCGCGGGTCAGAGAGTTGCCGGCCATGGTGGGAGAGAAGGAGCATAGTGGAGAGGGGCGGATATTGTCTCGGAACCTCCATAGTCGGGGCGGAGCTAGTTTCCCGTTGCGGCCGGCGCGAGATACGTTTCTAGGCCGGCCAACTGACTTTTTTCGCAGACATCCATACGCAACGGGATATCGGCCCACCATTATCTTCGACCTTCCTCCCCGCTTTCTGCCATGTCTCATGTTCTTTGGGCGTGTCGAGGAGATAAAGAAGATGATAGGAGAAGGGGGTGCACCGCGCTCCCAGCAGAACCGACTGCATGGAAAGGGGGCAGTTTAGCGAAAGGGGGCAGGCTTGTTGCCCTCGCAGACCTTACCCAGGATGGCAAACTCTGGCCGCCAGCGGACAAAGAGGTTGTGTCTCATCTGACGTGTTAGTCCCCTCCCATTGCCGCAGCCCTCTCTTCTCCTCGGGTCCCAGCTGTTCGGTTCGTTTGTTTAGGCGAAGGCCAAGAGCCTAGACCTGACGGTTTACTCTTTCTCTGCTACCGGTTTTTAGACCCGCCTTTAGGAGCATCATGTAATTTTAATTTTTTTTTCTCTACTGCCCTTTGGGGTTATTTGTTGTTGTCTCTGGTCGTGTTGCCGTTCCGGCCTTCAAAGGAAGACAAGGGGGAAGTGGGATGAGGATTTCGGCCGGCTAGTGGCCGGGACCCATCTGCCTTCCTTTGCGGTGACTTTGCATACAAGAATGCGAGTTTTCCACTTGGTGTTCTTGGGAGGATTGTACTCGATATCTTCTCACACTTCATACCTTCGGCACCCGTTTCCTATCTTCAGACCTATAGATATCTATTCGCACACATTCCATTCGCTGTTGATCTGTGCAGGCATAGACTTCCTACTGTGAAAGGGCCAAGCATCATTTTTTCTACCAAAGACCAGGGGCGGAAAAAAAGAACAACATCAAAGCTGAGAGACGCCAGTCTGTTCCCTCGGAGATCGTCATTTTCTACATATCTTGGGGTTACACGCTCTTCATAAGCTCATTACTGTTGAATACCTTATTCGTCACTTGTATCACTTCCACTTCCAACCAAGACTCTTATTCATTCTCCTGCCTGCCGAGCGCCTTGACAACCTTGTAATTTATCACCCAACACGGCACACCTGAAATCTGATTGAGAACCGATTACTGCCTGGGGCACCCGGGTTTCTCCTGAGTGCCAGATCTACAAAAGGAAATAGACCGAGAAGACGGGGAAGGGCAAGAGCGGAAAGGAATCATCAACAACAGACAAGGGCGAAAGAGAAGAGAGAAGATGGCAACCAGACATCACCACACGACTAACGGCGGTATCAGCAACCGCCGGGCGGCCCGCAACGCGGCTTTCCAGGACAAGGTACGGCAGATGCGCCTGCGCCTCGCCCCGCTCGTGCAGATGTCGACCGGCGCCATCCACCCGGCCTTCCCCGCGACGCTGCTCAACTTCTGGCTCCTCACCGAGGACCAGCTCGACGACCTCGCCCGCTTCTACCACCAGCGCAGCCCCTCGCCCTGGTCCGGGCAGTACCCCTGCCCCATCACATGGCAGTCCGGCCTCAGCCTTGAGGAGAAGCGTAGGAAGATTGGAAAGTTTATCGGTCTCAGGTACGTTGCGGACGAGAGGGGACGGCGAGAGAGCCGTTCCACCCCTCCCTTCATCCCCTTTCAAGAACCCTCGACTAACTGAATTCCAGAGGTTGCGATACGCCTATCCGGATACGCATCAAGACCGAAGAGCAGATAATGGAGGAAGCGCGGCAGGCGAGACTGGCGGAGGACGAGGCGGCCCTGCGAGGGAAGATGCCCTGGTACTCATGAGCGTTGAGTCCCGAGAACTCCGGTTAGGGGGGCTTGTTTGGTGGATGCACACATATGGCAGTTGCTTTTGTTTTCTTTTGACTCACCTGATTTCTTGCATGGCACTGCGTTGATATCACAGCACATTAAAGGCGTTGGTGAAAGGGGTTCACGACATTCGGCGGCGATAGACTGACTTCCTTTTGGTTCCAGAGCGAGAGAGCGCAAGGGGGAAATTCCAACTTATGTAGAGATTCTCAATTCATTCATAATGCTAAAAGTTCCCTGCCCATGACCGTAAACGCCTAAAGCAACCGGGCAGCCGTCGAATGCTCTTGATTGTTCGCCACTTTGCCGCATCATACACCGGGGAGGATGAGGTATCTGAAGACGATTGAGGGATGACGCGGAGCGCCGAGCCCACATTTGGAGGGGTTTGGGGGAATGAATGCGTGACGACAGGGGGATATATGATTTTTGCTGTACGAGAGGGAAAGGGCAATGCACGTCTCTTATCTATTTCTTGCCCTTCTTCTTCTTGGAGGGCGTGCTGGTGGTGTTGGAATCGACGAGAACGGCGTCGCCGTCGACACTAGGCGGGGCGGTCGAGTTCTTCTCGGAATCGTCGAGCTCCTTCATGAATTCGGTCTGGATCGTTGCCCTGCGCTTCTCCCACCATGCCTTCTCCTGCTCGACGGTATTCGCAACCTCTTCAAGGCGGTTGCGCGCAATGGTGTTGGCGGCGATCTCGTTGGCGGATTGGAAGATGGACTGACCCCAGTTGGGCGCGAGGGCATTGGCCTGTTCAAAAGTAAGCATGTCTATCGTTTAAAACGTCCACCCGAGTGCAAGAGAGATTTACGAACCTCCATCACGACGTCGCGCAGCTCGTCCTCCATCTCCTTCTCGGCACGCTGGAAGCGCTGCCACAGGTCATCGCCGACGCTTCCCCGCTGCAGTAACGTGCTGCACGCCTGCTTGGCGGATCGGATCTGAACGATGCGGTGGATGTCCTCGACGGCGCGGCGGAGGAGAGCAGCCTTGATGACAGTGGAAGGGATCTTGGGGGCTTTCTCTTGGCCCTCTTCGGGGGATTCGAGGTGCAGCAGGGAAAGGTAGATGTTGCGCTGGAGATGAGGACCGAACCAAGGGGCGAGATTGGCGCTTTGAGCTAAAAGAAAAGGAGACCGATCAGTAACGCTGTAGTTTTCTCGCCCTGAAGGGCTCGCATCGTGGGCCTCGGCCTTTGGAATTGGCTGGGAGGGAGGATGCGGGCAGAGAACGTACTGGCTTTGCGCTTTCTGTAGATGGTGGAAAAGGTCATGAAAACGCCACCGAGAACAGTCAGGTAGGCGAATGGGAGCACAAGGCTCATCCAGTCAACGTTAAACATGGCTGTGGTTGCTTTGGAACCCTCGTAAGGATCGTGGTGGAGGAAGAAAAGGAAGAGGGGAGATGAACGAGGGACAAGGAAATTTGTGGTGTTGCAGACGTCCAGCCCGTGGTGTTGATGAAGCGTGTCCAGTATGACAGAACAGCTTGCTGGTCGCATTGGATGGGTCACTTTTTTGCTGTTCACCTAAAGAGGGCCCGCTGCTTTACCAGATTCTGCCTCTGGGTCTTGCCATGCTTCACAATACCAACTAGATTTTATTCGATTATGTCGGTATTTCATCTCTTTATTCCTCTTCCTTCTCTTTCTATATAGTTATAGAATCTGTGCTAATTTTAAATTCATCAAATCGATTGCGCTTTCTTGGGATTTCATGAGTCTTCTTGTCACAGTTCCTCCAAATTGATGAAAGCGTCCAGTAAAGCGGCATCTTCTTGACAGGGGTACAATGATACAAGAGCACATCAAGGGCAACTGTGGCTGCTCTGTTGCACTTTCCCGTTCAAGCCACCTTAGCAAGGCCATTACCGGCCCCCCCCCTCCCCCCCCTGCTGGGCGGTGAATAAGCTATGCCAGGGGTCGCTGAAGGAACGTGCACTTTTCCCTCCCTCTCCCCTCCGTTGTTTTGCCGGCCCCACACCAAGGCACCACCTTTGATGACGCTGTCGGCGGCGATTCACTCAGTGTCAAGTCCTGGAGCTCCTACCCATCCCACTAAGCAACACCAAAAGCAACAGCTACTACAAACTCGAGCTTTCTTTCCACCACCTTCTTCCACCACGCGTCCTTCTTGCGCCTCATAACCCAAAACGACAGGGGGGAAAGGACATGGGCTCATTCCGCTAACAACATCCTTATAGAGTTTTCTTATTTAATTACTATACCCATCGTCCATTTCTTCAACCTGGGTTTGCCCTCATACAGCTTCGTCTTCTCCGCCCAACATGCTTCTTAGACTGAGAGGGCCCGACGGCATGAGCCGTTTGACCATCGACAAGGACGCCTCATTTGGCGAGCTTGGTAGATTGGTAAGGAATATCCACCAAGTTGTCGCTCGCCCTTTTAACTCTTTCTAGCTGCTTCCGACCCTTCCAAAAACCGTTGACCCGAACACCATCACACTTTCCAATGCCCCGACAGGCGGCGATGCCAAGAACCTGACCGATATTGCATCTTTCAAGGTCGGGCAAATTGGACTGAAGTAAGATTATGCCGGCAATCCTAGACTCAACTTGCAAGCTGACAGTCGCAGACATGGCGACCTCATTTTCATCAGCTATCGGCACCAGGACAGCCAGGCGAATGGTGATACCAACGGCACCCAGCCGCCCCTCGCATCGTCGAACCGCCTCAACGGCAAGCCAATCCTCCCCACTGAAGACCTGCCAATCGATCCCTTGCCTGTGACATCGCCGTCCGAGAAAATCAAGAATCCCTGGGAAGTGGTCAAGCAGCACCCGTTGGACGATCGCCTAGATAAGAAGGATGGCAAGATCCCGAGAGGACGCGACAAGATGTGCCGCCATGGTCCGAAGGGCATGTGCGACTACTGCATGCCTTTGGACCCTTTCAACGCCAAGTACCTCGACGAAAAGAAGATCAAGTATCTGTCATTCCACTCATATCTTCGTAAAATCAATTCCGCCACGAACAAACCCGAGCTCGGAAGCTCTTTCATTCCACCCCTGGCCGAACCATACTTCAGAGTCAAGCGAGACTGCCCTTCCGGGCACCCTCAGTGGCCTGAAGGTATTTGCACCAAGTGCCAGCCCAGCGCCATCACGCTGCAGCCTCAGTCATTCCGGATGGTCGATCACGTAGAGTTCTCGTCACCAGTAATTATCGACACCTTCATTGACGCATGGAGGAAGACGGGCGGCCAAAGACTGGGTATCATGTACGGGCGGTACACTGAATACGAAGTTGTGCCTCTTGGTATCAAAGCAGTAGTGGAAGCCATCTATGAGCCACCTCAGGTTGACGAGGTGGATGGCATCTCGCTGAACGCCTGGGAGAACCAGAATGATGTCGACGAAGTTGCACGGTTGTGCGGATTGCAGCAGGTTGGCGTCATCTTTACTGACCTTCTCGACGCTGGGGCTGGTGACGGATCAGTTGTGTGCAAGCGACACGCTGATTCGTACTTTTTGTCCTCTCAAGAAATCTGTTTCATCTCACGCTTGCAAGCTCAGCACCCGAAGCCTACCAAGTGGAGCGATACTGGGAAATTTGGCTCCAACTTCGTCACATGCATTATTTCAGGCAATGAGTCGGGAGAGATATCAATCTCAGCATACCAAGCATCTAATGATGCCGTCGAGATGGTACGTGCGGATATCGTCGAGCCCTCGGCCGATCCCAACGCCATGCTCGTCCGGGAAGAAGAGGAGGACGACGGATCTACCAGCCGAACCAGATACATCCCTGAGGTTTTCTACCGCAGGATCAACGAGTACGGCGCTAACGTCCAAGAGAACGCGAAGCCCACGTTTCCTGTCGAGTATCTTTTTGTGACTTTGACACACGGTTTCCCGGACCATTCCAAGCCCACCTTCACACAACTAGGTTTCCCCATCGAGAATCGCGAATATATGGGCGAAAGCCAGGAGCACTCTGCTGCATCTAGGCTTCTCAAGTTCTCCGGAGGCCAGAAGCCGGCGGAAGGCGGTCTGGAAACGTCCAACTTCCATCTGCTGTGTTTCATCCACCAGATGGGTATCCTTTCGAAGGTGTGTAATTCAATCTGCTCCCGATATTTCTCGCTGACACCATCTGTAGGACGAGGAGTCGCTGTTGTGCCGTGTTGCATCGCAGCACGACCTCGCTGATACCTATCAGCTGCGATCTACCGAAGGCTGGCAGACTTTGCAGGCCATCCTGCAATCGACCGGTGAGCGAATCCCCAAGCGCCCACGGCAGTCCGAGGGCCATCCCGCTTCCAATGAATTGCATGATTCTTCTCGCCGCCAGTCCGGCACCACGGAACCACTTGCTAAACGATTTGCTGCCTTCAGGCTGAACGAGCGTCGCCCACCTCGGTAAGCAGAGCAGTCATCGTAAGATTTGCTCTGTTACTCCATGCGGCTGTATGCAGACGATATACGTGAGCGATGATATGGTGCGTCACACGAGACTCTCGCGAGTTTCGTCGGCGGGAAAGGATTGGGAATGTCTACTCGGTTGGTCGGTCAAAGGCTTTACCGGTTTGGTGTTGGGTGGTTTAGGGAGCATATTCGCATGGAAGGCACACATCGTCTTCCCATCGGGTGTAGTAGTACAAAGGCGTCTGCAGTAAGCAGTCACATCACGAAAGGTGTCTGAGAGGAATCGAATTTTACAATAACCTTGGTTGTTTCGTTCGGTATCCTGCTTGTGCGTTTACGGCTTTCCTGTCGTCGATTTGCCCGACGTTATCAGGAGAACGAGGAGATTTTCGAACAGAACTCTTGGATTTTTTTTATTTCCCCTTCCCGCTGTCACACCATCGCCTATCGCCAATTCTGAGGACTTTTTTTTTCTTACAACAAGATTTCCGGCTAGCCCAAAACTCCATGAAAACCCGAAAAAAGGTGGTGTAGGTAGTATTTACAAAGGCTTGCCGCCGAGGAAGTCAGACCAGCGGCGAACTTCAGAGGGAATGCCCTCCTTACGGGGCAGCTTCTCGCTCATGCACTGAGCAAAGAGCATGGCGGTCTACAGAATCGTTAGTGATTGTTTGTGTGAGATTGGATGAAACATTGTCTCCTCGAGTACCCAAGCAGGCATAGGAAGACAAGACGACAGGGACAGAGGCTGAGGGCAATGATTAGCTCACCTTGGGCTCCATGAACAGAGGAACGCCGAAATCGACAGCGTTGCGACGCATGACGTAGTCAACGTCCATCACGGTCTTGCCGCGGGCCTGTGCCAGATTGAAGACACCGCGGATGTCGTACTTTTGGAAGACCTCGCGAAGAGCGCGCTTATCCTCCTTGGGGAACTCGATCACGTCAACAGTGATGCCCTTGACATTCGACTCGAGGAAGTCCTTGACTTCCTGGTCGGCAGCGTAGAGCTTGTAACCCATAGGGGCGAGGTAGTTCACAACGGTGGGGAGCCATTCCTTGTTCAGCTGACCACCGAAGAGGAGGCCTTCGCCAGGCTCAGGCATACGGAAGTTCATGGTCGACTGCAGGGAGGTCCAGTAGGCCTCAACGAGGTCCTTGCCGAAGCAGGCAATCTCACCGGTAGAGGCCATTTCCACGCCGAGGAAAGGGTCGGCACCGGCGAGACGGGTCCAGGAAAACTGAGGAACCTTGGTGGCCAGGTAGTCACGCTTGACGGCCATCAGGTCGACAGGCTCGGGGACATCCTGGCCGACGAGCGCCTTTGTGGCAACGTCAATGAAGTTGGTGCCAAGGACCTTACTGACGAAGGGGAATGAACGGGAGGCACGCAGATTACACTCGATGACCTTCAACGCAGGCTCGCCGCCTTCAGGGTTGTCAGCCTTGATGATCTGCATGTTGAAGGGACCGGTGATGTTCCAGGCCTTGGCAACCCTCTCAGCAATATCCTTGCAACGGTCTAGAGTGGTCTGGTCAAGGTTGACGGGGGGCAGGACGAGAGTAGCATCGCCGGAGTGAACACCAGCCTGCTCGACGTGCTCACTGACAGCGTGAAGGATCAGGTTGCCCTTAGAAGCCACAGCGTCGACATCGATCTCTTGAGCACCCTCAATGAACTTGCTGATGACGACAGGGTGGTCGGGAGACACATTAGAGGCTGCCTCAAGCTTCTCCTTCAGGTCCTCCCGGCCGCGAATGACAGTCATGGCAGCGCCGGAAAGGACATAACTGGGCCGGACAAGAACGGGGTATCCGACCTGGTCAGCAAAGGCCTCGGCCTCCTGGACGGAGGTGAGCTCTTTCCACGCGGGCTGATCAATGCCAATGCTGTCGAGGATCTCGGAGAACTTTTGCCTGTCCTCGGCCTTGTCGATATCAATAGGGTCGGTTCCAAGAACCTTGGCGCCTCCTGTCTCCTGTAGCTTCCTGGCCATATTCTGGGGCAATTGACCACCAACAGAGACGACCACACCGGAGGCGGACTCAAGATCGTAAATATCCATCACACGCTCATAAGTCAACTCATCAAAATAGAGCTTGTCCGCCATATCGTAGTCGGTCGACATCGTTTCAGGGTTAGTCTAGAATGTTATCCTGGTTAACTGGAGTATCTCGAAAGGTGGGATGAAAGTGAGGGTGGGAGTTAGCATGACAGCAAGACATAGCTGCTGATTGCGCATCGCTTTTTTTCACGGCGTAGGTGCCTCCGCGGCCTCCATATTGGAAGCAGGATCTCAAAGTGCGCCAGATGGCTGTCGAAGGGGAAGGGGGAAAAAACGTATTACTTACGTTGATGACGACAGTCTTGTTTCCCATCTTACGGAGAGCCTGAGTGGCACCGGTAGCGCACCAATCGAACTCCACAGAGCTTCCAATGCGGTAGACGCCGCTGCCCAGAATGATGATTCCCTTATCCTCAAACGTGACATCGTGGGACGAGGCGTTGTAAGTGGTGTACAGGTAGTTGGTGTCGGCGGGGAACTCAGCCGCAAGAGTATCGATCTTCTTAACCCAAGGGCGAATTCCGAAGCCAAGGCGAACTTCGCGGACCTTGTCTTCGGTGCTGCCAACTGCATTGGCGATCTGACGGTCAGAGAAACCGAGCTTCTTAGCCTTAAGGACTTGGTCCTTCTTGAGAGCCTCGAGGCCACCAGCCTGCTCCAGCTCGCGGGTGCAGTCGACCAGGTTCTGCAGCTTGTACAAGAACCACTTGTCAATCTTGGTCAGCTCGTGAACCTTGTCCACAGAGTAGTTCTCGTGGAGCATAGCCTGACCAACAGCGAGCCAACGGCGGTCAGTAGGGTTCTGGAGCTCAAAGTCAAGGTCATCAAACTTGTCGCCCTGGAAGCCAACGAACTTGGGGTCAACCTGGCGAATAGCCTTCTGGAAGGACTCTTCAAAGGTACGTCCAATAGCCATAACCTCACCGACAGACTTCATGGCGCTGCCGATGTCGCGCTTGACATGCTGGAACTTGGAAAGATCCCAGCGGGGAATCTTGGTGACGATGTAGTCGAGGGAAGGCTCAAAGTTTGCGGTCGTGGTCTTAGTGACGGCATTGGGGAGCTCGGGGAGGCTGTAACCAAGGCCGATCTTGGCGGCGGTGTACGCAAGAGGGTATCCGGTGGCCTTGGAGGCCAAAGCGGAAGAACGAGAAAGACGAGCGTTGACCTCGATGACACGGTAGTCGAGGCCGTCGGGCTGGAGCGCGTACTGAACGTTGCACTCTCCCACAACACCAAGATGGCGAACGATCTTGATGGCGGCGGATCGCAGCATGTGATACTCCTCATCGCTAAGGGTTTGACTGGGAGCAACGACGATACTGTCTCCGGTGTGGATGCCCAAGGGGTCGAAGTTCTCCATGTTGCAAACAGTAATACAGTTGTTGTTCGCGTCACGGACGACCTCATACTCGAGCTCCTTCCAGCCCTTCAGCGACTTCTCAACCAAGATTTGGGGAGACAGGGTGAGGGAGCGGGCAGCCATGTTGCGGAGCTCCTCCTGGTTGTTTGCGAAACCGGATCCCAAACCACCGAGCGCGTAGGCGGCACGGACGATGATGGGATATCCGACCTTCTCGGCGGCGTCTAGAGCCTCCTCGACGGTTCCAACAGCGATCGACTTGGCGATGGGGATGTCGATCTCGTCGAGGGCGCGAGCAAAAAGGTCGCGGTCCTCACTCGTCTCAAGGGTCTTGACACTGGTTCCAAGGACCTTGACGCCGTACTTCTCAAACAGACCCATGCGCTGCATCTGGACACCGAGATTCAGGGCGGTCTGGCCACCAAACGAGAGGAAGATGCCATCGGGCTTCTCTTTCTCGATAACGTAAGTCACGTATTCCGGGGTGACGGGCAGGTAGTAAACCTCGTCGGCGAGCGAGTGGTTGGTCTGGATGGTGGCAATGTTCGGGTTGATGAGGACGGACTTGACGCCCTCCTCTTTCAGAGCCTTCAGAGCTTGCGATCCTTCATGGCGAATCTTGTTAGCCAATGGCTGCTTGATGTCTGTGACTCACTCTTCTCTGCGCACATATGCGCAGAGAGAAGGGAGTTAAGGAGTGGAACAAACCTGAATAGTCGAACTCTCCAGCCTGACCAATGGCAAGACCACCACTGCCAATGACAAGCACCTTCTTGACGTCGACGCCGACAGAAGACTTGATCACACCGCTCTCAAGATAAGCCTTGGGGTTCGGCGCAGATTGCACGGTGCTGGAACGAAGCGCGCTCGCGGAAAAGAGGCGCTTCTGGAGCAGCTTTGCGCTGTTGCTCTGAAGTTGAGCCCTGGACAGGCCGTTGGAGGCAGCGAGGGTGAAGTTGCGGCCGGTCAGAGCTGTCGGGACTCGTCGACCATGTCGGAGGACGGCCGGAGCTCGACCTGCCAAAGAACTTGACATGGCCGACGGCATTATGATGGTCTCAAGGTGCCAATTCAACTAAAACCTGTGAGAGGGAGAGGGAATGCTCGAGGTCAGAGCCAATTGAATGGTTTCAGGACCAGGAGAAAAGAGCGTTATAATGGCCGCCGGGTCTGAAGGGTTGTGACTCTTTTCCTTCGCTTTGCTAAGATTGTGGGGAGGGAAAAGGATGGTAAAGTTCTCGTCTTCAGCGACAAAAGGCGGTTCCAAAGCGTGATAAGATAAGGAAATTTTTCGTTGTTGAATTGGCCGATCGGGGGGCCCAACGACTCGCGACGCTAACTCATAAACGTCTCTCTTCTTAGGGACCCGTTTGCAGTCCAGGGATCACTTCGCCGCCGTTATCGCAGGTTTCCGCGTCGCCGCAGTGACACACGCACACACACAGACGGACATCCAGGCACGTCAACCAGCCTCTGGCGAAAAATTCTTACAACGCAAGTGGAACAGAGTTCAACGAGGGGTAAGAACAGCATTGTAAAACTCACAGCACCGCATCCTACTGAAGTGGAACGGTGCCCCGAGCAAGTCTTCCCCTCCTGTTTTGCCCAGACCAGGGCCCGAGATACCTGAGTTTGCCAGCAGCTTGGACGCTGCGCAGCACGCACTGAGTCACAGCCTCTTTTGCTCATTTGTGATGGGGATGCTGTTCCCTGTGCTGTGACTCCTGTAACTCCAGTCCCCAGTTAGGACGATCAAGTGACTCACAGTCTGCATCATCTGCAACTCCAGTGTCATCTCTGATTCTCCACGTTCTCCAACCTACCTATCCACGGCACGCACCTTTTTGTTCTAGGTGAGGGTCCGAGCTTCTTATTTTTCCTCTGGGCTACGATCTGACGTTTGGAAATGCCCCGCTATAGTTGGCATATGCCCCGCCATATGCCTGGGGGCAGTCATGGACTTCGCCCTCATCCATTGGCCAATGCCACGAAGCAGCCCTAGGGAATGCCGCTGGAGAACTCCGGTGAGGCCGAATCGGCGATGGTGCCGATGACACCGATGAACGAAGCGCAATCCTGTCATGAGGATCATCGGCAACCCTTGCTAGGCAATGGCAGCTCATTTAAGAGAAAACCCGGCTACTCAAAGTCGTGGGCGGGGCATCTGAGCCATTTTGCTATCGGCATGTCAATAATTATCGGCAATAGAGAAAGAAAAAAAAAAGAAAAAAAGGGAAGCGAATGCACTTATGCAATTTGACCCTTCAAAACGTGATTGGTATTCCATTCGCCAACATTATGCTAGCCCAAGCTCATCTCATGTAAGCCATATCCCTTTTTTTCTTCTTCTTTTTTCTACTACCCATGCCATTTCATCTAATTCTTCTCTAATCTCACCGCTGGGTTCCTCTCGATGAAGTTCAAATCCACCTTGTGTCCCAACAGCTCGCGAATGTTGGAGATGCCGTACTTGATCATGGTCGGTCTCTCCAAGCTCAAACCCCAACCATACACTCTCATGTCCTTAGGCAAGCCCATGGCCTCAAGCATCTCCGGTCTGAACATACCACTGTTACCAATCTCGACAAGCTTGTTCAAGCCCTTGTGGAAGCTGAAAATCTCCATACTCGGCTCGGTGTAGGGGTTGTACGCTGGCTTGAACTTAATGTCCGTGATGCCCATCTTGTTGAAAAAGATCTCCATGAACTCCATCAAACCGCCCAGCGTCAGACCGTAGTCCGCAATAACACCCTCAACCTGGTGGAACTCGGCCAAATGTGTAGCATCGACACTTTCATTGCGGAACACTCTGTCGATAGAGAAGTACCGGGCTGGGGGAGGCCTGCCGTCCGGACCCTTCTTGGAAGCCAGTTGGTGGAGAATTGCCGTCGAGATGGCCGTTGTATGTGTGCGGAGAACAAGTCTCTGGGCTTCGTCCGCAGCCCAGGGGTAACGGTAACCGATCGAGCCAAACTTGCCGTCCTGATGGACCTGCTTGACGTTCTCCCAGTATGTCTCGTAGTCCTTCTTGTCATCTGCCGACTCAGGACCAGGCTTGTCCGCCACCTTGGGATCTGAGATGTAAAAGGTATCTTGAAGGTCTCTTGCCGGGTGTTGTTGGGGAACGAACAAGGCGTCGAAGTTCCAGAAACCAGACTCAACGAACTTGCTGGTGGGCATCTCCTCGAAACCCATCTCAAAGAAGATTTGGCGGAACTCGTGACGGACCTTATTGAGAGGGTGCAGCGCGCCGGCGTTCTGGTCAGCCCCAAGAGCCTTGAAATTGTACGGCTTGAAATTGGCCGTCTTCCATGAACCAGATGAAATCATGTCAGCCGTAAGGTCGGTCTCTTCCTTCTTGATTTCCAGAGCGAACTCGGGTCCCTTTTGGATCTTGAAGGTGATGACCTTCTGTGTCTTGATGAGCTTGCGCTTCTTCAATTCGGTGATGATTTTAGGGTCGTGAGTGCCCGTCTCCCGGATCTGCTGGAGCTGGGCTTGGGTAACGTCTTGTATCGACTCGGCCTGCGTTCAACTAGTCAGTATTTGCCAAAGCTTTTGTTCTAAGACTCAGACTCACAGTTGCAACCAGCTTGCCGTCGCTGCCCTTCTTAATCCATTTCTCCTTGAAGGCCTTGCCCTGACCGACCTTCGTTACGTTTTTGTCGCCCACGGCAGCCTCAAGCTCCTGCACCGTCAGCCCCTCCATTGCTTTGCGGACAGCCTCAAAGACGCGAGCCTCGTGGCTCCCATGCTCCGCGATTTGCTGGCCCTCTGCTTCAAGAACCGCTTCCTCTCTGTCAATTGAATCGTACTTCACCATGGAACGACTGGCGAGTCGGTCCAACGCAGCCTTGATGTCAACGAATTGGAACTCGGGGAAATGCTCGGCAGACAGGATGGGATCCTTCTTGGACAGAGCAAGAAGGATCTGGGACGTGAGGTCCCCAGAAGGACCGTTGCTCGCCGTCGCCATGGTTATGTGCAATGGTGTCTTGGGAATGTGGCTTGCACGTCGGATTGTAGGTGTTCGGCTCGTTGAGTCAGAGGGGCAATTGTGAATTAGGCGGGAACTGCTGGCAGAAATTTGGCTGGCACAAGTCGAATCGGAGGGGAGTGTGGACCCTGCGCGGGACAGAAGGAGGGGTCCTCGTATCAATGATTATCCTTCTTCCGAAGAAGAAAAGCTATGGCTTGCGCTTGCGCTTAACGAGCCTGTCAGAAGCTGCAGTCAAAGGGGCTGGCCAAGTGTCCGTGCAGCTTCTCTCGTGAGCAGCTTGTCCCTAGGTAGTGGCGTCACTCGCGGCATCCCTGCAGCTGGATTCGGTGTCGCTTATCCACAACTGTCCGCATCAAGTTCCAACGGCTAAGAACATCCTCACACATGTTTCCGTTTTGATCACTAGTATCTTTGCTCGAGCTTACGCAACCCAGATTCCTGGAGCATGAAGCGTCGCTCACCGTCACGTTGCAGGATTCTCCGCCGACACCAATGAGGCCAACGAGCTATGGTCGATGATGCCGGGACAGAGACCCTGCCAGGCCGACCGGTCCCTCTCGAGGATGAACAACAGGATGGCAGAGGAATTCCGGAGCTGTCGCAGCAGCCCGACGATGGGGACACCAGGAGCACTAGGAGGAGGAGGCGGCGGCGGAAGCATCAGAAAATCAACCCAGGCCTAGCAAAGAAATTTGACTTCATGACCCAGTTGCTACGGAACCTGGACGCTCTGGTCTATGCGGAGCTTTGCACTCTATACTACATGGAGTAGGTCTTCTCCATGCCCAGCTCTCGATGCAGATATGCTGACCATTGGCATAGATGTTCCATTCTCCGCTTTGCCGTCCGCGCCTATGGTCAACATCATTGGCTTACACCTAAGCCTGACGACTATCCGCTGACTATGGAGGCGGCACGGTCACAGGTTATTTCGGTATTCGTTCCGAACCTCATCTGTATCCTACTGCACATCTTCACATCGCTACCCACAGCTGGTGAAGCTGCCCGCGGATATCTTCATGGAGGCGTGATTGTGGACTTTATCGGGCAAACACCGCCGACCTCCAGGTTTACGTTTCTCGCGCTCGATTGCATCATACTGGTCATCCAGTGTTTGATGCTGGCTATCCATTCCGAGCGAGAGAAACTGCGCCCTATTGTGCGACCTATACTATTCCGATTACCACCAGCGCTCCAGGAGACAATTGGAATGGCCTCGACTCAAGACCACGATGCTGAGGAACGAGGGGTGCTGACGGGTGCTCCTGGCCTGGAAGCAGAAGACCCCAACAGCGTGGAGCTGCAGCCTCTGCGGCCTAATGGCGAAGGCGAACATGAGCAAGATGCTGAACAAAGCCAATCTTCGCGACGTCGCTCGTCCCTTCATGCAGCTAGTGGAATGCATCTGTTCGATGTTCTCAGTTCGGGAAACGGTATTGTGGGAGAGTTTCACATATCCCATACCATCAGGCATGCCACTACAGACTATTGGGGGGCAGCAGGCCATTCGCTCCAAACGCTAGGCTATACAGCGGCATTGACGAGGCTTTCGGCGATGAGGAGGATGCCCCAGTTAGAACGTAATCAGACGAGTCAGAGATAGCGCGAATGGCAACAAGATGACCATGCAGCGATTCTAGTTTCATTGCCCACCCTGGTATCTTAAGCAATCTTACGACCAACATTACCAACGCCGCTTCCCTTTACCGTAACAAGAATGTCGCCCGAGTCGTCGTCTTCCACATCCCTCAAACCCCAACTGCTCGCGCCAAATGTCCGCAGGTCCCGCGCAAGCCCTACTATTTCTTCTGTGCCGATGACATCCCTTCCTATTCTCAATCTTCCCACGTCTTCGGATCCCATTGCCATCAGTGTCAACACTGTGCTGGCAGATGTTTTGGTGACGCAGCCTCCTTGCGCGATGGTCTCGAGCAACTGGTAGGCGCAGTTCTTGCCAATATCTTCGGGAACGACACCACCCACGGGGGGGGCAACAACGTCGGCGGAGTAGAGCACACCGACAGAGCTTGACTCGGCGACCAAGCTAAGACCAAAACCGATACCTGTCCGTGTCTTCAATTTGTCGGCGGCCGTGACCAGCGGTGCAGTATCGTATTGCGCCGCGATGTGTATGTCCGAAACCAGCGCGTTCAGCACCTCTCTAGCTGAATGGATCATCCGGCTGTTATTAGATGCCGAGACTCCAGTGCAGTATGCTACTCCGCGTATCCTCCTGATCTTTCCGGGGTTGCGGTTGAGGTGAAGGGTTTTCGGAAGTCGGACTTGGCTTGCGAATCTAAGTTCCACGACACCACCGCCTCCTCTGCCACCCTTCCCAGGGCAAGATCGCGAGAGCACTCTCAGCTCGATTCGCGCTGGTGGTATTCCGAAAAGACCAAAAAGAGGCAGGATGGCTGTGCGGAAGGAGTCGACGGAAATGTCACCCGTCTCAGTCGCCGAAGTGATGACGCCTGGACCTGTGAATCGGATATTGACATGGGCCTTCGAGAATGGCGCGAGGAGGCAGATTGGAAGGAGAAAGTAGGTGACACCGCGGGTGTTGTTATGCGGCAAGCTGTGTTCGATGACGTCGCCGTCGGATGCGCCGAATCCAGCCATGGTACCGGTTATCAGGCCAGGATGGTACGTAATTGTCGTACCTGTGTACGAAATCTGCATGGAGCTACCATTGGTAACGGCTTCCAGCAAGCGGAGGAACGAGATCTCATGCGGCGCGAGACCTGGATTTGTCGGCGATGAGCTGCGGATTTTGGAGATGTGCACAGGTCGGCCAGTCAGGGTTGAAATGATCAATCGCTGGGCGAAGGATCTATGCCCGGTGAACCGCAGGTAATCGGGAGCGGAGGCCATTGTGCCGTCGTTTTGCGGTATTGCTAAAGTACTAGACTAAAGAGTGAAGATGAAGGTGGGATCTAGAAAATTATCTTTTTCTGCCTCCGTGTGGCGGCCGGCTTTGCTGCAGACGGCAGGCGGTATGTGATAAATATGGGGCCCAGATAAGATAAACTACATTAACGCGTGCTGTGCGACGCCGCTAGGTGCAAGTGCAATAGCTTTTGGGTTCAGGGTCCATCAAAAAATCTGACTTGTTTCTTTACTAGGAGCTTCTATTGCGCCTGAAGTCACACTCTCCTTGTTCTTCTTCACGTTAACCAACTACGACCTTCCTTATGTCTCGCAGATCCTTATTTCGCGACTTAGCATGTCGAAACACATTCATTTGCCAGTCCTGCCGGTCAACACTTGGGTCCTCGGCCCCGCAATCATGGGCTATACGGCATAGCTCCCGGGTGGCCCAGCTTGGAGCTCGTTCTCGATCCGGCCTTCAGAAAAGAGAGAACATCGGCTCTTCTACGCAACCCCCTCGAGACAATACCGATTCCAATAAGGCAGCTGCTTCGCTTTTAAAGGAGCTGACACAAAAACGAACTGGTGAACCGATCTTGAAGTTCTTCGAAAAGAGCCAAACAGGCAAGATCGAGCAGCTTGGGAGCGAGGATGCGTTCACAGACGCCATGAGCGGAGTGGCTGAGATGGAGGAGGAGCTCAAAGCAAACCTGACGTCTAACATGCGGCGCGTGCTATTCCGACTTCAAGAAGAGGGTAGTTTAGGGGCATTCGGAATCAATGACGTCGAGTCGATCGCGAAGGATTTTGAAGGAAAGCTGGGAGGGGCCAACAACCCCGAGGAGATGATGGCGAAACTAGACGACTACATCAAAGACTTGGAAAGACAGCTTGACGCAGCGGGATTTGACGTCAGCCAGTTCGATGATTCGAACCCTGTAGCGACCATGGATGTCATCGAGGCCACGGCTCGCGAGGACCCCTCGAAACGAAAGAAGCACCCCCCGATTCCGCAGATCCCCGAGAATGTATGGAGCTTCAACCAGCGAAAGCGTATCACACGACTGAACACCCTCCTCTCACGAACGACCAAGGAAATAAGAAGAGGTGAGGGTGTCCATGCGAAAAATATCCAACCGGTGTGGAAGGCGTACAGTGCAGCGCGGCAATCTCTAGCAAAGGCATGGGCGCATGTTCCTCCAGAGGTGTGGAACCTTCTCTGGGAGATACTGTCAGTGAACAAGGAACATAATCCTAGCCGGCTCACTTATGTGTCGCTGCTGGCAAGGGACATGAGTGAGGCGAAGGTAGCCCTGAGCCCACCACAGCAGCTGGTGACTGTGGAAGCCATGTTTCTAGACGGGTGGGAGGCCAAGGCCATCGACAACTGGAAGCGATGTATATCGACCCTCGGTGACAACGGTGCCGAGACATTCCAGGACTTCTGGGAGCTTGGAGCACGTATGTTTTGCCAACAGGGGGATCTGGCTCAAGCAGAGCGTGCGGTTAACAAGTTGCTGGAGCGTCAACTTGACCCACGCATCTTGATGCCTTACATCAGGAGCTGCGCGGCAAATCCTACGAACGAAGCGAGAACGAAGGCATGGGACGCGTACCGGCGTATGAGAGACCTCCTCGGCACATCCATGGGGCTCGAGGACTACGACCAAGTCATTTCCTTCTTTTTGACGACAAGCCAAACGGAGCCGGCACTGCAAGCATTTGTCGACATGATGAGCTCCGGGACAGTGGAGCTGAAGGGACGCCAACGCTTGCCATCCCACATTGGCAATAAGTTTTTCTTTGGCAAGTGGCTGAAGCGACTCATTGGTGCCGGCGACCTAGATGGAGCGTATAGCGTTTTCAACTTCATGCGCTCCAAGGGTGTCGAGGCAGCCGCTATCCAGGTGAATGGGCTCATCGGCGCTTGGCAGAGGTCCGGTGGCGCTGATGATGTGGAAAAGGCGGACAAGCTGGCATGGGACATGATCAACGCCCGCATCGAGTTTGTCCGCAACCGTCGTCGGTTGTCCTCCATGGAAGGGCCGGTTCGCATCGTCGAAGTCTCCAAGATTAGCAAGCTTGGCTCAATACCGAAGGCCACGCTCGAGACGTTCTCTCTGCTTGCCGAAAACTACCGTGTTCGACGCTTACAAGGCGAGATGGACAAGCTCTGGGACGCCTTTAGAGAAGCAGAGATCAGCCCAGACGCGTTCATGATGAACCAGCTGATGGAGTCATACTCTCAGAATGGCAACGTCTCCGAGGCACGAGAGCTCTACCGAACGCTGGTATACGAGCGCCAGGTAAAGCCGGACCCGTACACGTTTATGGCGTTGTGGAAGATGCTGGGCGCGAACAGGCTGCACAACGTCACTGGCGAGGAGCTCGCCAACGAAGTCAGGCTTACGCGCGAGGCCTTTGCGGAAATGGTCCGTTTCTCGTCCGTCTTCGAGGCCGACGGCCTCGACGGCCAGCTCGCGCGGAAGATTCTGCACACGTTCCGCCGGCTCAAGGACAACCTAGGCATCGTCACCGCGCTGCAGGCTTTCAAAGACGTCTTCAAATTCACGCCCCCCGAGGTGCTGGCCCTCGAGATGCTGCTCGAGACCACCAGTCTCGCGTGGGAGACCGCTCAGGCGAGACAGAAACTCCGTCTCGTGAAGCGGAGGATCGACGCTCACATCGAGAATCGGCAGAAACTACTCGGTCGGTCGACGACGCTGGATGAGATGACGCCCAAGCAGCGCGGCGACGAGCTCTCGCATTACATGCAGACGGTGTACATGGAGGAAGTTGGCCCTGTCCCACAGAGCCACATGACAGAGGTGGCTAAAGAAATGGGCGTGTACGATGTATTGGCGGGAAAGGCCTAGAGGCTGCAAGTCCACACTGTATCGATTAGATCTAAATATTGTACAACTATAATGACACCCATCACGACTAAGAAATCTTGTTCTCCGTCCTAACTATGTGACCAGCTGGCCTTCTGTTACCAAAACACTTTGCAGCCATCCTTAACTAATCGTGATCTTCCTCTGTGACGCCGGGGCATCCCCCCATCTCGTCGTCTAGATAAGTAAACTTGCACCAGAAACAGTACCGATGCTCCTTTCTCAGATACTCCACGAGCCGCATCAACTTCTCAGAATCCTCCAGCTCGTTGAACTCGTCCAGCTCGGGATCCTCCTCGTCCAGGTCCTCCGCCGTGACGTAGACTGTGCGCTTCTTGCCCAGCGCCGTGCGGTCGTCCTCGTCCTCCTGGTCATCCTCGTACGTCGGCAGCCGCGAGAGGCTCTGCTCCAGGTCATATCGCATCCGCCGATCCCGTTCCTTCTCCTCCCGGTGCCGCGCCAGACCCCGCCAGAGAACGTTGATGGACTTGAGTGGTCTCGCTGCGGCGCCGGGAGCCGGGTTTCCCACCCCTTCCTTCTTGGTGCCCGCCTCCTCGCCGCCGTTGCCGTGGACAGCGACGACCTGCGAGCCACCCTCGGCATCTTTCTCGTCCGCCATCCTCTCCGCGACCCTCTGTGCCGCAAAGACCTGCGCCTGCACCCTCGCCGCCTCCCTCTCCTGCCTTACCCGGTCCCGGTACTCCAGCGGGTCGACCTTGACCCTCTTGCCCTCCCTGACCTCCTCCTCGATCCGCTCCGCCGCCTCCCGCATCTTGCGCTTCCTCTCGCTCTCCATCCCGATGCCGCCCCTGTCCTCTTTGATCTCGACGGCGATCGGCTCCGTGCGCGCGCCTTCGCCGGCGGCGCCAAGCGCGCCGCCCTTGAAGCCCATCTTGGCCATCATCGCGAGGCCCTTGCTCTTCTTGGCGGCCGCGTCCTCGAGGAGCGACCGCGAGAGGGCCTTGTCGCGCGCTTCCGCCTCCTCGGCCGCGAGCTCCTCCTTGGACTTGACGCGCCCGCGGATCTCGCCCTCGCGCTTGAGACGCTGACGCCGCTGGAGGGAAGTTTCTGGTTGGGTTTTCTTGGCGGCCGGGGGCTCTTCAAAGGTCATGTTCATGTAGTCGTCCTCCTCGTCCGAGGCTGCTGATTGTTTTGGGTCCATGGCTGGCGGGTCTTTTCCTGCGTAGGTGGCGTTTTCCGACGGCTGCCTATTTCTTGTGCCAGGTTCAGTGTGATTTAGGAAAAATGAAGATTGACAGCTTTTAGTTGGGTTGTATGCTATGCAAAGAGTAGGTCCGTATAAGCGTGTTGGAATTGGCGTAGAAAATCAAGGTCCCCCGCCGCAGCTGATATGAATATACCAGCAAATCTCAGGAGGCTATTGTTTGCGCTCGACTAGAGAATGTTGGACTCACAACCAGAGATCAAGGTCTTTGTACTTGTGTATCAGCTGATATCATGGAGAATTATCAACCGGTCTAGTGATTGTGAACTGAAGGCTAACGTTAACAGGACTTGTTGGCGCATCGTGCCTGAGCTCTGGGGCCGAGTGGTGGTGGAACCCCACGTCAGCTGCGGTTGGCTGTGAGGAACACTGTCTGAATCATGGATGCGATGGCGGTTTCTTACGGGTTCACCCCTTGTACCTAGATACGCACCACCCTTCCTGCAGGCGAGCTGTGCTTACAACATGAACTTCAAGTCACTTTAGGGGTGCAATCAAGTTGTTAATTTTGCATGAGCAACAATGTAGAGCTGGACCGGGCGCATCTCTTCATAATTTTCTATAGGATGATCCTCAAATGGGCTCTAAACTCATCCGCACTTATTTATGCTGGTATTGAATACAAAAGGAAATTACCATGCCGAAAAGCACCAAGAAACTTTTCGATACCATACCATAAACACTGCAAGCGCAGGCCATCTAGCGATGTCTGGCCTTCTTCCTGCCCTCCTTTTCCCTCTCGTACGCGTTGGCCTCCCTGCCCTCCTCGTTCTGAATCTCCGCCACGAGCCGCTTGTACTTCTTTTCGTACGCCTCGTCCTTCGCCTTCTTCAAGCGCAGATTCTCGCGGGCCATGAACTGGGCGTCCTTCCTCAGCTCTCTCATGGCGCCCTTGCGCTCCTTCTTGTGCTCTTTCTTTAGCTTGGCCATCTCCGCACGCTCGCGGTCCGGGTCGTAATGCTTGTTTGGGTCGTACGAGTCCTCGAACTTGGGGATGTACGTCTTGATGGCCAACGGACGGTGGTGGTGCAGTTCGAGCGGTCTTCGCGAGAGCTGTGCGATCTTTAGCATCCGTTCCAGCTTGAGCTTGGACTTGTCGAGCTGCTCGCCCAGCGCTTCGGGCAGCTTGGAGCGGCTTGATTTGCTGCCCAAGTGCGCAACGATATCGAATGCGGGCTGAAAGGTCTCGTGGAACGAGGATTTTGCAGCCCAGATGTCAGCTGCAGCGTCGAGGAGTTGAAGAGTCGTGCTGAGCAGAGCAGTCTTCTTGGACTCGGCCTCAGCGCCAGATACCTCCACGATGGCACAGTCAGCCGGCGAAAGCCGTCGGAGTTGTGTCTTCCGCGCATTCGAGACACGAATGCCCGGTGCGGGTTCGTGGATAGGGAAGCCACGGGAGACCTTCGGAACCGCCGAGGGAGCTATCGCGCACAGGGTGTTGAGGGCGAAATTCATGACTTCGGGCACGTATCGCTTCGAGAACTGCTGGTACTGAATCGCCAGAGTCGACAGGTAGATGCCGATGGCGTATTCGCTGAGCGTTTGCGGGATCTTGCCGCCAAGGTAACGGCCGATGGTAAGCATTGCGGGAGTCGCAACTTGGTGGAAATGATCCGACGTCGGGAATGTCGATGCAATCGCGGTCAGCAGCGTCAGGTCTCCATTGTGGACAGCTAGAGGCCGTTGCTGGCTGATCTCCTCCAAGTGAGACCGATACTGGTTTGCAATATCGATTGGGAACATCTTGGCCAAAGAGTGGATGTGTCGAACCAGGCTCTCCAATACTTGGAAAGACGGACTGCTCTCATTGCGAGGGCCGTTACCGACCATGTCCACAAGTGCGCGAGCAAAGTTTCCGAGCTTCTCCTTGTTCTTGCTGTCAAGCTTCGGGTGGTACAAAGCTCGAATGCGTTGGACGATGGTGGGCAGCTTTTCCCTAGGGCATTTCTGCGACAGTGCCAGCAGCTCCTCGAGACTTTGTGGACATGGAAATGTGTAAGGCAGATCGGAGCTATCGACCTCTTGCCCCCCTTTCCCGCCCGCATTCGCAAATAGAGAGCTCTTCGTCTCCTCCTCAGTAAGCAGTCCCTTTGTAAACTCATCGTCCTCGGAATCGTCCCCCTGGTACTCTTCCTCCTCATCCGACTGCTCCTCTTCGCTCTCGATGGGTTCCAGGTCCGACCCGCTGGCAATCAAGTCGTCCTCGATGAGGAAGTCATCCTCGTCATCGAAACCCAGTTCAGTCGCGGTGGGACGAGTTTTGGGTTTGATACCTTTTCCGAGACCAAAATCTTCGTCCTCTTCTTCAGGGACGAACTGGAAAGCAGGCTCTTTGAGGGTCTCATCCTCCATCTCCTCATCTGAAGATTCATCGTCAGAGACTGACTCGCCTCTCATTCTCTTCAAGCGCTTCTCCTCCAGCTCCTTTAGTCTCTTCGATTCCTCCGCCGCCATCTCCTCATCGGTCTTTGTGCGTTCAGTGGGGGCTGCTCGGCGATCCTGCACGAGCTTCTTGAGTCGCAAGTCAAATTCCTTCTCGAAAGTAGACTTGTCAACTCCAGCAATCAATCTGCTTGCCTCCTCTTTCTTCTGCGCATCAGACTTGCCGTGAGACGTCAGGAGAGCGTGGAGATTCGGTAGCTCCTTGTCCAGTTCCATCCGAAGGTCCTCGTCCTCGTCCTTTGCGACTTGGCGTTCGTATTTGTGCATCTTCGACTTCGCAATAACCTCTTCCATTACCTCCTTCTTGGACTTTTTCCGCTCAGGCTCATCGGCAGCTGCTTCGTCGTCATCACCAAGTCCAGCGTTGCGGAGGCGTTTGAGCCTCTTCTTCTCGGTCAAAGAGGAGTCGCTGTCGTCGTCTTCCCCGAGATCGTCTTCTTCGAAATCGTCTGCCATGTCGTCGTGGTGTTCGAAATTGAGAGTTTGGCCCATATGTGTCAACTCGCCGAGCGGCTCGGTCTCTTCAAGGTCGAAGAGTGACGTCTTCTTGTGCGTTCTCTGCTTCTCACGGGCGAAACGTTCGAGCATCTTCTCCTCCTCGGCTAAAGACGGATCGTTTTCACCGAATCGACGATCAAGTATTCCACCGACCTTGTTTCGCTTCTGCATCTCAACCAGCAAAGTCTCTCGGCGCTGTTGCACTCGTTAGCATTGCGTTCTGCAAAGACACAACCGCGCATCCTCACCCTCTGCTCGCCCAAAGACTTGGCCTCGGTCGGACGGCCATGGATGCCCTTTGCCGCGGCCCCAGTCTGAGGCCTGTTGGTTGTGATTTCGAACTTGGGGCCTCGGGGGTTATGCTTGAGGTCGAAGGGGTTAAACTGTTCCCTGATCTGGCTGAGGGCCGCACCTCTCTGCAGGCGCTTGTCGGTTTTGGCCTTTTCATCTTGCGCGAATTGGCGTTTCTGCTTCTTAGACTTTTGAGGACCAACAATTCCTTGCTCCCTAAGGGAAGATTTGAGTCGCTTGAGCTGCGAGCCGGCCATCTTGTCGTGTGTGCCTGGGACTCGATGTTGTGGACGCTGCTGAGAGGAAATAGTGCAGTCGCCTGCCCAAATTTTTTGAGCGGAACGAAGCACAAATGTTTCTTATCTTATCATGGTGGTGGGGATGGCAGGGCGGTGGCGCAAGGCAAAATCAGTTGGCCGTCAATGCTCGAGCTCGATTGTTAGTACGTGTGAGCTGCCCACGCTTTCTGGTGCCAATCCCAAGACTTGCTTTTCCTTAGCCTTACTTCATTCAATGCTCAAAACCCAGTATTTGATCATGGTTCAACACCCTTCGCTTCATCTTCAGACAACATGACTCTGATGTCATTTCTTCGCGATGAGCGCGTCATCCTCGTTGGCATCGGTGCCGCTACGTTCGGCATGATCACTATGATGACCCAGATGCTAACGTATATTCGCGACGACAACGAAGTCAAGATCACGCCGCCGAAGACGCAATACATTACCCAAGAGACCGAGGATGCGCTCGGTCTCGAGACTCTCGACAAGCTGCTATGTCATCCAAACTTCTCCATCCGTGACGTTGCTATCAAGATACTCTGCGATCGCGCTGTCAATGATTCTGACACTGTCCGATATTTGCTCTACGGTATCACGCGGCCAGACTACGACACTCGCATGACGAACCTCCGTGCTCTGGCAACATTGACGGGACAAACTAATGGTAGGCAATGGCGTTCAACTTGATGAGCGGAAGAGCTGACTGACGTCTAGACTTCGCAGAGGGTCTCTCGAAGTTGCACACATGGAGAGCATACACCGCCCTCGTCAGGTCCCTCGAGTTGAGCCTAGCCGACGTGGAACAAACGAAATTGAACGATAAATACTGGGACGAATACTATCTCCGCGATATGGCTGAACGGTTCTGCCTCATGTTCGTCCTCGAGCTTATCACTAAGTACGGCGCAGATATGTTGGTGAAGGCCAAGTTCGTGGAAAAGTGGCTAGCTAAGCAATACTGGGGAGACGATGACGCCGAGCGGCAGGAGAACTTCACCTACTACATGGAACACAAGAACAACCGCATCGTTGATATTGTCACAAGGATCGCGCACACCACGCAGGGAGCAAAGGCAATCCTTGCGTGTAATCTCATTTCCAACAAAGCCAGTCCCAGTGTAAACCCAGATCCAAGTCTTTCTGGCTTCAGCGTTGTGTTGCATTCCACATTGTGCAACGTGGATGGCGAAGATGAGGGACTGCAGGCGGTGGAGCAAATGCCTCGTACGCGGGAGCACTCGGCCGAGGAACAACGTCTTAGGCGCCAACACCGCGAGGCGATGGTGTTTAATGACGGCACGCGACCCATTGGAAGGGAGGATATCATCGAGAGGAGCCACGACTCGCCAAGCTGAACGATCAGTGGCTGTGGCAACAGACGTATTAAGCAGCAGATTGGTTGATCCATGTAGTATCGACTACATGCGCAGCTGTGTTTTGCATCGAAAGTCTGATCAACACGGACGCGCCCGTACAGGACAGGGACGAGAAAGCCTTTAATTGATTTGGCATGATCCGTGGAAGAGCAGTAGAGAACATCTTACAACTAGGTTAACGCCATTCAGCACGTTAATGCCGGCTGGGCGTTGCGCGTTCAAGGCAAGTGGGAAAGGTACGGGTTGATGCACAGGACCCGGAGTCTACTACTATGTAAGCATAACACTGCTTCTGGAGGTAGGAAGTCCGTCCAGTGGTGGCCTAAAGATTAACTTGATTCCATGGAGACACAAGATTGCCATCCCTGACAAGTACTTGTAACAAAGATATGTGATTGGCATAGAAGTTAAATACACTGCTTCTAGTGCCGCTAGTATCGCCAATCATTGCGCGATTCCGTTACGCACCCATCTAAGTAAAGAATTGAGCTGGTGTTCCCGAAGGATGGCAGGCCGAATAGCATCCGTCGATTGGCGAGACTTATTTCGTCTGATATGATAATAAGCTTCACACAGTACACTCCACAGGGGCCAGCCCGTCAGGTACCGACGCGGATGCACACTGGACCCATGGCCCGGGGGGGGGGGGGGGGGGGGGGGGGCGGTACCCAGGGACCATCTCACCTCCCTCTCCCAATAGCTCACTGCCATTCCCGGCCGTGAAATCTACAAACTGGCGAGTTCAAGATGTCTTGTTCCGAAGAGATATCGGCAGTATCACGATTGATCGCCTGGCAAGCATTGGTTTGCTCAGGAAGGAGGGCTCGTACTGTCGTTAAATAAATGCGCTTTCTTACTGGCCGGCTAGCACCTCATCCGGTCTGGGTCCAACCAATGCATCAATACTCAATGGCGTTATCTAAATTTGGGCGGCGTAGACGGACGGCCGGGAGAAGGAAGCCAGAGTAAAATTACTGCTCACCTCCCTCCCCCTCTCAATATTGGACCATGACTGATGCTACGCCACTAGTACACCTTGGAGTTAGACAGTAATTGTCCACCACGGCTCAAGTAAAGATTATCTGATGGTACATTCCAAATAGGAGGGGTCAGCAGGTAGATATCTGGTTCCTTTGCCGCCGATACCAACAACAAAGACAACGAACACGTCGCATGCAGGCAGTCAACCGGAGACGAACGCCCCCACAGCCTCACCCTGTCTTTGCCTGGGGATTGGGCTGGTTTAGACCCGCTATCTGCAGGCAACGGTAACCGGCCACGGCTTGAATGAAGCAACGCGACGACAGCGTCATGGCAACCGTGAGGGTACGAACTCGGGGGGGCAACCAGAGGCTTCCCCTTGACGTTCGAGGTTGCCTCATTCAAATCTGCTGCTGCCAGCATGGGTACGAGGGTCGATGATGGAAGGAGCGGCGCGGATCCCGATGCCATGCCAAATGGTCCAATTGCAGCCCAAGCCTCTTTAAAAGAACATTCGTGACGAAGCAGCTGCGGCTGCAGCACTCACTCTCTTACTCGATCTGGATCCATGTAAACATTGTCGGCTGCTGCGGTACCATAAAGAGGAATGAATGCGATGAATGCGACGGACATTCCAGCGCCAGCGACTCTCTCCCGTTTCTCTGTCTACCCATCGCCAAATTCCACTGCCTACCTACTTACTTATTCAACAGTCTTGTTGTCCACCTTCCTGTTCTAGATGTGTCTTGCTTGATCTTGTCTTTCCCTACACCAACCCGTCCGTTCACCCCTCGTCCCATTCACCCCAGATTACTGATACCTCGCGCCGCGCTGAGATACCCCCCAAAAAACCACCAAGACTAACCCTCCCACAAGGGTCACGCTACAACACTACACAACCCGACGGATCACCAACCCATTTCCCGCTTTCCTTAACGGCCTCCACCCCTGCGCATGGGAGTTAGCCCACGGATCCTTACCCAAAAGGCTGAGCCATAAAGTGGCCAACGTCGGAGAACCCATCAAGAGCGGCCGTGCCGAGCAAGGGGAAAAGGAGGCTCATATCGTCACAAAAAGCCCCTCCTCCTCTGAGGACCTTGGTCTTCTTTTTTTCTCTCTTCTTTTTTGCCACGTCCTTCACCCAGGACTTCTTTGTCCTGCTTTTCTATCGCCGACGGCATATCCAAACGACACGTTTCCGTGGCACGGGTCACTTCCCAACCACTGAGCCAAGCTGCTCGGAGCTTCTAGGTAGGTCTGTCGAGCTCACTGAAAGACGCAGACTTACAGCGGCTGTCAAAGTCAGAGACAAGCCCATCCTCGACCCTACCGAAAGGTTAAAGACCCAGGCGATCACACACCTCACGGTGCTCTTTCGGCATAGCGTACGAATACTGTCTCTCCTTCCCGCCCAATCAACCGAGCGTTCTTCCGCCCGCCACATATTTGTGTTGCTTCTCCCGTACACGGGATACTGAGGTATTCGCAAAGATCATTCCGTTCGCCATCAAACAGGACCTTCGTCGCGCATCTCATTTGCTGCGCGGCTCCTACTGCGACCAAGGCAAGCGAGCTAAGCTCCCGTTACGACGACCGACCAGTGGGGCACCGGTGTAACAATAGGTGCCACCACGACAAGCTGGCCTGACCCTGTGCCGCCTACCAAAGAGCTCAGCTCCAGTAGAGTTGCCGTCCAGCGCTCAATCTAGCGGTCGCATTACTGCCCGCGTCCCTGTATCCGAGCTGTGGTACCCACTAATTTACTGCACTGTCTTCAATACCCAAACTTACCCGGCTGGTCATCATGTCCGTCACCACAACAACAGCGACCGCCGCTCACGCGCCGACCCATAGAAGTCTCGCCCACCCACCGCGAACTCTTCGGAAAGCTGCCAGCTACACCAGCAACTTCGCCTCCTCTACAGCTGCTTCTTCCCCTAGTCTCAACTCACTCTACAACATTCATTCGCGCCTCGCGCCGACCCACCACTCCCTGCCTCGGAAGTCCTCCCTGGCCGCTTTGACTCCCAAATCACTCGCCTCCATTCCCGATGTAAGCGAGTCTTACGCCTACAACAGTGTGCTAGCCGAGTCGTCACCCGATCGCAAAATGCCACCCGCTACTCCCGGTAAGGTCGGGAACGACTTCGCCGTTGGCGATGTCGTCGAAGTTCCCGGGAACATGTTCGGCACCGTTCGCTTCATTGGGTCGGTGGACGGGAAGAAGGGCACTTTCGCTGGCGTCGAGTTGCACCCCGAGTTCGCACAGAAGGGAAAGAACTCTGGTGAGGTGGAAGGGTAAGTTTTCTGCCAAAGTCAAATTGACGACAGAACCCGCCCCTGATTGTGCATAGTGTCTCGTACTTCTCCACGACTCTCCCTGGCGCAGGCATCTTTCTTCCCCTCAATAAAGCCGTCAGGAGGGACTCGCCGTCGGGCTCGTCCTACAGCTCGTTCCCTCATACCCCCACGGCGAGTACGACGAGTGGTCTTAAGCCCGGCACGCAAAACTCGACGAATCATACCCCTTCTACTCCCTCGGTACCGATGCTGAGCAAGTCTGTCGGGCCAGGCCGGGCTTCTAGTCCTGCGCTAAAGAAGTCCATCAGCAGGCCCTCCGTCCGGCCAGAGTCGCCCGTGCGAAAACTGCAGATGACGCCCGGTCCGAGACCGTCTTTGGTGACACCTGGCAAAGTGCCCTCCAAACATAGCTCGCCTTCCATCAACCGCTTCGCTCAGAGTGTACGTGGTACGGCTGGAGATCCTAGCAAGACGTCAAGACTGGACACAAAATCGAGTGTTGGACCTCGCAGTGCATCTGCCCTTGGTCAAACGTCAATGTTTGACGAGGAGCCCATGTCGTCGAATACTTTGCATCGAACACAGACAAATGGAAGCACAAACTCGATCTCTTCATACAACTCCAAGTTTAGAGCTCCTTCTCGGGCTGGAGCTGGGTCGAGAGCTGCGTCGCGAGCCCAAAATGACGACGAAATCGAGCGCCTGAAGGCAAACCTGGAAGATCGCGAAAGGCAGTTGAGAGACCAGGCAGCCACCCTGGCAGAGATGGAAAGCAGTCTCACCGAGCTGCAAAGTCTTATGGAGAATTCGGATTTGGGGGCACCAAAACGAAATAGCTTTGACAATAAGGACACGGCGCAGCTTCGAGCATTGGTCAAAGAGAAGAACGAGAAGATTGCGATGCTCACAGCCGAGTTTGATGCGCATCGGGCAGACTTCCGAAGCACAATCGACACCTTGGAAATGGCCAGTACCGAGACCGAAAGAGTTTACGAAAAACGAATCGACGAGCTGATGCTTGAAATCCGAGAGCTCGAATCCCGGACTGATGACGTGGACTCTGTCGCTCGACAATTGAAGCAGCTCGAGGAGCTGGTTCAAGAACTCGAAGAGGGCCTCGAGGATGCCCGGCGTGGGGAAGCCGAAGCCAGAGGAGAGGTCGAGTTTCTTCGGGGCGAAGTTGAGCGCACGCGGACCGAGTTGCGCCGTGAGCGCGAAAAGGCTTCGGCTGCGGTGAATGGATCTAGAGGGTCACCGCTTGGTGACCGTATCTCTGGATCCAAGGAGCTCGAGCAGAAGGAAGATGAGATCCGGGGATTGAAGGCCATCATCCACTCCCTCAGTCGGGATTCCGTTCCTGGTGAAGGCGCCGATAAGCCGGAAGACCCTTCAGTCCGCGAGAACGCCCTGGCTCGAGACAAGCTGGAGCGTGACTTGGCAGAGCTCCGTGCTATTGTCAAGGAAAAGACCCAGCGTGAAGAGGAGCTCGAGCGGGAACTAGAGATGCTCCGTAGGGGGAGCGCTACAACCCTGCAAACCGACTCTGCCACCAATGGTGGTGCTCAACGCTCGTCGCTTCGCGATTCGCGGGACACGATCATTCTGACGCGCAACAGCGAGGCTCAACCCCCTACAGCAACGCACAAGCGCGTCCGCACATTGGACACCATGCCAGAGAGTGATGCCTACTCGTCTGTCACCGACAATAGTACTCTCTGGTGCGAGATCTGCGAGACGGGCGGTCACGATATCCTGACTTGCACCAATATGTTTGGCACCGAGACTACCAAGACTAATGGCGACGCCCTCAAGACGATCAAGGATGCCACCAAAGAGGACACACGGCCTGTTTCTGATGAAGACAAGCCTGCCCCCCTATCACCGGTCAAGCCCAAGACGACAGTTCCTCCGTCCAACACCCAGATGCTCCCGAACCCTATGGAGACCGGCCCTGTGGCTGGCAAGGAGACAGGTGTGATAGACAACTCAAAGTGGTGTGCTGTTTGCGAAAGAGATGGTCACGAAAGCTACGATTGTCCGTTCGAAGACGCATTCTAGTAGGATCGACTTTGAGTCACAACATCGAGAAGGGGGGCCTGTACAAAAGATAAGACGTTATTACGTCGTCAACCTTGTCTTGTGTTGAATTATTGTGAAGGTAAAACTACAGGATGATCAGTTTTGTATCGGATCCCTGTGTTTTCAGAGCGATGGAAGTTTTTCGTTCGTCATAGCATTTGCAGCGAAGATACCACAGTTCGAGGAGGAGCTTGTTTCCCAGCATTGATTTTTCGCACTGGACTCGGTTCCTAGTCAGTCCAGGTGTGATGCAGCGGCTCTTTTGGTCTCCTTGGTATTCATCTCGGTCTCCTTGGTATTCACCCCAAGGGGTTTATATAAGTTAATAATAGTAGACCTAAGTCATGGGTTTCCAACATGGTCGCAAAAGACGCGAAGGTATGGATAACTGTGCGATAAGCATCACATGTGATGGAGAATTCGCTGAGGAATGCATACTTTGGTCGTATCCCCGAAGGCTAGGGACGGGCTGCATTTGGAAGGCAAGGGTCTTCCCGTCGTGGTGTTCCCCACCAAAGGGTCCCCGTGGCGTTTCATGGTCTCTGCCAACGCGTATCCTTAGCTCAGCAAAGCACAGCCTCGAGGCAGGGGCAGCAAGCGGTTGATCTGATGTTTCCTCCCCTTCGACTCGTTTTTATTATTGTCTTGCCCTACGACATTCACTTTCTCGCAATTGCAAACGACGGCTCATTCTTCTTGACTTCTACGCGCCATCTCCAATCGTTTAGAGGCCACTTGGATACGAAGAACGGCAATCCCGGCTTGTTCCGTGAAGAGCACATATCCTTGTTTTTCCAGGGTACCTACCTGCCACGCCCACCTCGGACTTGCTGGAACGTGGAGGACCTGCGTCAGCTTTTTCCTGCCCACTTGGTTACTGGGGTGGCAGAGAAACAGAGTGGGAGAGCTAGCTGTCCTGTATCCCGCGCAGCTGCAACCACAACTTCTAATCGCGAACAAACGAGGCCGAGGTTTTCACTGCGATACTTACGACCGGACATACCCACCGTATCGATTGTCAGCAATTCAACGGCGCTGAAAGCCAATTGTATCGACCCACCCCTACCTGACGGACAGCATACGGCGACGCCCGGCGAGCTGTCTACAGCACCGACAACCGCGGCGTCAAAAGTCGCGGAACCCACACGCAAACACACGCACACACGTATCGACATTTCCGTCGCATTCCGTTAGCCCGGTATGGCGCAAATGCTCCTCGACGTGCTCTACTCCTTCGGGAACTGCCTGAACTGCTTCCCCGGCTCGCCGACGCTCAAGATCAACAACCGTAACTTCAAGATCCTCCGCCTTCTGGGCGAGGTAAGTCCTCTTGATCTTCTACTTCTACGTCCCGATTCAATACGTGGCCCCATCTCCCGTGTCGGAAGCGGGCTCTTTAGACAAAGAGAAATCCGTAAACTAACGGCACCGTTGCGCAGGGCGGCTTCTCCTACGTATACCTCGTCCAGGACACCCAGACCTCGGAAGAGCTCGCCCTCAAGAAGATCCGCTGCCCCTTCGGCGCCGAGTCCGTCGCCCAGGCCATGAAGGAGGTTGACGCCTATCGCCTCTTCGCCCGATCTCCCGGTATCATCCACAGCATCGACCACGCCATTGCCACCGAGCGCGGCGGCGAGCCCGGCTCCAAGACCGTCTATGTCCTGTTGCCCTACTACCGTCGCGGCAACCTCCAGGATCTCATCAACGCCAACCTCGTCAACCACACCGCCTTCCCCGAGCGCAGGCTCATGCTCCTGTTCCTGGGCGTCTGCAAGGCGCTCAGGGAGATGCACTTTTATACCGGCGGCGGTGGTGGGCGCGGGCAACCCGGCATCGAGAGGATGGAGATGGGCAACGGCGATGAGGAAGACCAGGGCAACGGCCCCAAGAGGAAGAAGAGCGGGAAGAACAAGGGCGGCAAGCGCGTCGCGAGCATGGCCGCCGCCACAGGCGCCGACGATGAGGATGAGAACGAGCAGCAGAGGCCACTGATGGAGGGCGAGACGCCCGGGTCCGGCGACGTCAAGTCGTACGCGCATCGGGACATCAAGCCAGGTAGGTCCCCTCCCCACCAAACGCCAAACGGACCGGACTAACATGCCCTTCCCAAGGAAACATCATGATCGACGACTCGGGCTCGAACCCGATCCTCATGGACCTCGGCTCCATCGCACCCTCCCCGATCCCCATTACCTCACACTCCCTCGCCATCGCGACGCAGGACACGGCCGCCGAGCACAGCACGATGCCCTACCGCGCCCCGGAGCTGTTTGACGTGCAAACCGGCACTGTCATTGACACAAAGGTCGACATCTGGTCCCTCGGCTGTACCCTTTACGCCTGTCTCGTCGGTAAGTCCCCCTTCGAAGCCCGCTCCGACGAGACGGGCGGCTCCCTCAGCATGTGCGTCCTCGGCGGCGACTGGCGCTTCCCCGACGAGGGCATCAAGCGCACGGGCACCAGCGGCGGCATGAGAGGCCAGGCCGCCGCCGCCGCCGCCGACCCGGGCGCCTCAAGTGCCGGTGAGGTCAAGATCAGCGAGCCCATCCGCGACGTTGTCCGCAAGTGTCTCAAAGTCGAGCCGGCCGAGCGCCCGGATATTAACGAGCTCATTGACATGGTCGAAGGCGTCATCGAGGAGTTGCCTCAAGATGGGTCTCTGTGAGTGCGTAAAGAGGGAAACAGGGGGGAGGGAGGGACTTGATCATGATGGGGCTGCTTGGGTTCATGTACTGTGTAATGATGTCGATCTTTCCCGCCGTTCCTAGGGAATCTTCAAGGCTTCTAGTAACCACGGCGTTTAGGGGCGGAGCATGTAGGCAAAGGAGCTAGAGAGCCATTCTGGGGTTTTTTTTATTGGTCTGTTATTTTACATAGGTATTCACATGTCCCAAAACGCCTAGGAAGAGGCGTGTTTGATTCTTCGTCATGTTTCCATCGTGATTCATTTCGAGCCTCCAAATCCGGAATCGTCCTCACCCTCCGACGTAGCTAGCTCCTCAACCTCGTCTTCGTCTGTGGTACTACAATCGTACTCAACACCGCAATTGCCCAGATTCGCATCCTACAACTCCAGGCGGTAGGTTGCGATTTCGAAGGGGCGCAGCGTAATCGGGAACTTTCCGCTCTCGATCTTGATTTCCTCAATGTCGTCTTCCAGCAGGTTGCTCTTGAAGACGCGCTTGACGTCCCAGGTGGTCTCAATAACACCCCGGCTCTGGCCGCCGAGACTGTCATACACACGCAAGATGACGTTGCGCCCCTTGCGCTTGGGCAGCTCACCGCGAGTGACGTCCTCGTCGTCTTCGCCCCGCTTCACAGTGTCAAGGATGAGAGAGCTATCTCCGGTAAGCTTGACAGGGCTCTTGTTGAGGGATGCCTGTACAGTGCCGGGAGCCGACAGGAGCTTCAGAGGGCTGTTGAAGGCATACGCTGCCCGGACAGTCGAAGAACCCAGTGGCCCCTCGTGAGGGAAAATCGCCCAGCGAATTTGGTGGGTTCCCATGTCAGCATGGGCATCAGGGGCCTTGGGTGACCGCAGAAGAGACAAGCGCTGCAGATTACCGACGGTTGCGAAACCGTACTTGCTGTCGTTCAGAATGGAAACACCGTAGTTGTGCTCGGAAAGATCAGCGAAACGGTGACAGCAGACTTCGAATTTGGCCATGTCCCAGCTGTGATACGTTAGAGGTTGTCCCTGGGGTATCAAAAGAGAAGACGCACCTTGTGTTGTAGTGAGTGGGCCGCTTCACGAGACCATACGCTGTCTCGTAGGACGCCTCGGTGTTTCTGACGTCGACAGGGAACTCGACCTTCAAGAACTTCATAGACTCGTGCCAGTCGACTTCAGCGTGACACTCGACCCAAGACTGGACCCCCTTCAAGGCGGCTGAAAGCGTGATTGTGGACTTGATTGAGCTTTCTTCGCTAACTTTGACCTCGGTAGTCAAGCTGACGCGATGCGCTTTCTGCTCGGAAATTGCAGTCTTGCCACAGCGAAGCTCCTTTCTGGTGTCGAGGTGGTAGACTTCGACATCCCAGGCTTGCCAGTAGAGTGGCTTGTCGTCAAAAATGACATACTGGTTAGCCTTTCCGCCCTTCTCAATGACCTCACGGTTGGCAACACGGTCATATAGAGAAGTTATGGTTCCGTCCTCGACCTTGACGCGAAGCTGATCGTTCTGCAGAACAAATACGCCAGAGCTGACTTCTTCGACAGTGACTGCTGGCTCCTCCTCGGAGACCTTAAGAGGACGGATGGCCAGCAGTTGGCCCTCACCACAAGCAACACCAGCTTCCGTCGCGGAAAGCTCAACAACCTCTTTGCGGTGCCAAGGGAGAGTGTTCAGTGCCACAGTCTCGTTAATGCAGCCGTTGGTGGTAGCAGACACTCCCAGCACGCCATGGATGTCCTCAAGGATCTTTTTTCCGGTCTTGAAGACCATGTCGTAGAGCTATCTAGGTCAGCATTGGTAATCTTGTGCTTGCACTCTGTGACTTACCTCGTCCGAATCATCGTAGCACATCTCGATAGAGCTGCCTGGTAGGCAATCGTGGAATTGGCAAAGCAAAACGGCCTCCCACATGTCATCAATTTCCTTCTTTGGGTACTTGTAGTTTTTGCCACCGTCGCTGAGTGTCGCGATAGTGGCAAGCCATTCAACGTCCCTCAGAAGAATCTCGGACTTGCGGTTGTTGAGCTTGTTGTTCGCCTGCGTAGTGTATGTACCACGATGAAGCTCAAAGTAGAGCTCACCATACCAGGTGACGAATTCTGTAGCCTTGGGCTCTAGCTTGTCGAAAAAGTCGTCGACACTGTTACCCATGTGCACTCTAGGCAACATGCCGACTTGATCGGATATGCCGCGGCATCTGCGCAGCTTTTCGAGGTGCTGCCAGGTTGGGCCTCCGCCACCATCACCCTTGCCAAATACGAGCAAAGACGTGTGATCTTGGTCCATTGACTTGTGCTGGCTGACACTTCTCTTCACGTCGCCGAAGTGGGCTTCAGCGGTGTAAGTTTCCGAGGGCGGCATGTGACAGATGACTTGGCTTCCGTCAAGCGCAACCCAGTTGAAGGTCGTGTGCGGGAACTTGTTGATGTTGTTCCAACTGAGCTTCTGCGTGAGGAAGCGGTTCATGCCAGCAAGACGGCAGAGCTGGGGAAGCTGGGCCGAGTATCCAAACGTATCGGGAAGCCAGAAAGTCTGGCAACGCTCGCCGAAGTTGCTTTCGAAAAATCGCTGGCCGTACAAGAACTGCCGGACAAGAGATTCGCCACTAGGCATGTTGGTGTCGTGTTCGACCCAGCTACCACCAATGGGGTGAAATCTGCCCTCCTTCACCTTCGTCTTGACGCGGTCAAAAGCATAGGGATAGATTTCCTTCAGCCACTTGTACTGCTGAGCTTGCGAGCAAGCAAAGTTCAACTCAGGATAGCGGTCCATCAAGTCGCACTGATTAGACCAGGATCTGACGACCTTGCGCTTTGTCTCGGCCCAAGGCCAGAGCCAGCAGCTATCGATGTGGCAATGCCCAATACCAAAGACTTGAGGCTCCTTGTCGGTGCTGTAGACCTTGTGAGAGTCGACGTTCGAACCAAGGTATTCCTGCGCGATCTTTCGGCACTTCAGAATGGAATCCTTGTTGCCAAGCTCAAAAGCATCGATTATATCAGTAGCGACCTTGAGAGCCTTGTGTTGCTCCCACGAGTCCTGAGGAAACTCACGCGCAGCATCGCCAATGATCCAAATGTCAATGTAGAGTGCTCGTGCCTCGGGATTAACAGCCACAATTTCAGCTTGGCCAAGGCGGAAATACTTGTTGGGGTCCGGCGGCTGGATCCCGTCTCCGCCGGGGGCGTTTCCAAACATGCCATTGCAGGCCATCTCGATGTAAATGGTATGCTCTTTTCCGTCCCTGAACTCCTTTGGCAAAATCCATTCGGTCCGCTCGCCGCCACCAGTAAGACCCTGGAGCGGCTTGCCGTCCTCGGTCCAGATGAGACCCTCATTGTTGGCATCCCAGCGGAGTTCAAGAAGGTCCTTGTCACGCAGCTCTTTCGGGACGGTCAAGACGACTTTGAACCAATGGGTGGACCATGAGGGGCCAAACCAGGCGCCAACTTCGGTCTTTTTGAATTCGTGCGAGACAGCGTCCTCAAAGGTCGGGCGAGTGGTGTCGGGTGCGTCCCAAACGGATAGCTTAACGTGAGGCTCGCCCGATGCGGTGCCCTCCGTCATCATTCTATGGTGCAAATTAGCGGGACGCTCCCCAGGTTTACTACGGGGCGTAGGTGTGGGGAGGGGGGGTAACGCACGCCAGGAGGTTGTGCTTCTCCCATTGCCCGCCGGAGTAGAATTGATTAATTCTCTCCTTGTAGATGTTGGAGATCCATTGTCCCACAGGACGGGAAGCGAGAGTTGGGTATGAGCTCTTGCTCTTGATTTCTCTTCCGCCACCCATAATGGGGTGTCCTGTCAAGCTATCGAGCAGTGGCTGTCCAGACTGTTTCGATGGATTGAGAGGACCAGGTGGAGCTGATCGATTGTTTAGTCGACGATTACGATGGAGCTCCGATAAGTGATGATGTAGCCGCGAGGGTTTTGGAGATGCGTTGTCGACTTTCTCGGCAGCTTTGAGAGCGTCGGTGAGATGTTGATTAAAGGTTTTGGGGTCGTAATCACTACGAAACAGAGGTGTTCTCGTTAGCTTTGACCTCGGGATTGTCTGAAAGCAGAGACGGACTCGAAGCTCTTTGGGGGGGAGCTAAGGTAGAGCATGGGAACACCCCTGCGGTAGAGATAGGCGGGCGCTGAAACGCAGCCAGTGGGAGCGAGCGGGGACGTGTCGGTGCAACAGAAGTGCGGGGAGGTTGGGTCTAGGAGGAGGTGTGGGTGACGCAGCCATCGTGCGATCCCCTCGATTAGCCGGGACGCCAGGGGAACCAGAGGATCGACCATCACCTGGAACGCCTGTCTTACCTCATCTTGTCGACTTGGTGATGCTGAATGCGGCGAGAGACAGGAAGGTGGTGTTGAAGGCCTTGGTATTAGGGCTTCACTTGGATGATTGTGCCAAAATCAACCAGTATGGATAATGGCACAGGAGGTAGTTGATGATAGAAACGATATACAGTTGGTAGCGAGAAAGGAACGAGGACGAAACTTTGGCGAACCGACGCTGGAAGCTCAGGTAGTTCGAGATGTCGACTAAGGATGAATATGGGGTGGTTGATGCAGGCAGTGTTCAGCTAGCCAGAGTACCTGTGGTGTGAGTCGCTTTGGAGCGGCCGCCATTGAACTTGTCCGGCATGACTTGATGTTCGCAACTGCCCTTGACGAGGCGCATGTGTTGCCTTTGCTTAATTCCAATATTATCGGGAGCCACGACTATCCACATGTGCAATCTGGCTCTTTCTTGGCCAAGACAGGAGTAAGTGAAGGCCGATGCGAGTCGAAAGAAATGCAGTGTTACGCACCTTATGGGTAAAAGTGACGTTGTAAGTTCAGTAGGTACATGATCGCGGTTACACCGGCGCTGTTCATGATGCAGTAAATATCGCCTATCCCTCGACCGAATGCCTGTCTAGAGCCCCGGTGGATCTCTGGGGAAGCTGTGCGGCTGCATTGCATGTATATGTCACACGAACTGCAGGCGGATGACCGCCAGCTACAGTCTTCAGCAGTCATGAGCTCCTTTGACATGGATGGCATCAGAAAAGGTCAACGGACGGAATACGATGATAGTGTAAAACAGTCAGTTTGGTGGAGTGAGGGGTCATGGGGGTGCAGGTGGGGAAGATATTTGTTTACTCCCCCCTTCGGTTACCCTTAGACAGCCAGTGCACTTTTGTTAGGCGGCCAGTGCCTAACCCAATCTGGAGACACCGCCACTACCGCCAGATTTCCCCAACACAGATAAAATAATCATATTCTATCACCCTAACTCTAACTAACCCAGACCCTAATTAACCTAACTACTAATCCTATGTATCTTCTATAGATATAAAGGTTCTTAAAGATACGTAGGGTTAGTGGTTAAGGTGGTTAGGGTCTGGCTTAGTTAGAGTTAGGGCGACGGAATATGGTATTTCTAGCTCCTATGGGGCAGTCCTTCCAGATCAGGTTAGACACTGGCCGCCTAATAAAAGTGCACTGGCTGTCTAAGGGTTGCCCCCCTTCCCCTGGAAAGCTAAAAATCTCATGTTTTTATAGTCACAAACGTATGATCATCCATTAAGGTCGTCCCCGTCTCACTTGAGACATCTGGGCTCGGGATGACGTTCACAACTCGCTCTTTTCTGTTGAGTTTATGGACTAACAGTGTGCGTAATGAGATGCACCCGAGTTCTCACACAAAAGAAACAAAATACAAGAGAAAAGAACCATGTCTGTCTTGTTTCATAGCGACATGGTGCCGGATATGTGTATATATACTATATGCAGAAGTAGCCTGAAAGTGAGGTATGTAGGTCGCCGAGGGTAAATAATCCAATCATCACATCATCGTCCATGTCCCACCGTTGAACGCCGCAAAATAAGGTAGGAAAAGAGTATCAAAAAGGGGGAGGGAACCACACAAAGCAAAGCAAAAGCACGCCCCAAAATACAGTGTCAAGATGACAAGCCAGAGTCCTTGTCCCGGCTTCCCGTACCCGTTCCCGTACCACGGTGGACAGCCTCGGACCCGGCCTCCTCCTCTTCATCTTCGTCATCCAGGTCCAAATCGTCTTCGTCATCATCGTAGTCTTCAGCCTCGTCCTCTTCGAATTCGTCCTTCATGGGGTAGTCACAGACATCTGCCTCGCTCTCACTCCCACTGTCCTCCTCAAAGCCGAGCACGCCGAGGACGGGCACCTCGACCTTACGGTACTGGCTCCTGATCATGCTGTCGGCCATCTCAAACAGCTTAGCATCCTTGTCTGGCGGCACCTCTCTATCCATGGAGAAGTGGGCCTCGTCCTGGTCAGCGAGGTCGTCGGGCCCCAGGACGGGCGGCGATGACAGACCGGCAGGCAAGTTCATGACCCAGCGCCGGACCCCTTCGCCCTTGATAACGCGGGACCGGGTGCTCCGAGCTCTTAACCCCGTCCGAAATTGCCGTTTTTGCTTTCGGCGTCTCCGCTGGACCCGGTCGCGGACATACCACGCCACCACTAACATGGCCGCCTGCATCATCTCTTGACACTTTTGCTTGTGCATGTTTGCCCAGGCCTGACATCTCTGCTGCTGCGCGTTAGAGATGGCTTGGCACCTTTGTTGATAGTATGCAGCGATGCGTGAGACCATGGCCGCGTATTGAGGGTCCATGGGCGGCTGGCTCGTCGGGTCTGCCGCACTCGTGTTGGAAGTCGAAGTCGGCTTGGGCGGGGCACCCATGGACGGGGTGGTTCTTGGTGATTCCTCCTTCTTCATCGTGGCTGTGACATGGTCGTTGGTGATGTTGGCCTCACCGGCCTTGCGTTTTAGTTGAGCTGATAGAGGAAGGGCGGGTTTTCGGAATGAGAGATGCTCGGGCGGGGGCGTGACGGGGGTCAAAGGGTTGAAATTGAAAGCAGGTAGATGCGCCGCCATAGAGAGTGATTTAGTATGAAGTAATTTTTTCTATGTGGTGATGGTCTTATGTAGGGAGGTCGTTTCTGTGCCGTGCGTTTGATGTCGTGGATATCGTATGTTGGAGTGCCTCCTTACTGGCACTAGTTACGCGCTCGCGAGAGAAACCGAGAAAGAAGTTTGAGGATTGCAAATCGCAACAATCGCAGGAGATGCGGCAGTAAGTTTGGATTGATATAAATCAGACTCTTGCTGTTGAGAGTGCGTTGGGAAGCGGTAGCAGTAATAATAGACAGTGTTGTTGGGTAGGCAGCAGCAGTAGTAGTAGTAGTAGTAGTAGTAGTAGTCGTTTGAGTCGGGATCCGCTGCAGACTGGGAGGTAGGCGAAAACGGACGTACGAAAGCAAGTGTTCATCAGGAGGGGGGGTGGATCAGCTGAAGCACATGAAAACAGATATATATCCTACAGGGCGACATTTCAAACCAGGCGGGCGACATGACGGCGTATGCTGCCATGTTTGGGCCAAGGGTCTGGCGATAAATTTGGAGAGTGAGCGGGAATGGGCTGAGGAGGAGTCGAAATCGGCCGATACCGAGCCGAATGGCAACCGCGCAGTGGCTCTAGCGGCCTGGGCCCGGTACGTATCTCCACGTACCACGATGCTGCACGACGGGCGAGCCAGAACTTTCACCGACTTCTCGGATCTTACCTGGTACCTTTGTCCCTAATTACTTCCTAACTCCGCCTACAACGGTCATCCCGTGAGATGCGGACGAGCGAGACTCGACGTCCCTCTTTTCTGTTCCTTGTTGAAATTTTTTCTTCTTTTCTTTTTTCCATCCGTCCTGGCTCCGGGAAGGTTACCAAGCAGAAAGGAGGGGGGGAACCTTATCAGAGATGATTTGCCTCAAACGCTTACACATCGTAGCATCCTTCTTGATTATCCTGTGTGGGATGCTTCAATCCGAACTACCCGTTTCCCCGTAGTCCCGTGTCAATAAGATATGCGTCCGTGTCCTCATGTAGTACTGGTGATGCCCTACAGCAGCAGCAACTGGCAAAGCACGCACCCCACCATAGGTAGGTTTGTTGATGCCGTCTCGGCAGCCACACGCGATTCTATCATCGATCCATCATTCTACACAAGAGAGACAAGACAGCCCACATCTTTCCACCCATCACCGCACCGCACACAACCGCTGTGCCCCAGCCGTTCGCCGAGTGCCATGGCCTTGTGCCTGTACGGAGTAGTCTAGGTCATAATACCACGCTAGCCATAGGGACTGGCGAAATATGCAAGGTGCTGCCACCCATGGAGGAGATGGAATGGTCTGGGGTGGCGGCATCCTGTACCGTCGTCTGCCCATCTTTGATTGTCCCCTGCCCACACTCGTCCGCTTTCCTGGGAGCACTCGGCCGCCCTCTTTCGGGAAGTGAGGAGTTCGGTCGTCCTGTTGATCGCTATAGCTGTTGAGCCACGATGCGGCCACGGCCTCTGTATTATGATGCGACCCCCCGCTTTGTCAATCTCGACATGACGGAGTTATCATCCGACCCTCGCCCGCATGGCAATGCATTGCGTCGACAGCCTCGCTGAAAGTTGGGACATTTGACCGGCTTTTACTGGCTAGGCGCTGCGAGCATCCAACATGTCCAACGAACACGCCGTGATTTCTGCCGTCTGAAGGTTTGGGTCCCTGCAGCGCAGCCCAACCAACAGCAGCCAGGCGACTTGTCAGGCTTTCCAACTCTTCAGAGATGCAAATGTGGTTCCCAACTCCAATAGGCCTCCACTGCTATCCTCCCTCTCTACCTGCCACCCCAAGTACCTACTTACGTTTGGCCGGTCCAACAGCATGACACTGGACGAAACAGACCCTCGTAAGACCATGATGCACACCAGGCAGGCGCTCTTTTGAAATAAAATAGGCCAACGCAAACAGTAGCAAACGGCTGCCGGCGGTCGACCCTGATCGATTCTATTCGGGGCTTGTTCTTGTTCGAGGCTTCCGAGTCATCACTGATCCTCTCAGCAACGTGTCTCGCTTACACGACCTACATAGGTACCTTGGTATCTGTTTAAGCTCTGCCAGGCATAGAACTCCTAGGTAACTCCGACAGTATACTCCGTACACTGTTTTCAACCCCCCCCTTTCTTCCTTTTTCCCCATTTAATCCCCGTCTGGTTATCCGCCCGCATAGCTGCCGTCTTGTTTTGTCCCATGTCCGGCTGATGGAACTTCCGTGATGAATCCGTTACCGCCGAGGCTTGCTAATTGGTCATGCTCGCCACCAGGTCGGTCGTTGTTTACTCAGTGCTTTACTGGGACTGTTGCATTTTCCACCCGGCCCGTGCAGGACTCTCGCCAAATTCCATCGTCGCAACATGACATTCTTCTCTCGCCATCCCTCTCCAGCCCCATCCGCGCGTCGTGCCATACTACCTACCTAACCTCGTGTGTGCTGGCACAGGCGATGGGAACCAGACCCAGGCGCCTGGGCCATTGCCCCACAGAGCAGTTGGCAACATGATGCAGCCCGTCAGGCGGCCGGGCCCTGCTGTACTCTTGAGCGTTTCCACCTTTAGGTAGGTACCTGCCTTACCGTACTTAGGGAGTAACAATGAGATTCCCCGATCGAATCGGGCGAATTCGATCATCGTCCCGGAAAATCTCGCGATACCTCACGTCCACACTGCTGCTCGCACGATTCGCACCCATCCCATGCCAACCCCCAGTACTTACTGAACTCCCCGGCTCATTATCTCATCGTTGCATCCCCTCTACCTGCCGTTACATTATCGCGTTTCTCGCTGCACTGTGGTACCGGAACCGCTAAATCGGCCATTGAAGAAAACGATCTCGACATCGCGTCCAAACAGCCCACTTCATGATACGCTCACATGTTGGTCCGACCACTCATCACAGTCGCCTGTCATGACTTGGTTCCCCCGTCACTGACCGCAGCCCGATGGTATTCTGCCCCCGCACTCCACCCCCGCCTGCGTCGCGCCCATGGAACGATACGCGGCTTCAGCTTCAGCTTTGGCCGAGAAGCTGGGGTTGCCGGCCGGCTGCGCGGGAGGGTGAGAAACAATTGGCACGTTTCCGTCCTTGCCAGGGGCAAGAAGACCAAGTCGACAGTGAAGCTTGATGATCTACCTCAAGGGGCTCTGGCTTTGAATCCCCATCCCGCGCAAGATGAGGGCCCGGCTTACCCAACAGTCGTGCTCCAGGCGCGCCGTAACATGCGGAAGTTTGACAACTGCGTGCTTCTAACGCGCGTTGGTGGTTTCTACGAGCTGTATTTTGAACACGCCGAGGAGTACGGCCCACTGCTAAACCTCAAGGTCGCCCAGAAAAAGACAAATGCTGGCCTGGTTTCCATGGTAAATTATATCTCTTCTCGTTTTCCGCAACACGTCCGCCAGGGTCATACGCGCGCCATTGGTCTCTTTATGTTCCCTGGGTCTGATGTACGAATTTGTCTTATTAGGCCGGTTTCCCTTTCTTCCAGCTGGATCGATTCCTCAAGATCCTGGTCCAGGATCTGAACCGCTATGTCGCTGTTGCTGAGGAGTTTCCCAATAATGCGCCAGATAAGGTCAAGTCTGGTGGGCTGATGCACGACCGCAGAGTTGCTCGTATCATCACGCCAGGAACCCTAATTGACGAGAACTTCATGGATCCCTATGCCAACAACTATGTCCTAGCAATCCACGCGATGGTAGCCCCATCGGGGGGAGGGGCAGATGGGTTGGTAGCAACATCGGCGGCAGAAGGAGAAGGAGAAGGAGGGGCCCCAGACTCGTCGTCCCATTCAACCACTGACCGGAACGTGACTTCGGCAACTGGTGACCCGGCCGCACCACCAATGTCCCTGGGCCTTGCGTGGCTGGACTTGTCCACCGGTCAGTTCTACACGCAGGCTACCGATCTCTCGGCGCTTTCGTCGATCCTCTCAAGGATATGCCCCAAGGAAGTCGTGATTGATGGCGGGATACAGGCCCAGACTGATCATGGCCTGTTCTCCATCCTCGCCGAGGACCGCCATCTGGTCACTTATAGTTCCTTTGGCGAAATCAGGTGTCTTTCTGATTGGGCCCCCATGCTCGAGAGCGAAATCCCACCGGCGACGCGCGATGCCTTCACTGATGGTGAGGTGATGGCCGGCAGCCTGCTGCTGCACTACGTCAAGGAGCAGCTGCTGGGCTTGAGCATGAAGCTGCAGCCGCCGATGCGACACGAGAACATGCAGATAATGAGCATAGACAAAAACAGCATGCGCTCACTAGAGATCAAGCAGACCATCCGGGACGGGAACTTTAGGGGTAGTCTCTTGCATGCGATTAGACGGACGGTGACCAAAAGTGGCGCCAGGCTCCTCAACGATTGGGTCAGCGCCCCATCCACGTCTATCGATGTTATCAAGCTCAGACAGGACCTCGTTGCCCGCTTCATCGAGGAGCCTGACCTTCGCGATGCCATCGTCCTGCTACTTCGCCGCAGTCATGACTCCCAACGGCTAGTTCAGAAGTTCGCCCTAGGAAGAGGAGATCCAGACGACCTAGTGGCGCTGGCCAACACCATCCATTCCACCGACAGCATCAGACAGCTGTTGACAGAGGCCACTGACGAGTCCAGCTGCCTCGCGCGCATGACGGCACGGTTGGACCTCAAGGCCCCCCTGAGGCTCGCGCGCCGGATCAAGGAAGCTATCGACGAGGAGGGTATCGTCCACCAGCATGAGATGGAAGAGAGCGAGGCAGGGCAGATGATGGCGCTCGCCCAGGAGATTGTCAGCACCCAAGGCACGCGGGAAGACGCCGCTGTCCTCCCCAAGGGTACCGCGAAGAAGAAGCGCCCCACCTCGGTCCGAGAGGCGTACGCCGACGATAACGAGACCTGGATCATGAAGCCCAAGGCCAGCCCGGTCCTCCGTCAACTCCACGCTGACCTTGCTGCCCTGCACGCCGAGAGGGAGACCCTCACGGAGGCCCTCCGCGATGAGCATGGCGCAACCTCTCTCACACTCCGCTGGAGCCCCGCCCTCGGCCACTTCTGCCACATCAAGGGAAAAGACGTGCGCTCCATATCCTCCAGCATCAGAGCCCTGAGCTCCAGCAAGTCAACAAGCTCCTTCCACGCTCCGGAGTGGACGCGCCTCGGCCAGCAGCTCGAGCACGCTCGGCACAGCATCCGCACCGAGGAGCAGCGCGTCTTCCTCGCCCTTCGCGCCGCCGTCGTGCTGAACCTCGTCAAGCTGCGCCGCAACGCCGCCGTTCTCGACGAGCTCGACGTGGCCACCTCCTTTGCCAGGCTCGCCGTCGAGCAAGGGCTCACCAGGCCCCTCCTGAACAACTCGACGGCCCACACCATCATCGGCGGCCGGCACCCGACCGTCGAGGGCGGGCTTCACGAGCAAGGGCGTAGCTTCGTCCGCAACGACTGCCTCGTCGGCGGCGGCGGAAGCTCCGGCGGCCGATTGTGGCTCATCACGGGGCCCAACATGGCAGGTAAGAGCACGTTCCTGCGGCAGAACGCGCTCATCACAATCCTCGCGCAGGTCGGGTGCTACGTGCCCGCCGACTACGCCGAGTTGGGCGTCGTCGACGCCATCTTCAGCCGCGTCGGGTCCGCCGACAACCTGTACCGCGACCAGAGCACCTTCATGGTCGAGATGATGGAGACGGCGCAGATCCTACGCGGGGCCACGCCGCGGTCCTTTGTCATCATGGACGAGATCGGCAGGGGCACGACGCCCGAGGACGGTACGGCCGTGGCATACGCGTGTCTGCACCACCTGGTCACGGTCAACAAGTGCCGGGCGCTGTTCGCGACGCACTTCCACAAGGTGGCGGACCTTGCTGTCGCGGAGGGACTCGCTGACGACGGGAAAGGGGGAGTGGAGATGTATTGCACGGACGTGGACGAAGACGGCGAAGGAGGGTTCGTCTACGTTCACAAGCTACGGAAGGGTGTTAACCGGCAGAGTCATGCGCTGAAGGTCGCGAGATTGGCCAACCTGCCAGGGGAGGCAATAAGTGTTGCGCAAAAGGTTCTTGGTATTCATCAGAGGCTCTAGATAGACATCACTCGTGACATACGGACGATAAAGGGGGGGCGAGCGGGCATGGATTCACTGTACGATACATATAGATGTATATGTGGATAAATCTGCACACTTTGGTATGTTAGCCATAATACCCAGCAAAAAGAAAGCTGTACAATAGTGTGTGAAAAAAAAAAGGATGGGTTTGAATGCTCCCTCATACGGTTGTGTGTTTGTCATCAAGTAGATCAGGGTTAAAAAGCTCTGAACATTTATAAAATCATCGGAAGCGGGCGTAAGACAGAAACGGAGAAATTGAAAGCGACTAACCTTTGGCCATGATGGAGAGTGAATGCTTGTATCAGCATGTCACGTCACCTAAAGAATTCGGGAACCGAAATGTCTTGTTTTTGCCGTCAAATGCGATGTGCTTGATTGACCGGCAACCCATCTATAAAGCCTTCCAAGATCCACGCATCGTCGTAAACCTATTCGTAGCCCAGAGAGTAGCCATGTCGTCACCGATTTCCCGTCATATTTAGTCGCTGGACATAACGTTAGCGTGCACGAGAAGCAGGAGGGGGTAAGTGACACGTACAAAAGACCGCCAAAGCCGCCATCCTCGTCAGACTCCTCCTCCTTCTCTTCCTCCTCCTTGGCCTCCTCCTTGGCCTCGGCGGCACCGCCAGCAGCAGCGGCGGGGGCAGCAGCGGCGTAGGCGTCGGGGTTGGCGATGCGGTCCTTGAGCTCCTCGATCTCGGGCCACGAGATCTCGGTCTCGATGGCGACGGCCAGAACGTTCTTGTAGCCGTTGAAGAAGGAGTGGATGACGGAGGGAAGGGTGGGGAAGTTGATGGCCAGGGAGACGGCGGCGATGGTGGTAATGGCGCCGGCGAAAGCCTTCAGGAGCTGCTCCTCACCGATGTCGAGGACACTGGCGGGGAAGGTGTTGCCCTGGTCGTAGACCTGGGCAATACCCATACCGTAGGTGAAGGGGGAGATGTTGAGCATGTTAAGGAGGGTGGCCTCGGAGGGGCCGACCTTGCTGTTGGCCTCAACGAGCTTCAGGTCCGAAACGATTTCAATGGTACCACGGGCAATCTTGGTGGGGACACCGAGGGCCTGGAAGAAAGAGGTCTTGCCGGGCTCCATGCCGGTGTTGCCAGCGGGAATCCAGACGTCGGAAGGAGCGACGGCACCGGCACGGGCAGGGGCAGCGACCTTGTTGGCGAGGATCTTGTCACGGATGTCCTTGAGGTCACCGTTGGTGAAGACGAAACCAACGTTGCCCTTGACGAAGGGCAGAAGGCGCTCGTACTCGGGGGAGTCGGGGATGAAGGTCTTGAGGGCACGGCGAACCTGGAGGAGGATTAGCAAGACGCGTCGATTTCAAGCGGGACGCACCAAGCGAACGTTCGCGCGATGTGAGGATTGCGACATACCATAGTGTTCTTACCCATCAAGACGACACCCTGTCCGCGGAGGGACTGTCTGATCTCGTGCATCTGCTGAGAGCTGACATTGTCGACGGTGACGATGAAGATGGACTTGTACTCCTCGAGCAAGCCCTTGAGCTTGTCGAAGTAGCCGGCCTTGTTCGCAGATTTGCCCCCCATATCTTCTTATTTATGAAGGCAGGTTGTTTAAGGGCAAATGAATTTTTGTGGTAGTGGTTGATGGGATTTGGGTATCAAAAGTTGATATGTTGCAGGAGAGAAAAAAGAGCGCCTCACCAGAAATCGAGCTTTTTGCTTCACCAGCCGAAAATTACTCTCTCGCCTGCGACTGTGTGCTCCGGGCAGGCCCAGAGGCCGTCCCGTTAGGGCAACTGATTGGGTCTATGACCGAAAGCGGGCAAGCGCGGGGCAGCTGGCAGGGAGAACGTTGTGGCCCGAGCGTAGGGGAACGATACATGATGCATGTAACTATTTTTTCTCTCAATCCATGGTGGGGCGGGTCTACCTATGAAGCTTGCAGATGTGTCCTGGGGTGGGTGAAAGTTCTATTTGACCTCATGCTAAGTGTACAGGCAGCCGCAACTCAGCCCAATTGAGCCAGGAAAACTCAAGTGATCCATCGGTATCACAATGAAGGTCCCTTACAACTGCCTGGAGCCGTCCGGCAACGTCCTCTTTGCCGCTCGGGGTGGGAAGATCCACTCCTTCAGCCTGGAGGACGGCTCTTATCTCTCAACGTGGAAACACCCCGATGTTGAAAAGGTGAATGCCGCCGCCGCCTCGGCCGCTGCCTCAAAGGTTGAGATTGAAGTGAGCTCTGGTGTGCCTACGTCTCCATCCCCGGTTCATGACGAGGATGGACCCCCGGCCAAGCGTCAAAGAGTCGAGAGCACCGAGGAGAAAGCCGGTGAGGATGGTGAGGAAACCAAGGACGACGACGCCATGGTTCTCGATAGTGAACCCGCGAAGCCCGAGCAACAGAAAAGAGATAGGAGAAAGGGCAACAATCAGGTGAGACGGGGTCAACGGGACGGCCAGCAGCAGCAGAACAACCGCGGCGGCGCGTTCGCAAGGGTTCCGGACTATCCCGTCATCACCATTATGACGACAACCAGTGACGGGAGCCACTTGCTGGCCATTTCAGGCCACGACAAGTCCCTGTGGGTGTTTGAGCACGACGGCAAGGGGAATCTGAAAAAGCTGAGCCAGAGGTACGTTGTCCGACTTACACCGTCATGTAGACTAGCCCCTGACACGCCTCGCCATAGACAAATGCCCAAACGGCCCTGCTCCGTCCTCATCTGCCCGGACGACCGGACTATCCTGAGCGCGGACAAATTCGGTGACGTCTACTCCCTACCCCTGATCGCCTCGGAGGCCGCCGCAGCGGGCTCCGCGGCCTCTGAGACGGCATCTCCGGCGCCGTCGGCTGCCCCCAAGCCCTTCCAGCCCGAAGCCAACCCCCTGACGGTGCACTCCAAGAGCAACCTCCGCGCCCTCCAGAGCCAGCTACGCGAGCAGAAGAAGGCGAACCGCGACAGCCCCAAGGACCAGCCGACGTTTGAGCACACGCTCCAGATCGGCCATGTATCCATGCTCACGGCGCTGACGCTCGCCTCCAAGGGCAGCCGGCGGTACATCATCACGGCGGACCGCGACGAGCACATCCGCGTCTCGCGCTTCATGCCGCATGCGCACATCATCGAAGGCTTCTGCCTCGGACACGCAAATTTCGTCAGCGCCCTCACGCTCCCCAGCCAGGATGTTCTGGTCTCGGGAGGCGGAGACAGCGAGCTGTTCGTCTGGGACTGGGTGGCTGGCAAGGTCTTGTCCAAGTTTGACCTCCTGGAGCAGGCCCAACAGGTGGACAAGGAGGTGTCCAAGGTTGCCGTCTCTCACCTCCTCTCCGCCACGGTCACAGCCAACGGCATACAGGCGCCCGTGGTCCTAGCAGTATGCGAAAGGTATGCCTGATTTCTTTTCTTGTTCGATCGTGTGTCAACGGCGGCTAACCTCGAGTCTCAGCGTATCTGCCATCTTCGTCCTTCGTCTCTCGGAAGAGAACACTCTGACCCACGTCCAGACCATTTCCACTCCCGGCAACCCCCTGCACGTAGCCCCGATTGCCAGCGATGGCTCCCTCACAAGCATCCTGGCGGCCATCGACCCGGCAGAGAATGACAGCTCACCCAGCGGGATTGTGTCGTTCAGATGGACCGGGGCTGCCTTCTCGTCGCAGGACCTTGGGATTCAGGATGCAACCATCAGCGAAGGCGAGTTTGACATGCCGCGGGAACAAGTGCGGAAATTATTGTACAATATTGAGGACCTGCGCAAGCGGGGTGAGGATGAGCAAGGCGACGAGGCAGAGCAGGAAGAACAGCCGCCGCAGGAGGAGAACACATCAGAAGGGGGAGAGCTAGCCGGAACGTCATGAGATACAAGAACAGTGACATTGAGCCACGAAACCGCAATGTACAATCCGATTGTAAACAGAGAAAAAGCGCATTCGTCATCAAATCGATTCAACGGATTATCCTCTCTATGACCGTGAACGCCTCCCTACCAAGTCTCGAATGTCCGTCGAGCAAAAGAAGCCAAGTGATGTTTTTAAGAACGCAACCGCTGGGACCAGATTTCCCTGTTTATTCTACTGGCCCAATTGTGCCCAGCCTCCGTTCTCGACGAACCCGACTTGGCACGCCCAGACGAGGCATCGCAGCCAGTCGGTTGCCGCCGTCATGCTAGCGGCCCCCGAACAGCCAGACCCCTTTACCATTTCCATGCAACCGTTTCCATCCATTCGTGACTGGGAAATATGCGTCTCTGTTCCGAGGAACAAATGTGAAAAGTGTCTCGACCCACGCCCCCCACCACGCCAAAGATGCTCGTAACGTCAATTCCATCGAACATGTTGTTTACTGAGAGGCACACTGCACACGCTCGGCACCGGGGTGACCATCCTCGTCGTCCTCCTCCATGGAGCCGCCACCGCCAAAGACTCTAGCCTGGGAAGTGTTGTCCAGATCCTCGAGGTCCGCAGGTTCGGTCATAGCCTCAGGAGGGGGGGCGGTCTGCAGCGAGGGAGGAGGGAGCAGCTTCTGAAGAGCCTCAAAGGCCGCAGGGTCCTCAGTCCAGCCCTTCTCGGGGAACTTAACGCTGAACTGGATGTAGAGATTTCCGAAGTCGTGGTGCCTGGGAGAGGGCATACCCTGGCCACGAACCATCTTGACAGCGTCTGTGGTAACAAAGTCAATCGGGATGCTCAACTGAGAGTTGAAAGGAAATTGAACATACCTGGTGCAATGGCTTCACCGGGCTGGATCTCGATGCTGAGCCACCTCTCGTCGAGGTGCTCGACGAAGATGGTTCCGCCAGCCAACGCGGTCACCAGCTCGATCTCGCATTGGTACAGAAGGTCGTCCTCCTTGCGGGTGAAGCGAGGGTGGGGCTTCTGCTCGATCTCGAAAACGACGTCACCGGCCTGTATGCCAGGGGCCTGGTCACCCTCGCCGCGGAACTCGACCTTAGTACCGCTTCTGACACCACGGTCGACGTGGACGTGGAGAACCTTGCGGTCGACGATGGTCTTCTTGCCGTTGCACTGCTTGCAGCGGTCCTTGTCCTTGATCGTCTCACCCTCTCCGTTGCAGTCAGGGCAGACCGTCTGGAAACGCTGGATCATCGGGCCCATCTGCCTCATCATGGTTTTCATGCCGTGGCCGTCGCAGCCGGCGCAGCGCTTGACCGCGCCCTCCTTTCCGCCACGACCCTCGCACTTGGGGCAGATAATGGAGCGCTGAAGAGCCAGCTTAGAGATCTTTCCGCGGTAGACATCCTCGAGTGAGACCTTGTGGGTGTGGTGAATTGTGCGGGCCTTGGGGGGGCCACGGTTGGGCATGCCGCCGCCGCCGCCGCCAAACATTCCACCAAGACCACCACCGAAACTGCCAGAGCCGAAGAACTGAGCAAATAGGTCCTCGGCAGCCATGCCACCACCGCCCCCGGCACCACCTTCAAGGCCAGCCTCGCCATATTGGTCGTAGACGGCGCGCTTCTGGGAATCAGAGAGGATTTCGTAGGCGTGGGAAATCTCCTTGAACTTCTCTTCCGCGTCAGGGTTGTGGGCGTTTTTGTCTATTGGGGCGCGGTCAGCAGGTGTGCGTTGAGTCGGCGGGCCTATAGGTACATACCAGGGTGGTACTTGAGAGCATTTGTCTTGTATGCCTTCTTCAATTCCTGCTCAGTGGCCGTCGGCGCGACCTGTGTTCTGCGTTAATATTCGACCATCGTAATTTCGGTTGGTTCGTTGTGCGACGTACGCCGAGGGTGTCGTAGAGCTTGGTTTCCTTGACCATGATGCCGGCAGATACACTGATCCTTATCTAAGGCCTTGGCGCTCCGGAGTCCGAGTTGGAAGTAGGGGTCTGTCTATAGAGGGGTCTGCAGAGCCCAAAATCGGTCAGCCAAGTTAGTCGAGAAAAAGACTAAAGGATATTCCGGTCTCTCATTCGCAGCCACACGTTCTTGAGCGCACAAAAGAGTGGCCGAAAGATCAAGAAGAGAGGGTTTTGGGGCGTCGACAGCGCGCCAAAGCGACACGGGTGAATGAATGCAGGGCAGGATTGAACTGGCAAAGCAGCGTGACTGCTGCTCAGTTTCGTTTGCGCCGCAAGACGAGAACAACATGTTTACTTACTCTTTCAAAAAGAGGTCGACAGAGACGATTTGCGCAACTGGGTATCTGGTGTACGTAAACTGGAAAAGACGTAAGAAGGTAAGGGTTGGGAAAAGTCGAGGAGAAGTAAGGAGCCGGGCTGGCGAGGAAGTTATTGACGGCTAAGGTTCCTGGCGGGGAGAAGTACGGTGGAAATGTACCTTGGGACCGATGGCACTAGTAACGGGACATTGGGACACTGGGTTTTTTCAAAATAAAGGGAGAAGAGCAGGCAAAGCAGGCTGCAAAGGCGGGTCGCCTTGTCCGTTGCCTGTACCAAAATGGTCCCAAGTTGAATTCGATGGAAGAAGATGGAATTCTTTTCAGCCACGGTGGCGGTGCTGATGATGCAATACCTACAGCGTCCTTCCAGATCTGGTCCGAGGGGTCCATGGACCCCTGATCTGCCCTGCTCCAGCCTCCAGGGAATGCTGTTTGTTTGTCCCAGCATTCAGGGGTCACCCACCAGGATTCGTCCTGCAATTTGCCAAATTCCAACCTAATTGCCCTCTCCTAGGCTACCCCGAAGCCTATCGTTATCCCATGCAACCATGGTTCGGCACAAGTAGCCTCTTAACAATTTTCTGAAATCTCTGCCCCACCATCTCCAGAGAATCTCATGTAAGCGAAGTGGATTTCTCATCCGTCATCGTCATCCTGCTGGAGTGCACCTTAGAGGAAGGTACCCGCAGCGGCCTTCGCCCGCGGACGTTACTCCTACTCGGCGATAGCCCATGTAAGACGCTCAACAACTCTGAGCAAACGAACCGATAAAGACAGTGCCTCTCGTTCTGGTTTCTTTTCACCAAAGCCCAAGTCATTACTTAATCGGTTCTACGGTTTCTCAGCTCCCGGGAGGGATCCTGCGCTCCTGTGGTTTTGCAATGCCCTTTCCAGCCCATCAAATCAACACGTGTTTGCTTACGTTTGTTTCGTGCAGCTCTTCAGATGTCTGAAGGGACAACTCCAAACTGGAAGGCATCGTACGGGCACCCCTGTGAGATAGGCCCGGTGGTTCAATATAACGTGGTCCCCTCTTGCTGCCAATTTCCTATCGTTCTTCTCTCAACATACGGTATTGCACACATAAGAAGTCTTCTCGAGGCCTGCAGGTTCGGTCCTGTTGCTAGGATTCTGAAAACCGTTGAGTTGTGTGTACCAGATACTATGGTATCAAGCGCCATCATCTGGAACGGCCGATCCCGTCTATCTGTGTGTGCGTGATCTAGAAAAAACAGCAACATCAGTGCGCATCTTGTAGCGCCTGGCAAGTATTGTTACCAAAACAACAAAATAGTATAAATCAGACCACGGACAAAAGTCCGAGGTGCGGCCAGTGGTATAAGTAGCTCATGGGCCTCCATTGATAGTGGCATGTCTGCTGTGAAAGAGGAATCTGGCAAATGTTGAGGAAGACCGGCGAGCACAAGTCCGTTTGCTGATCACGTTGATACCTATACCGTCATCGGGCGGGAACGGCCTCACTGACGCCAATGACGGTCGGGAATTCACCGAGGAGAAGCGCGCCGAGTCTACCGTAACTGACTGGAGACTTTTCAGAAGTCCCAGCGCCAGTAACCCCCCAGCTGCTGGTAGGTGGTCGATGGATACCGGAAAAGTTCGAGAACCATCGGTGCCCCAGGCTAGAGTCCCCCTCCTGACGAGGTCCCTGTGGCTGGAACAGATGCCCCCATCCCCCTCCCTAGAATCAAACAAGTCTGGCAATCTCATCAGGTAGACTTTCGACCATCACAGCCGAAGTTTCGACTGGCTTCTGGATTGTTCCCCAATGCTACTTATAGTTGCTTACAATGCCTTTACAAGTTGGCCACGCGTCGCAGGCACAAGCATGTCGCGGCCCCTCCCTCTGTTTAGGGGTCTAATAAGGATCCACCAGCTCCGGGACGGGGCCGAAGACTGGTTCGAGAGAAAATGGCAGCCGTTCTATCTGCTGATGTCCTGTAGCAGAGTGAAAGGCCATCAACGCAAGGACCACAGTAGGTCACTGACTCGGCATCGTCGGCTCTATTTGGCGTTGGGACCTTCACCAGGACCTTCAGAATCCTTGAGCTTGACCATCATTGCAACACGGTGTCTTCTCTATCGTTTAAACTCTAGTGGCATCAGTCCGACAACTGACGGCCATACGGAGAGGCAGATGTTAGCTTAGGATGGCGCGTAGGGACCGACCAGGACTTGGCAGGGATAAACTCTGCGGTACCTAGAGAGACCTACCATATACAGTCCTTTGCTACTGTTTTTGGCCGCAGTATGACTGGGATGAGAAACACAAAATCACATGATGAAAAGACACGGAAATTTCGCTCAGATGGACAGGCCCAAAGCCCGCTCGCGAAAACAGTCAAGAATAAGAAGTGTGGGGAAATTCAAGCATCTCCGTCGTCTGGCTATCGACTCGGATTCCACCCAATCAGACAACAGCGATTCAAATGTCACCGCACCGAACACCCCGAGCGGGCCGCAGACCGGGGGTGACATTCCCAGCTTCCCAGAGCTCGAATGGACCCCGATCATTGTTCCATATGGTCCCCTTCCCATTGGATCGAATTTTACATCTTCAAGACATCATGGTGAGTGAGAGTAGCATCTGTAGCTTGTCGATTGGACCTGAAAAAATCCCTGGGACCAGCGAGCGCGGTAGCTTATCTCTTATCAAAGGCCAAACGGGCGTTGTTGGGATGGTTTGAGCCGGCCTACTCGTCGGCCAGTCTTCCCTCGGAGAAGCACCATCCAAAGCTTGCGTGAATGTGGCGGCATAGGCACGGTTGGGCATGCAAGTTTGAGCCGCCCGGAGTCTGGGCCCATGCGTGTCTCGACTTGGTTTACCCTATATCCCGCCGCCTTCTGTGCATTAAGAGACCAGATAATCAATCTCATTGCTCATACTGTACAGAAGATCCCGGAGGAATTCGCGATTCTCTGACAACCTTGAAAACTCCCAAAGCCTTGTATTTGTTCTGCAAACCTTGGGCAAGATGGATTCGACTCCTCACTTTAGTCCGTACCGCGCCGATGGCAAGCTTGTAGGTTGGCATGACGCCGCTGGCTGTTCGGGTTTACGAGGGCTGATTCTGGGGCAGTATGGCTTCGTCTGTGTCGTGACTGGCGCTGCCCATCCCGTTGGTCGGGCCATTGTTGAAGAACTGGCAGGTATGGGCTCCAATACCTGCACTCGTTGAAGTATAGATCTAACAAAAGGCAGCACATGGTGCCGCCTCTATATATGGTAAGGCTTTCCCGGGCGTGGATTCGGGACAAGAGACTGTCTTCTGGGCAGGACTGACACGCTCCAGCATGCGACAAGACGACCAGCGACGAAACGTTCCACACCCTCGTCGCCAACGTGCACCGGGACCACCCCAACACCAAGGTCATTCCTTACCCCTTCAACGTGGCCAAGGAAGAAGAGACGCTGGTCCTTATTGACGAGGTGCTCAACGCATTCGGGCGCCTCGATATTTGGGTGTCATCAACCGGCCTGCTCGGCCCACCATCCATTGCCGAGACGACGCCGGCGGACCTGCAGCGGTGCTTCGAGGGGCATTCGATGGCGCCCTTCTTCGCACTCAAGTACGCACCCCCGGCCATGGCCAAGCTAACGGAGAAACAGTCGTACCCGAACGCGGCGCCCAAGACGCAGAAGTACGGCAGCATTATCGTCATCAGTAGTGCGGCGTCGTGGGGGCCGAGTTACACCATGTCCGCCTACGCGGCACTCGGTGTCGTGAAGGCGGGCGTCGCAGTTCTCAGGGACACCGGGGTGAGGATCAACTGCATCTCGCCAGGGCAAATCGATGTTGGGCTCGATTTGAACGGGGTGAGAGTGACCTAGCGACGATCGAGTTAAGAAGATCATGCTAACAAGAAGGCCAATGTGAAGGGCGTGAACTCCCAGCTTCCCACTGCAGGGTCGCAAGGCAATGAAGTAGGTTCTCGTCGAGAGTCCATCCGCATTTCCGGTTGGCTAACACTTGTCGCAAAAGTCGGCCGAGGCCATCATCGGTCTCGGGCGACCAGGAAGCCCTCAAGAGGTAGCCCGCGTGGCCGGTTTCCTCGCCTCGGGCTTCAGCTCCTATATCACGGGGGCGAACATGGTCGTCGACGGCGGCTCATCGTAAGTGTTTCTCGCCCAGATGCAGCTCGTGACCAGGAGGTTAGCTCATTGGCATGGATTAGTGCCATGAACCCGCTCACGGTACCCCTCGGCAAGGCGTAGTGTAAGGGTGAAAAGGTAACCAGGAGTGGACTACTGCGGAGTTACGGTTGCAGGACATGGCGCGGGGAGTGCGTAGCAGGGCAGGTCATACGGGAAATGTCCGCCCAATCTGGCGTCGTCTCCTCGGAATGTAAGCCGCCCAGATAGGCAGGAAGTTTTGGGGTCCAAAATAAAACATCTGCAATGGTTGGCCAAGCGATTTCCTTGCGGGTTTCGGTTTCAATACCGATAGTAAAGAAAGATTACCTATCTAGCTACCTCACCTTTGGGCAACGCAAACGGAAATCGGAGACGGCCGCGGGGGTTGGGTTATGTAGCAAATGGCACTCGGACCCTCCTAGATGGAACATCCCAGTGGCAGCTCCAGAGGGCGGGAACACACTAAAGCACACCAACTCACAGAGCCATCATCAGCTAAGCAAATAAATACATACATACCTACCTACAGGCAAGCACCGCCCGCTTGGATTATCGACAACAACCGCATTGTGTCCATCCCATACCTAGAGTCTGGTCCTAACCCCACCTTTTCACAACCTCAATTTCAGCTCCTCGCATACAGTATCCTAATATGGCCTTCACTCCAGAGATTTTTGACATCGCAAATGAGTCCCAGACAACTGAAACGGCCAAAAAATACGGACTCACGCCCGCCGAGGTGAAGGAGCTTCACCTGAGGGCGACGGCAGCAAAGGCGACGGCCTACTGCCCATACAGCCAATTCCGCGTGGGCTCAACTCTTCTTTCCAACGATGGCCAGTACACTGCAGGAGCCAATGTTGAGAACGCCTCGTACCCCGTTGGCACCTGTGCAGAGAGAGTAGCCTTCGGTAAGGCCATCACGGAGGGCATCCGGGGGTTCAAAGCCGTTGCCGTTGCCACAGATATCGAGGCCCCCTGCAGCCCATGCGGCATGTGCCGACAGTTGTGAGTCTTGTTTTTCGAAACTCCTATCCTTCAATTTCCTTTAAGGCGGGTTGAGATGCGAAACAATCGCAGGCTGACAACATGCCCCAACAGCATCCGGGAGTTTGTGGATTTGGAGACGCCCATCCTCATGTTCAACAAGGATGGAAAGTACGCTGCGATGAGACTGGAGACGGTAAGTCTGATACCAGCAGATAGACATGATGAAAACCTTGATGCTGAATGTCTTCAACAGCTCCTCCCGCTCTCATTTGGCCCTGAGTACCTCCCACCCCCGGATGTCCTTCAAAAGAGCCGCGCTGGCGGAGTATGAGCGACTAGGAAATCTGCTCTCCGTCAAAATGGTTCGCTCTCGGAATGCGTATGTGTTTATTGGCGTGTGGCACATGGGGAGAACCGAGCGGGTTGCAACGGCGGGTTCGACAGCCTCACTCAAAGACAGCGAAGATGGTTCCAGGGTGTTATCAGGTCCATCTTGTTGGCAAGAATCGGATTTGTGATATAAGTGAATGGCAATGTCGCTATGGTACTGCGGTAAGGTATGAGGGATAAGAGGTTCGAGTTGCATTATGACGCGATGGGTGTATGGTTCGTAGTCTTTATTGTTGATCAGCAACTCAAACTCGAGTTTCCGATTCAGGACACCAGCTATTGGAGTCTATTTGGTCTACAACTTCATGAAAAGGAGCCAGCCTTTTTCTTCTTTTTCTGTCTTTCGCCGATTGCTCGCTTTGTGCTGTTCTAATCTCCTGTTCAAGTGAATAGCGTGCGGGTGCTGCTTCCCCGTTTCCCGAGTCGAATTGCCGAGGTGCAAGTCCATGACTTCATGAAAAGAAGCGCTCATCATTGCTGCTGCTCTTTGCCATATTTGAACAGCGCAGACCTTCGGTGGCATATGAAAATTCCAAGTTCTCAACAAGCGCAGCTCTATGCCTAGGCACTGATGCTTGTCTGACTTGCCGGCCTGCCCGTGGCAGTTCTTATATGAGTTACTGTAGACTAGCAAGAACGAAGGAAAGCCTGAATTCAAAGCCCCCCTTTCACTCTACGCCTCTCAGAATTCACCAAGTGTTCTCGAACTAAATTTGAACCCAAGTTGTAATAGGTATGAAAGTGAAAGCTCCAGGTAGAGATCTACCTACCTCTGAGGGGATGGGTTCTAAAAAGTGCCCCATTATGATGAGCAGGTGATCGAAAGCTGACTCAGCGGAAATACCCCGGCTGATAGCCATGTCAAATCTGGGGTTAGCCTTTCCAAATGACATCAAACGCATGTTACACTCCCTTAAGACTAGACCACCTATCAAAAATTATCTGGCCAATTGACTTGCGAACCTTGCGCGTCGAGCGAAGCTCTTTTCCCGGACTTTCCGTAATCAGCTTACCAGGACCAGCAGCGTTTCGCTATGTGATTCCTGTTACGATTTTAACAAATAATTCGATATAGTTAACATGCGGACTGCGGAAGCACCGCATCTCCAGGAAACATTACACGTCGCTGCGCATTGGAAGCAATGGTCGCAACGGTGACAATCTTGCGCCAGCCTTTGGTCCTCCTCCCTAAATCAAGGCCTCTGTCAACGGGTATGTTTTCTGTTTGTTCGAATTGTTTGTTGAATGACCGGGTCTGACGAGGAGGCAATTGCAGCTTCCACCCATCTCCCAACATACCTTGCGCGGCATCAAACGACCCCTCCAGCCCGCGCCCCCCATCGGTATCTCTCGACAACGAGAAGCATGAGCTCCGCCTCGGCTGCAAAGCTCTCCTTCCACGTCGCAGCCTCCTTCACGGCCAAAGACCGCCCGTATGATCCGTCAACACACATTTTCCACTTCAACCCCTACAACCGCATCCACCAGAATCGTAACAAGCGGTCCCGACCAGATAGCGGCCACGATGCCTTCTTTGTTAGTAGGGTGGGCGACTCGGGCGCAGTTGCCCTCGGTGTTGCCGATGGCGTAGGTGGCTGGGTTGATTCCGGGGTTGACCCCGCAGACTTTTCGCACGGCTTCTGCGACTACATGGCTTCCACCGCCTACGGACACGGCGCGATCAAGAACGACCCGACAACACAAAGCACGGGTGATAAAGAGTCGCTGCGAGCGCAAAGCTTGATGCAGGAGGGGTACCAGGCGATATGCGAAGACAGCACCGTCGTCGCTGGAGGTAGCACGGCCTGCGTTGCCGTTGCTTCGCCGGACGGCAACCTCGACGTAGCCAACCTTGGCGACTCGGGTTTCATTCAGCTTCGGTTGAACGCCGTACACACCTACTCCGAACCCCAAACACACGCTTTCAATACCCCCTACCAGCTCTCCATCGTACCTCCAAGCGTCGCTGCTCGTATGGCAGCGTTCGGCGGCGCCAACCTCTGCGACTGCCCCCGCGACGCCGATGTCACCCAGCACGGCCTCCGCCACGGCGACATTGTCGTTTTCGCCACAGACGGCGTTTGGGACAATCTCTTCAACCAGGACATACTGCGCATTGTGAGCCATGTCATGACCTCTACGGGTGCGTGGCTCATGACCAAGAACGGCGTTCGCGTCGTCGACAATCTTAAGCCCTTTACAAAACCCTCCGAGGACGCCACTGAGAGACCGCCCTCCAAGTTTTTAACTCTGCAGAGCGTGCTCGCGGCCGAGATCACAGCCGCCGCCAAGTCGGCCAGCCTCAACCGCAAGGTCGACGGCCCCTTCGCCAAAGGCGTGCAGAAATACTTCCCACAAGAAAACTGGCATGGCGGCAAAATCGACGACATTTGTACCCTCGTCCTTATCGCGTCCGAGGACAATAAGGCCGAACCCAAGAGCCGCCTATGAAGTCATTGTATTACTAGCAGCATGCCCCCCAGCACCGAGTGTTTTTCCAAGTTCGAGTCGCACGTTATTCCAACATAGATGATTTAAAAAAAGGAGCGCCACCGCTGCCGTCGTATTTCTAGATGTGTCGTGGTTTTTGCCTGTCCAGCCATTTGGTGCGCAGCAGTAATGATGTAAATAATGGAAAGCAAGTCGATTTTCTCAAGATTACATGTGACAATGTGTGCAACGCTTGCCCCCAAACTGCCATGGGAGGATATCATGACCCTCAAAAGGCCTCTGCGTTCCAAGGCTTATCAGCGTTGCTTTGCCACATAGCCACCGCCTGTCTCGTCCTCTGTTTCTCCGCCGAGTAAACAGCCACATTTTTTTTTTAATCATCAGGATCAGCGGCGAGCCGTTTGGTAGATTCCCATGCCATGTGGCAATGTCCCTGTTTCCTCGTTTCTTCCGTGCGTTTTTGGGAAGACACGCAGATCGCTGAGAGATGGGGGGCTTGGGTTGTGACGGAGGCAATATCCCAACCGCCCCCCCCTGCTTCTTCCTTCTTCCTGCCCCCCAGGGCGGTGGCGGCGGCTCCCCTTTTCCCGCAGTCTCCACGTCTATGATGCGCCATCTCCATATTATCTCCCCACGTGGAAACCAGACATCACAGCAATCGGCGGAATCTGGGATGGGAAACATGCAGGCTCAAACTTCTGGGGTGGATGGACGGGAAGTGTAGACGCCTATTAAAAAATATGATTAAAAAGACCCTGGTGATGGGGGAGAGGGGAAAAAAAGGGTCCCGGTGACTTCGGACGAACCGTTGATCGGGATCTGGGTTTGCCTTTTGATAATCCTGTGTACACTAAGCCTCGAAGTTTGTCCTGTCAGATGCACCCCAGGTCCCAGACCACCCACAGTGCATGCTGACATCCTGCGTCAGTGGCATGCATGTCGAATCACACTGGAGCACAGGCGGTAGCAAGAGGTGAACAGTCACCCAGAACAGCAGTCGTGCTATGCATGCAGCTTCATCGGGCAAAACAAGACGCGGGGTTTGTAGAGTTTGGGTTACACCTTCTAGTCATAGGTGGACAAAGAGTTTCATTGAGAAGATTGATAAAGGCAACAAAATCCTTTGGTTTTGCAAGTTGATATTTGTACATAGACCCGGGTAACCAACTAGGTTACACCCAAGTCGCACGCCGTCCACCCCCAACTTATTCTGTGCCTTTGGTAGCTTTTTGCTACTCGACCTTTGCTTCAATTCAAATGCAACGCCTAATCCCAGTTGTTCTTGGAACGCATTACTGTATTATAAACCGTGGTTCGCATCATATACCAGTCGTAGGACTCTAAATCAACCCTAACGCTCTCCACCCCATAAGCATGCGCTTACTGGAAGTAGAGCATGGCCGCGACGGTCAGACCGATGAGGGCAATGGGGGAACCGAGGCGAACAGAGTCGCTGCTGGGGACAGTAGTGGGAGCAGAGGTGGGCTCGCTGTCGGAGCTGTGATCTATTAAACTGGTTAGTCAGATCATTCCATCTCCTCGCGACATACAGTACATACGAGTGCTGGCACGGGCGCTGGTAGAGATAGTCGTGGCCGTGGAGTTAGCAGCCGACGAGACAGCAGAGCTGCTCTCAGCAGAGGTGGAAGAGCTGGAGCCGGAAGAGGTGATGGAAGGAGAAGCAGTGGTGGTGCCGGAGGCCGAGGTGGCGGCAGAGGCAGAGGCAGAGGCAGAGGCAGTGGCAGTGACGGAGGCAGAGGCAGAGGCAGAGGCAGAGGCAGAGGCAGAGGCAGAGGCAGAGGCAGAGGCGGTGACGCCGGTGGCCAGGCTGAACTGCTCAGAGTAGTTGGGAGTGCCAGTGCCGTCTGAGATCTCGATGGCGTACTGGTCAGAGGGGAGAGTAGTAGGAGGGGTCCAGACGAAGGAAGTACCACTCTGGCCAGCTGTGTTTGTTGTCAGATTTCGAGCTCTTCATGACTTGAGGGGCTGTTGACTGAAGACTTACTTGCGATGGGCTGGACGGTGACCAGGTTGGTGCTGGGGCCGTTCTTCAGAGTGAGAGTGACAGGACCCTGAGCATCAGACCAGGTGATGGTGAAAGGCTGGCCGGCCTCAACATCGTAGTTGCTGTTGGTAAGCTTAACTGCCTGGGCAAGGGCGGCGAAGCTGGCGACGAGGACAGAGGCGAAGGTCTTCATTGTGACTGATTGGGTGGTTCTTTGGGGTAGATTAAGTGAACGAGTGTAGGAGTATTAGGTATCGAACTAGTAATTTGTCAAAAGAAACTGTCAACAATGAATGTCGGGAATAGGCTCGTGAGGAAACAAGAGAGAGAGAGAAAAAGTGTAACTGAAGGGAAGGGGGGGCAGAGGAGTAGAAAAAGGTTTCCCCATCTCGCGGGCACGAAATTAGGCGAAGCGAAATCAGGGGTAAAGCATGGAAGGAGCCCGAAGGGGGGGGTGGAGGATGGTGTGTGTGCGGGTTTGACGAGGCATGAGACGACTTACGTTCCTAAACGGAGCCTTTCCCTATTATTACTCGAACGCGGTGCCGAATGGTGTGGATGGATGGTATTCAAGTATTCTGTCTGTAGAGACGGATGTTTGTTTGGATGACTTGTAGATGGAATGGATAGACTTGCAAGACGGAACAAGATGGGCAGACTTAAGTTTTAATCAGGTGCAAGAGCCGCAAAGGTAGAGTCAGGAAGGGGGATCGCGACTCTTCTGCTATCTACATACGGTATAGGTAGGTAGCTACCGAGAGAGCGTGATGTCGACATCACAACAAGCAGCCGACACAGCAACAGCAGGAGCAACCGCGTACCTTCTCTCTACGTCAAGGAAGCCGCAGCCAGCATCACGGCTCCCACTGGCACTGGCACTGAATGGCGCGACCTGCAAAGTCACGCCAGGCGTCCGGCCGGTCAGCGCCACGCAGTTCGTCGCAAATGAGGGATGCAACGACCGGCGCGAACGGGTTGCTTCCAACTTGACTTGACCCAGAACCGTAGCAACAAGGGTGGCACTAGCCCCGGTCGGGGACTAGGGCGGAAAATTGCTGGAGGCACCCCTGTTGCAGAGGGGAACCTGGCGAACCCAAGAGAAGCGCTAATGAGAGCACCAAGCTTCAGGTTCCTTGTGTTTATTTTGTGTCTTTCTTTCTGCTTCTCCTCGCGTCTGACGTGCTACGACGATGCGTGGCGACAACAGTAGCAGCTCACTTCCTACCTAGACACCTGAGCTAAGCCGTGCCGTGCCAGGCCTTATCTGGCTGGGCATTCGCTCCCCCTCACCATTTGCGTGGCATCTTCCAGTGTGTTGGGTTCCGGGCACCCTTGAGATCCTACTGTAGGTACTGTACTCCGTACATGTGCAGGTACGAAGCAACACTGCAACTGAACGATGCTCAACTCTCGCACTAATGTAACCACCCATTATGGCATCCCCGGAGTTGCCCGTGGCCCATTCATTGGCCTGCTCCGCTGGGGTGATCGAAAGAACCCCTCCAGAGCAGGCAAGTGGCCTGGGCCTAGACGGTCGACGTTTGTCTGCGACAGGGTCCTCCCGAGTCGCCGTTAGCGGTCACTGTCAGCACGATGAACAAAGCGCCTGGGAAATGTCACAATCCTCGACATGTTTACTCCCTGGGTGCCTTGTTTCCTTCTCCATCGTCTATCCACAGCGACTGACACCCCTGTGGGAGCCCGCTGGAACGGCATGACGCCTCCTTCGGTTGGCCCGACTCTCGCCCATGCTCTCGCATTGCATTGCGCCGCTTTTCTCCTTCTCGCCCGGTGATGCGGAAGACTCATGCCGATCTGGGTCTTTCGAGGCGCAGCAAGGGAGATTTAAGAGACTTCCGCTACCACCTTCCGAGCTGCTCTTCGCATTGGACAGGTAACAGATTTTCGCCCCCCGGCATGGGAATGCGCAAAGTTGGCTGCGGCTAACGCCCGGCTCAGGCCTCCAATTGCGTGTGCTACCAACAGCGTCCATCCCTCCACCCTCCTTTCCCGCTCGTGTTCGATATTTCGTGGCCAAAACTCTACCTGACCCGGACCAGTGACGAGCCGCCCACGATCCGGCCATCGACACCAAGTAGTATTGACAGCTCAAAGCTTCCCCTGAGGTGACGAAGCCTATACGTACAGACAATAATACAATCAATGCTATTTCAGTGCTTCCAATCCCCAAGCAACACGCCAAAACCTTGATGTGTTGGAATCCTTATGCAGTGTGTTGATTTCGACAGCCGCCTTCCGTGATACAAATACAGGACGAGTCCACAACGTTCCGACTCATGCGTCCCCTGTGGCAGCGCAGATGTGATGCAGAACATCGGATCCGCTGCAAGAACGCAGATTCTTGTCGGAAGGGGATTACCAAGTCATGATGTTTGATGAGGTGGGTGAACGTAACGAGTTGATGCTTCTGCGAAGGGTGCGGTCTCGGTTCCAGTTCGCGACGGTAGTCCGACGCACATGAGTCCGAAATGGGGCGGCTTCTCTACGACCGCCTGAACCAAAGGCCATGGGCGGAAAGTCGTCCGCTCGCCATCGCCCACCTGCCGTCTGACCCGTGCCGCCATTCATCCCGTCCCTCTCGTCATGAACATCTGTGCTAGCGTATCCGTATTATGTAATTATACGCGCATGCCTATATAACATTGGCGCAAAGGCGGCAATCTTACTCTCATTCGGCGGGCTGGAGTGGGTCACCTTCCATATAGGTAAGTTGGTCACTATACTCCGTAGTATCCGTACAAATAAGACACAACGACGTCAGGCGCTTCCCCCACTGTGCTTTTCATCGAGTCCAATTTCAATGCGCAGCTCTTACTGGGTTACGTTGTGGGGACCACTATTGGCAGAGTTACATATCGCGCTATTTTCCGGCCTGCGCGGTACCTGAATCGGTCCTTGTTTTCTATGCTCCAGTCGACGGGCTCAGACACTAACACAGCTCGTCGGATTTGCCATTGGAACGTTCTCCCCGCCTTATCCATGCGACGTGTGCTCCAGAAATACCTAACCCTGGCGAAACATCTACCTACCGGTATTCGAGGGATTCCGCAGTCGGCAACCGTCGACGGGAAGACCGCATCTGTGGTGCGTCGCCTAGCTCCACCATTACCCGGACGCTTCAACGGTTCGATACTGTTTGTTGTTTGACACGAAATGCTCCCACACCAGGTCCATCGGACCAAATCATCGGATGCAACGAGTCGCTGACATTCTCGACGCACCCTTTGAGTTTCAAGCTGTCGCCGTTTTCTCGGTGGCGAGCACGCCGCACATCGGCTTCATTCTCCGCACTCCGCGTACGCAGTACTCAGATCTCGCCGCCTTCCTACCACTAGTCGAAATGACACCTGGTGGCAAATCACTCGTGGCTGAAATGGATCAACCCTGTGTGCCCAAGGACGTTTCACTCTGACACCCCGTTGGAATGAAACGGCGCCGGGAATGCGATTTCTTCCCATTCCACCCAGGTGACGCAAAAGCAACAGTAAACACGATAGCCGATGACCACGGCGATGGCGAGAATGCGCGGCGCTGCGACTGCCAACGCCATTCGTGCTGTTCCGGTATTTGAAACTGGGACGATGCGGATTCTGCAACGGCACCTCTCGCGGATTCAAAACACGTCCACGTATGGTGCATAGGCTGTGTCATCGGTCCCAAATACACGAAGAGACAGTGTCTCATAGAAATTTCAGGGCTTACGTATAACCAATACCCCGAACCTCATTCAGTCTTTCACGGCCCTCGAGCTGCTGAACGAGTCACGCACCACGGTGCCAGCGAAGGCCCTTGCCATGCCATACGCAGACACACCACGTCCCGTTCCCTGTTCCGAGGGGCTTCTCGACTAGACCATCATTACCAGATTCATCCGTCCAAGCATGTGCTATTGCGCCAAAAACATTCGTCCCCCAAGATAGGAGACGGCACACACGTCACACGAAGACCATGAGAGTGGCAATATTGTAGGGAATGGGCCTCAGCGACAGTTCGGACTTGAACGAGGTCTATGAACGGGATGCACTGAGTGTACAGCGGACGACTCCTCGCCGGACGCCTTCGGCTTCCTCTCTGACCTGGTCCACTGTTGCGCCCTTTCCTCTGGCCTTGTCGACGAAATCATCGAGTGAACCGCCGACTCCAAAGTAGAGCTTCTTTGCCCCGACCAGCGCCTGCGACTGGCAGTTGCCGCGCTCTCTCTGCTCTTTGCTTAGAATGGCGAAAACCATTTCATTGAAAGCCTCCAGCGCGAATGGCGAGTATATCGTCTCGGCGCCTATGAGCAGGGTATCAAAACTGCCCGACTTGTCCAACTTGGACTGAGTCTCGTACAAGAGATCGACCAACTCGACCGACCAACCACCAGAAAGGAAGTGTAGAGAAATTTGAGAAGACGTTAGGAAGTCCTGGAACTGCTGCACCACTTCGGGCGTGAGTTCGAGCTCGTCCTCTAGCGCAAATGCTTCTTGCAGAGCAGGGCTCTGGTCTCTGTGTTCGAGAGCCCAGGCGAGGATGAAGTTAGGCAGCGTGACCAACTGCAGAACCGTCGGGTTGTAATCGGCAAGGGTGAGCAGAAGCGGCGACCTCGGGGCCGAATCCCTCATAGCCCACTGCAGAAGAGCCAGAGAAGGGAGTGCCGTGCCGCATCCAAGCTGTGCGGTGTTAGCTTTCCGTCGCCACTGAGAGGGGGCAGGAGACGCGCGTCAGTCTCGTACCTCGATCACTCGGAGAGGCCGCTGCTTCAGCAAGTCCAAATATCGGCCGCTGGCGAGGACCTTGACAAGATCGACGCTGCTCTCCCAGCTCTTGAAGCCGCCCTCGTAGACGCCCGTCTTGACGTCGTGGCTGCCAAGCCCCTCGGCTTCGGTACCCCCACTGGCGACCTCATCCTCGGCCATGAGCTGCACTCGCACGTCCCACAGTTCTCGACGAGGAATCTTGATGACGCTGCCGTCGTCAAGAGTAACGTCTAGCGTACCGAAGGCGACCTTGGAAGGCAGTTTTGCGAGCATCTCCTGCAACGCATGGCTGGTAGGTGGCAGCTGGGGTTTACCGGGGACCGGGAAGGCGCTGGCAGCAGCGGACTGCGGGGTCTCGGACTCCGGGACGGGCACGGGCACGGGAGGCTCGGCGACCGGGACAGAGTCGTCCTCTATGTCATCGCCGCCGAAGCCGAAGGAGAATGCTGAAGATGACATATTTTTGTGACGTGGGACGCGGCGTGGGGTTGCAGGAATTTTGTACGTACTGAAAGGTGAGTGTGAGAGAGCGACCTAGGTACCTTATCGAAATGTGGGGGCGGGCTCGCACCAGAGCGTTACGGACCGCCGTCTTCTATTGGATACTCACCGGGGATGGACCGGCCGGTAGGTGTGCTGGACCAAGTCGAACAATGAATGAGGAACGAGATTCCCATGTTCGTCGCCATGTTTCCGGGATTGCGACTTCACAGTGTTGTCTTCGTTGGAACGGGACCTATCAAGCTCGACGCGAAGTTCGCCTCGTCGTCGAGCTTTGATGGTTAGCCGGATTGTGTTGGACCAACAACTGGTGCTTAACTCAAAGCCCATCCATCCATCCACCGTCGTCAGTATAATTTGGTAATGGCTGTTGGTTATTACCAGACGGACTCGTCGGTATCAGTGCCTCGCTCGCAATTCGAGGCTCTTTCGATTCTGCACCAACACAAGCACCAATCAACAACAGGGCGCTTGTTGGTCGCAAATCAGCCAATGGCCAAAAACTCGATGATTGACAACTTCGGAAGAGGCTTTCTGCAGCGTGGCATCAAGGCAACAGATGTACTGTGGAACCGTTGTTGTCTTTCCAACTCGATGCCTCTCCTCTCGGTCTCCGGATCGCATGCTTACTTTCTGTGCATCCTAGTCGTGCTGAATGCGAACAAAGAGAATGCGATAACAAAACTGCCTTCAGCCCCGATAGGCTGACCTACGCTCGGAAAGTCTCCCCGCAATCAAGCGCTATCCCTAATGTGTATCTTACTGCGTCTTCCACGCGTGCTCTTGAAACTCACACACAAGAGCATCGAGCTGAACAGCGGTTGTCTTGCTGCGCCATCCTGCAAGTCGTTGCCGACTAGGTTCAGAACCCAGCTGCAAAATGTCTGTCAGACAGACAGGAAAACGGGACAGAGACGCCCACACACACCTCCGCATTTTGAGACATGGAGGATCATCTCGTGCGTCGAGGCTTCGTGCTCCGCCAGATCTCGTGTCTCAGTGGTCAACAAACGCGCAACAATGCCCTTCTTGTCCCTCATCCTAGCACATACGGCACATCGAAGAGCTTCGCCGCCGGTCAATGCTGAACCCGGCACCCGCGATTCCCTCACGCGGCGATCTGCACAATGAGACTTTGTGACTCGCAAGCCGTGGGTGTCCATCAGCAGCCGGAACGCGAGCAAGGGAGCTTTGGCACTGGCGAGGCCGCCACAATCCAATCGCCGTATCAGCCTCCGCTCCAAGACCATCTCCGTCCTGTTCTATCACACTACCTTGCTCTGCACGGCCCGTACCCGCTTCGTCTGGCCCCTCTACCAACGCATACTATATACCATGTACTCCGTAGTATAGTAGTATAGTTACGATCCGCGGCTCCAGTTCCAGCCCTCCATCCGTCAGCGCGGCGAGCGTCTTGATTCGCCACCCACCGTCCTGGATTCCATGCCTCGGGCACCCCACGGCCCGGCCTCTCGTCGTGGTTGGACGGTTTACGATCTTATCCAGCCGGTGCCGTTTTTCTAATCGGACCTTACCTGACCATAGCAAGCTAGTAGAGGTGCAAATACGCCCATTTCGTCCATTCTGCCGGTGGACTTCATGGGCCGGCCTTGTTCCAGTCGTTTGGATAGGTGCAGCCACACCATGTGCCGTTCCACCTGCCAAGGTTTATCGACGTCGCGGTCGTAAAGCAGCCAACAATGACGCCCGTGGCAGACCCTCCATGGACTCGGCCCCCGATTGAAGATTGATGGAGCCCAATAGCCATTGGAGTTTCCCTGTCACCGTCAAGTCCGCGCTTCTCAACGGGAAGTCGTGCAGCGCTGCTTTGCAGTCCAAGGTGAGGAGGTGTCGTGTTAGTCGTCAAACTCACCTCGGAATTTGCTTATTGCCGGGGAGGAGAGCTCGATGTCTCCTGGGGTCTGTCCATGTCAACGGGTCCTTCGTTGCTTCTTCCCCATTAGTCCGTTTGTCTCATTATACTCTCGATTGCACTCTTCTTTGTCTCCATTGGCCATTCTCCGTAACAAGCCCAACCCACCACGGCGTGCCAGACCACTTTCGCTGCCCTCTACAGCCGCAACTCCACCAAAAGAAACAAAAGAAGTGCGCTTGCTCGGGGGAGGACTCCTTACATTGCTGCCACTTGTTGGCGCCTTCACCAAGCATCTTAAAGCCCCTCTGTGACTTGACTGAGATATAATACACCACACCATCCCTCCTTGTCATCCTCCATCTGGTCATCATCTACATCACAACGACCTCGCAATGACACGACAAGACCCTCAACTCTCTCGACATGTCGATGCTCAAGGCAGCGGATCTGGCCAAGCTACCAGAAGCAACGCCGCCTACACAATACGCGAGGCGCCATTCGCAGCACCGCGGCCTGTTCGTATCATCGGGGTCGGCGCTGGAGCCAGCGGGATCAACCTGATCCGCACCCTTAGAAACACGCTTGGCGCTTCAACATACGAGGTTGTGGTCTACGAAAAGAACCAGAATGTCGGAGGTACCTGGTTTGAGAACCGTTATCCGGGATGCAAGTGCGACGTGCCCAGTCACAACTACCAGTTCACTTGGAAGCCGAACCCGGCCTGGTCAAGCTTCTTCGCCCCCGCAGCCGAGATCGAGCAATACTTGTGCCAGATTTGTGATGAAGAGACGCTGCGGCCTCACATCAAGACCTCACACCAGATCGTAGGGGCGGTTTGGTCCGAGCCCAAAGCCAAGTGGGATTTGCAGATCAGGGACCTGGCGACTGATATTGTCTTTGAAGACCATGCCGACTTTTTCATCGACGCAACCGGTATCTTGAAGTATGTATTATCGGGCACTCGTGGTTGAAGATCGACATCTGACTGCTACAGCAAATGGAAATTCCCCGACGTAAAGGGCTTGTCCGACTTCAAGGGTACTTTGATCCACAGCGCAAACTGGCCCGAAGACTTCGACTACGCCAACAAGACGGTCGCCGTCATTGGAAATGGAGCGTCTGGTGTCCAGATTGTGCCAGCCATCCGTGCCCGTGAGTTGCTCTGCTTGCCGCCGAGCTGATACATGAGGCTTACACCAGGCAGACGTGAAGAGACTACACCACATCATCCGCACGCCAACCCTGATCATCCCGCCTCGCGTTGCAACAATGAAGATGAGTCCTTCGGCTTCTCTCCTTGAACAAATTGAAATGGATGAGGAAGAGCGCTTCTCGGCGGCGACGATTGCCAAGTTCCAGAACGACCCTGCCTTTTACGAGAAGTTCGCGCAGACCCTCGAAATGGATTCAAACATCAAGTTTGCCATTTCCCTTATCTCCGGCAGCCCTCAACAGGCGTGGGCACTGGGGAAGACAAAAGAGTTCATGACGGCGATGCTAAGGGGTAATGAGAAACTCTGCAAGCAACTGATACCCGACTTTCCCCTGGGATGCAAGCGGCTCACTCCAGCGCCGGGGTATCTCGAGTCCTTCCACGACCCCAGGGTCGCTCTCCACACTGACGCCATCGAGAGATTCGTCCCGGAGGGAATAAAGCTGGCCAACGGCGAGGTCCTCGAGGTCGATGCCATCATCTGTGCCACAGGCTTTGATTCTTCGTTCCGCCCTGCCTTCCCGCTTGTTGGGCGGCACGGCAACTTGCAGGACATCTGGTCCGAGCAAACACCAAAGGCCTACATGTCCCTTGGTGTTGCAGGCTTTCCCAACTACTTTAGTAAGTCGGGCTACGCAACCGCTCACTCACCTGATGCTGACAATGGTTCCCGCAGAGTTCTTGGGTCCCAACGCCCCAATTGCACAGGGCGACGTTCTCACACTCAGCGAGCACATCGCCACATACATCGCCAACGCGATCCGCAAGTGCCAGACACAGGGCATCCGTTCGATTGCCCCGTCGGAAGCCGCCGTCGAGGACTACTTTGAGCACACCACCACCTTCATGCCGCGTACGGTCTTCGCCGGGGGTTGCAGATCCTGGTACAAGCAGGGCGAGGTCGATGGCCCTGTGACGGCGCTGTACCCTGGCAGCCGTGCTCACTTCATCCGCCTGCTGGAGCACTTCAGGGGCGAGGACTGGGAGTACACGTACGAGAACGCGAGGCAGAACCGGTTTGCATACTTGGGCAACGGATTCACCGCGCCGGAGATGGCGATACTCAAGGCTGGAGTGCCTAGTTCGTAAGGCGACGCCGCTGGAGGCATGGCTTAATATGAATGGCTTAATATGACCTTGTACATAGACAGGGGTGTGGTTTGGTGGCTGGTATTATTCTGGGTGGCTCAGTTTCTGGGCGGTTCTGCAGGCGTTGATTTAGGCTGGGAATTCTTGATCTAGGCACGGCAAACATGAAGTTGTCATCCAACGAGTCCAACCTAGGCACCGGTGATGATATGTGACGAGGCGTTTTGCCGATTGCAACCGGCCTTGAAGGCCCCCATTGATAGATGTCGCCTCGCCTCCTGAACTGAGACCTCTTCTCGGAAAGGCGCAGCATGCGGAAGTCGTTCGATGTCTCTGTTGCCGGGCTACTGAGTGACGGGATACAGGCGACTTGGCGCTGTGTGTCGCTATGCGGCCTGGTAACCTGGGCCATGTTAGTCGACGCCAGTGGCGGAGTTGCCGCGTGGCAGGAGACGAGGTCTGATTTGAGTGGGAATGGCCTTCTCCAAGGGATGGATTTTGGGAGGGATGCATGTCTCGGACTCTGGTAAGCGGGTTTGGGTTTGCCGAGGCCAGATGGACGGCAATCTGGCATGTCCACGAAGCCAGGACGAGGACAGTCGAAAAGCGCATGGCTACACGAAAGGGACAGATGACACATATCGACACAGATCCCGAATTTGGCCAGCGCGCTCCTCCCGTTATTAAGCTACTTCCTGGTTCTCCAGCCTACTCGGAGAGGTCGATGACAGACACTGTGTCTGATGAGCCGTATCCTTGGGCTCGTCGTCAATAGCACCGACTCGGGCGAGCTGCGATTGATTTCACCCGGGGCGAGGTAGGCACACGCACCTATCTGTGTCCCCTCCAAAATGGAACTGTTACTATGAGACTAGCGGTATCCACAAGCCTCCCGGAATCGCCCTTCACGTCTACGAGAGTTACGTTTACAATAAATACAGCTATGTGCCAATTCAATGTCCTCTTCGTACTCTTTGTGATGTGTGTGCACGAGCCAGCAGTACCACAGGGCACCTAAAAGTACAGCAGAGGGTAGGTAACTTGTAGCTAACAGAGCGCACCAAAACAGGCACATAAGCAGTTTTAGCTTGTACTATAAGGTAGTATAAAGTAGCACACATTTCTCCACCATACAATCCTTTCTATAGAGCGCAGCACAGTGTACTGCTCAAGGCCCAGTATCCGTACATCGTACTTACTCTGCTCACCTCAGTCTCCATATCCCTTTTCTGCAACAACTGCTTTGTTGCATGTGACAACAATGTTTGACGCTGCGGTGCTCCTAGGATGCTTGTGACCTGTGTGCTACGCCAAGAAGCAGTTGATATCGATGCGGGACCAGGGGCCATCGAGAGCAAAGGACTCCATGCGGAAACGGCAATCATGCGGCGTACTCTAATGATTTGACGGTTGATGGGCAGACAGAAACGTGCTATCCGTGTGCATATCCATCACCACCCAGCTCAAACTGAATTTAGACCAATAAGTCCAAGGTTGGATTATAGCTAGATGGTTTCTACTGTTATAGCCATCTAATTACATTAAATATAAATCAATTATCCTAAACTAACGCAACCCTTGGCTTCTCGTAGTAAGAGCTTTTGCCATTAAGATAATCAGCCCTGAAAGGCGGCTCGCTGCCATCTCCATTCAGATTATGAAGCTTTTGTATTTCCTCATTCACTCTTTTTTTAACTCCCTCTGTTGCAAGGCTTGCTGATACTGTCCTATCTCGGCCGAAGTAGACCCCGCAGACTTTGATGTTGTTTTGCTCCGGTAAATGCCCAGTCCTTGCGTCGTAGATATTATGGCCTAAATCAAATACCATAAAAACTCCCAGACTGTAGCGATCTATCGCTATTAGTTTAGGTTTCGATACGCCACTGTTGTTCCAAATTTTATTTTTCTCTATAGCTTTGAGCGCCTGGTTTATGACCTCCATACTATTATCCTAAGTAGTTGGGTAGTAGGTACTCTTTGAGGATACCTTAACGGAAACCCTCAAAGGATCTATTATGCTACAGCTTGCAGTTAGCATATATTTCATGGGGTTGATGAAGGACGTATGTGAGCGAAACTAACCTCAGTGTTAAGGGTGGAGGAAGGGATTAGCGTGTTAGGAGGAAAGGACCCAGGGAATAATTGTCAAGTTGGTTGATTTCCACACGGTCATGCTGTTCTCACGGCAGCAGCAATCTCACGGTGGGTCTAGTAAACATTTGTCCGATCTGCCCCGCTTTGTTAGTACAAATCATTGGCCAGCTGCCCTAAAGATTCCCGCTTTTATGCTTAACCTAAATCTACCTGTACATTTGAGCCCCTTGCATGGCCTGTGCGCAATATTTCTAAGCAGGTCGTACGACAAATGAGCGAGGAACGGCGCCATAACCAAGAAGCCCTTTGCTGATTATGCCCAGTTTGTTGGCGTTGCTGATGGGGGGGGGGGGAGTGAAGGTCAATCTTAGGCGTTGTGATCATAACTCACAGTTGGGTCCGTGGTGTTCATTGGTTCCGAGCATGTTCCATTTCCAGCGTAATCGGCCTGTACCCATGCAAGTACTATATGTGAGGTCGAGAACATTTTGCACTGTAAAGAGCATGTTCGTGCGCTAAGAGAACTCAAGTGTTTACTTCAACCAGACATTGTTTTTGCACATAGCTGAACCAATTGAGTGACACTTCAGCCACCGCTATATCTAAAAGAATGCGACATGAAGGGGTATGCTACGGGGTGTTGTTTGGCTCTCTCACCCAGGTCTATGTCTATACCTGTGGTCACTAGATTGAAAAGGGCCTTGGACACAGTATCTAGAAAGCTTGATAAGATTCCTCATAGTGAAAATATATCAATAGATCAACATGAGGGGAATAGAAGAAACAGAAGAAATACAGAAGAAATACAGAAGAAGGTGCTGGACCAAGAACACGCCGTATCATACAAGACTATGAGGGTTGAAGTGATGATGAGAAAGGGTGGGGGATAGCGTGTCTCCTGACGAATGGGTGGCCTGCCTCCATGCCCCTCCTCGCGGTCGTCTGTGTTTAGCTGCCTGCCATCGTCATCTTTCCCCGTGTTATGCCATCTTCACAGCCTGCCCTGTCCCGTTGAAGGACAAACATCGTCAATTACACAAAGCCGCAAGTGCGACAGGTTCATGATATCTACCCTATTTCAGTCCACGTCTTGCAGCTCTCTGGCCTCTTCAGGACACACCGCTTTGCCCTTGTCGATACATGATGGCGGCATGCATTGCCGCCCCCGTTAGACTGGGGTCTGCGGGCAGGCAGAATGTGCAGATGATCCAGTTGGCCATCTCCTCGCCCCTCAAGGCGCACAAGCAGAGCGGTAGACCCATCACGTCGGACCAGGACGGGCTCTGGGAGTGGCTATGCAGTTCACGCAGCCAACACTCAACTACTTCATGAATCACAGGGACGGTGGTTTCCCGGAGCTGACAACCAAGAAAGGACATAGAAAGCTTGTTGGTGTATGGCCAGGCCGTAACCTCCCTTCATCCCCTGGAGAACGAGGGGCGCTTATCAGGGATCGTGCATCAGGCGGACTATTAAACAGGCATTGGAGGGTCGAGTCCGACAAATATATGTTGGTTGAGCTCATTCAAGAGGTCCCCCAGTCCGGTTCTTTTCCTGTTTGCATAGGTCTTGCGTGTCCCCTCCCTTTAAATACCGAGCCTTGCAATACCCATTCACGCGTTGTCCGTCCAGTCTGTCTGGATGATTGTTGGAATCGTTTCCATAATTTGATTCTAGACTAGCGTATAACGTCTACCAGTACCTCGGACTCTGCATCTCACTGGACCCCTTTGTCTATTTCGATCTCGCTTTTATAGTAACACGAAACCATTTCTGCAATGGCGGACTATGGGCCCGTTTACCTGCTTTATATCCAGAAGGCGGAGCTGGTGACGGCCGAGCAGATGATCACCTGGATCACGGAGTGCGAAGAGGAGAAGGGCTCGCGAAGATGAGAGTGGGCACCGTCATACCCGTTGCGGAACAGGTGATTTGGCAGAGTGAAGGGGCTTTGCTACCAGGAGACAGCAATATGGCTTTGCAAGGCATGAACGACAGGTATCTTTATTGAAGAAAGGAGAGGTTCCCATTACATGCACTTACCTAAAATTTATCCAATGCATGTTTTTTTCTTCAAACGTAGCAAGTAGCCTAGAGGTGCCGATGGCCACTTACTTACTGCTTGCCTCGATATGCGAATACCGCAGGAGGAACATAACAGTACAGATGGCCATCGTATTGACACTGTGTGGGTCACCTACGACTTCACCTCGGGAAAATAGTATCCTGGGAGCTATTAGGGAACGAGCGTCATTCAATATTGTGGTCTTTGACAATCTTCAGCAGCCAAACGTATTCTAAATTGAACCCACAGCCCGTTCACTGCATTCAATGTTAAACACACCCTCATACCTCAGCAACTAGAAACCTTCTTTTCGAGAACTGTGTCCCCCCTTCCCCATCCTGACTTCCAGAGGTCGTTGCCAATGCGGTCATCATCGGTCATGAGAATGGCCTCGGCCTCCGTGCCCAAGGGGAACGGCCTCCGTCCCGCGCCGATGGCTCTGCTGCCACCCATCCCGTTATACCGCCGCCTCCTCCGCGCGCACCGCAAGTACCTTCCCTCCGAGATGCGGGTGCTTGGCGACGAGTACATCAAGGCTGAGTTCCGCGCGCACCGCAACGTCGACAACCCGGCGCATTTGGTTAGACTCACCCGTGGCCTTTCCTGTTCGTTTCATCGAATAGCTCTTTCGCATTTTTCTCTATTCTCGTTTCGCATCGCTTGCGGTGACCAGTCTCTTTCAGTTTCAAAAAGGAAAAGAAAAAAATGTTGACAAGACGTTGTCACTGACACCTCGCCTAGATTGGCTTCCTGACAGAGTGGCAATTGTACGCTCAGAAGGTCGAGGGTGACGCATGGCGTGGGGAGAAGATCGACCCCGGCAAAGTCGCCAAGATGAGTGGTAAGTCCCCTCCACGCTTTAGTTTAACCAGCCAGTGATGAGCAGCTAACAGTATGGGGTGTAGACGAGCAGATTGGGCAGTTGTACGAGTTGATGAAGGCAATTCGCGAGAGGCGCGAGCGGGGCGAGCAAGAAGAGGAGCCATGATGATCCGATATCGAGTATCGCCCGGAAAGCCTTTGGTATTGAGCCCAAATTAGGCACCCTGGATCATCACTGCTGAAGCGTTTGAGCTCAAGATGGAGCGGTAGGCCAGACGAAATTTGTCAAAGGGGTTAGGGAGACATCTCGAGGGCAAAGTGTACAGTACATATGAGGAAGAGTGCCCGGTTACACATGTACAGTTTCATGAGTACGTCTAGCTAGAATGTAAAAACCACTAGAGCCATCTAGACTACATCCAAGTCTATACCCGCTATCTATGCGCCACCCTCCAGCGCCTCTATGATCCAGTTCGCCTGAATGACGCTGACCTTCTTGGCATAGTTCTTCTGGGTGAACACATGCTCCAGAAACATGATGGCTTCCTTTTTCTGCCCATGCAGGACGCTTGATGGGTGGATCGCCACGACATGCTTGCCCTGAGACGTCACATAGCTTGCATCCGGCGCCAGAACGGCCGTCTTGGAGACGAAACCGCGAAGGAAGCATTTGAGCAGGGCCTCGGCTTGCTCGGGGGTCAGAGGGGTAAAAGGCTGAGGATCAGGCGGGGGTGCTTCCGAGAGTAAGCCCTCCTTGAGACAGAGGCTGCGGAGTTGCTTGCGGATGTTGAGGGCTGTCTTCATGTTGCGGATATTGACCTTTCTCTGCTTGCACCACTGAATACGGTCGGCGTTCTCGGCGGCGTATTGCTGCATCGTCGTAAGGTAGGTTAGGATATCGCCCTCGCGACGGTACAGTTCTTTGCGAAGTTCTTCAATCTCCTCGCGCTGTTCTTCGGAATGAAGCTGATGGAAGATGTCGTCGCCAGAGGTAATGCAGGCAATCACATCGATTGCTTCGAGCACGCAGTCGAATTCGGGCTTAGCCGAGGCAAGAAGGACCGCACCGAAGGGTGCTGATATAGGGAAACCAGCCATCTTGCGGCCTGCTTCGGTAATCGTACCGTCGTCTGCAAGCGCGCCAAGGCCATGGAGGCTAACCAGCGCCCGTTCAATTGCATCGATATCAGGGGTGTCCATCAGAGGAAACCCGAGAATATCATCAATCCCTCTGGCTTTCATTGTCAGAACAGCCCCGAGGACATCGATTCTCAGGATCTCCGGTAGGTCGGTTTCATCCAAAGAGCCAAACGTGCCTTCAGTGTATAACCTGAAGCATTTACCAGGCCCTTCACGGCCGGCACGACCAGTCCTCTGGATTGCAGACGACTTGGAAATCGGCTTGGCCAGAAGTGATTCCATGCCGAGACGCGCACGAAATTGCTTGACCTTGGCCTTACCACCGTCCACCACGTACCGCACGCCAGGGACCGTGACGGACGTTTCGGCGATGTTGGTTGCCAACACAATCTTTCTGGTAAAACCGCCCTTGACAGGCTGGAAAGCTGCGTGTTGGCCTTCCATCGATAACTGACCGAACAGAGGGAGGACCTTGATCTTCGGAACGTTGGAAGCCAACGTTGCAGCGTACTCCTCAATGAGCGACTGCGCGGATTCAATCTCCTCCTGACCAGTCAGGAAGGCCAGAATGTCGCCTGGCAACGGCTCTTCTGTGTGTATCTTAAAAATGGTCTGCAAAAGAGCTTCCTGGATATCTGGCACCGGCTTGGGTGTGTGTATCGTCTTGACCGGGTACTGGCGGCCCTGGATCCTGAGGACCTCGACAGAGCTGGGCTTGTCACCCTCGACCTCTGCAACATTGCTCCCATCCTCAGTGTTGAAGAAACCCTGAATTCGTTCAACATCGGCAGTAGCACTCATGACGACAACCTTGAGAGGGATACCGCCACGGCCCTTCCGATCGCTCAGGAGAATCTGCTTCAGGAAACCGGACACCAAGTCGACATCGACACTTCTCTCGTGAATTTCGTCGACGACCACCGCGCTGTACTGTTTCAAACTCGGGTCTCGCAGCAGCTCCTGTAGAAGCATACCCTCGGTGAGGAACTTGATCTTCGTCCCCTTGGGTACTTGATGGTCGAAACGAACCGAGTAACCAACCATGCCTTCGCGACTCTCACCGAGCGGCGTCCCGGCTTCGCGCGAGACCCGATGGGCCAAAGTCGTCGCGGCAACTCGACGGGGCTGCGTGACCGCGATCATGCCGCCGACGCTGGCTTCTCGTCCGTCGATGTTGACCACCTGCCTCCTACACCACGGTTCCCTCACGAGAAACTGGGGCACCTGAGTACTTTTACCGGAACCCGTCTCGCCGACGAGAAGTAGGACGTCTTTTTGCCGCATCCGGGTCTGGATGTCCTCGCGGTGAGCCCAAATAGGCAGTTTCTGCCGGATTTTAAGCAAAGCCGGGTCTTCCCTCCATCTTGGCCCTCGATCTGATCTCGGCCTGCCCTTGTCGTACGGTCTTTTTGACTGGTGCTTGATGAAAGATGGTGCTGTGTGTTCCGAGTTCTTCTCATCTTTTGTTGCAGACGTTGATGCCTCATTTGCTGTCTTTTCGGGGTCCTGTTCTACTGCCTGTTCTTGCTTGACTACCTTCTCCTTCTTGGCGGGAGGGTTAAGGTAGCCTTCGAGAGATATTACTTTGTTGCCGACTTTGATAAAATTTTTGTTGTTAAGCTTCCGCTTCTTGGCGGCACGTTCGCCATCGGGGGTGGGTGACATGATGGATTTTCGTTGGGTCTCACTGCCGCATGTAGTTGAAGGGTCAGGCAAGAATGAGAGAACTGCATGTTAGAATTTTTGAGGGTCAGCTCAGACCCGGCACCTGGAGAATTCCTGATTGGGCATCGGCCCCGCATTTTCACAGGACAGCCAACACCGTGCAACGCTCCTGCAGCAGCTGCAGCAACTCGAGGTGGATTCCTCGAGTTCCTTCCACTGCTTACATAGTACACTAGGTAGGTGTTTAGAGCAGTCTTTAAATAACGTGTAACCGGGTGTCGGGACGCGCTCTCTTCCTTATGGGCACTCCCCACCTGATTCTATCTGCAGCTATTATGCCAGCACGGAGTTCAACCTTGAGCATCATCTTGAGTTTCAATTGCACGGTGTACCGCCCTCGAACATTTCCCCTCTCTCGCCTAAGCCCCAGCAAGCCGCATTGTCAGGTTCCCACGGGCAGCAAGTCCTCATTGAAAATACCTACCCATCGTTACCTCAGCTCAGTTGCAAAAATGGCGGACCGATACAAGCTCATCTATACCGTGCCAGGTTAGGGCAACACCTGACAAGCCCAATTCAAGTACAAAACGTGCTGACTGCTCCGATCGCATCGACAGCCTCTCACTTGGTCGCGACCAAAGACGCTGTATTCAAGACAGGTGCAGGGGTCTACGACGAGGGCAAGTATGTCCAAGTTGCTTTCGAATTGACTGGCCAGGGCCAGTTCATGCCCGTCGCAGCAGCGGGGGCGGATCCCCATACCGGCGCCGTCGACCAGCTTGAGCGGGTGCTCGAATACCGTGTTGAGATCCTATGTGTTGGCCGAGATGTTGCCAAAGCTGCGGTGGCAGCTCTCAAGAGGTGAGTACATTAGTATTCATGGGCACAATGAATTTATTGACCGATATCATTCTATAGCGCGCATCCTTATGAAGTACCGGCGTACGAAGTGTACAAGCTGGAGGACATCTGAGTGCCAAGCGTGGTGCCACATCATCCTAATCGGCACCGTGATAGATCCAGTTGCCTGGGCTCGTCGACAAACATATAACGTTCCTCTTGTAGGCTTTCAATGTTTCCATGGCGTAACAGTGATAAAGTCGGGGTGTTGTCTGCGTAACGTGGATGCCCGCATCTATCTGATGCGGTTCAGGCGTTCTCTGTTCATTCTGACTCCGTCATCGACAGCGTCGCTCTGTAGACAGGGTTAAACTTCTCTTCAAGCCATGCACTATAGGAACAAGTAAACATACCTTTTCACCAATCTTATTGATCAAAACGTTTTGTTGGTCAACCTCTCTCATCTGAGCCCTGGCGAGGCCGTTGAGACGTCCAACGGCACCACTCAGTTGATCAAGGCCGTCATCAATCTGATCCTCTTGCCGTTGAGCGAGTTCATTGCCCTCGTCGTCACTATCGTCGAGGACATATTTGGATCGCTCAGCTGCGCTGGCCTTTGCCTTGGGCTGCGGCCGACCGGAAAGAGTCAAGTCCTTGAAGCTCTCCTCAAGTCGTTGGTTGGACTTGAAGGCATCATGTCTGGTCGCTTCGCGGGTCTCACGTTCGAGGCGGTGTCGTTCGAGGACAGCTGCGTCACGCTCCGCTGCACGCGACTTTGATGTGAATGGGTTGCTGACATGAACGGCGAACATACTCCTGTTGAGTGTCTTGAGCTCTTTCGCCCGGTCCTCTGCGACCTTGTTGTGGTTCGTCGCCATATCGAGGTTCTTCTCCGTGTTGTGCAAGCGTTCGCCTTGGGCGCCCAATCGGGCGAGGGTTGCTCGACCGGTCTCTTCCGCCTGCATGGCGGCTTGCAGAGCTCTGTTGACAGTTTGAACAGACTCTTGTCTGACCTCGTTGATCTGTTGCTTGGTGGCGCGGTACTCCTCGGCCTCCTGCTCCTCGGCCGTGAGCTCACGAGGAGCTCCATAGCCGCCATATCCTCCATCCTCTCCAGGGACGGCAGACTGGCCGTAACCCCCAGCCTGAGGCTTGTTCTGTTGTTGTCTGCCCTGCGCACCGCTAAATAGCTCGTCGCGCACGGCGTCGGTATCGTTGCTGTTGGTCCGGCCCAAGCCCCCATAACCGCCAGGCCCGCGGGCTCCAGCAGCAGCGGCGCCTGGTCGCTGGCTCGAACCGTAAGCATTTTGGTTGTTGTCGTACCGGTTTGCCCCGTAGCCGCTCGCAGCTCCGTACTTCTCGGCGCCGTAACCGCCAGCAGCCGGAGGGGGAGCGCCGTATCCGGCGCCAGCTCGAGGGCCGCCGGGGAGACCTCCAGGAGCACCGGCACCTGCACCTACTCGCGCCTGCTGGTAGGGCGTCATCCCGGCGAACTTGTTTCCATCCTGAGCGTAAGGGTCGTTGCCGGCGGGGGCCTGAGCGTAAGGGTTTTCGTTACCCGAGGCCGGGGATTTGCTCTTGCGACCGAAGAGAGCCGAGCGGTTGGCATCATCGCCGTCGTCGCCGCCCTTCTTGCCGAAACCGAACTTCTTCATAGTTACACAAAACGTCGGCAGATGGTGGGGGAGGTGAGTTTGCGGGACAGGTCAAGTCAAGGATACTGTCGAAATTTTAAAAAAAATACACAAAACGCAACGTGCTCACCCAGAGTTTGATCGAGAAGCAGGAGGAATAAAAGTAAAAAGGAGAAGATCAGGAGAGAAAGGGACGACGACACGGTAGCAGAGCGGTCGTGGATACAGATACAGCGGGAGGGGACGGGCTTTCCCCAGCGGGCGGGTTGGTGCAGGGGAGGGGGGAGGGGGGTCAAGTAACAGCTTGATGTGGCAAAATCGGGCCTGTCTTGGGTGTGTTTCGAAGGGGAGCGGGTTTCCCTCAGGGTCCAAGCCATAAAGTATTCGTCAGGGCCTGATAGTTTGGACCTAACGGAGGGATTGGGTTGGGCTGCGGGCCAGCGACCCTTAAGCGCGGTGGAACATCCTGTCGACCTATGATGTGCACCACTAGATCCGGGTTCAGCGAAGTCACCGCCGTTCAGCACTGCTGTAATGGCGGGAAGTCTTCTTATGGCGCACAAGTGGGCTGGACAATGATGGTCATGAGCCTATGGCATGCCTTGGTAGTAGGCCAAGCCTCAATCTAGCGCTGGAAGCTTTGTGTCTCTCTTGTACCCTGCAGCCGCTTCCGAGTGTTTTGTCTTGTCCGCAACCAAATTCCAACGTCAGAAGGAGCGACAGGCTTACTCTTGCTTACTCTTGCAGTGTTGGACTGAATAAGCCCGGTGTGCCTCTGCTCCTCAGGTCATACATTGCATTCCCTAACTATGCACCGTCCGGACTGTTCAGCAGCAGCCCTGCTCGTCCCCTCATTTCCAATTGTTGGGATGTACGGCATAGTATGCTGTGGTTCCGCAGTTCGTCTCAGTGAAGAGGAGATGGGAGATCAGCAAGGCCTGATCTTCAAAAATAGAGAGAGTGCAGGTCAATGCAGAGAGTCCCATCCACTGGTCTTTCAAGAACCAGGACTCCGTTCCTGGAGAGGAGTAGCCAAGCAGCTCTAATGAATACATATAAATATATCTGTATATAGAATAACAATAAAATAAAAAGACCCTGGGTGGGTGTGGTTGTACCTCGGTACCGCAGCTGAGGTCCCTGAAGACAAAGACAAACTAGAAACTCTGTACCTAATACCTAGCCTACCTACCATGTAGGTAGATGGGCATCCAAGTGGATCCAGTAGGTACTTTGCAGCGAGGCAGAGTAAGATGGACGGACACGATAGCCAGCCAACCTGATGAAATTGGACTTGAGATTCGTCTGACGTGAGGTCCTTGATTGATTGGGGGAGTACGGAGTACTATACGTAGACGACACACAATGCGAGTGGCCCTCAGAAGAGAGAGTGCGATGAGCATGTATGTCCCAAGCAGCGAAGGCAGAACCGAGTTTGTTTTCATAAAGCTCATTTCAAAGCCTTTCCCGCAGTTACTGTGCAGTAATTACCCGTATCCGTATTTCACTACCTAGTTACCTGTTCCACTAAGCGGTGGATTACCCGCACTTTCTCCGCAAAGTTGAGCCACTCAGTGGCGCCAGAGCTTACCTCCTGACCGACTGCGTCACACCTGGGCTGATACGCCGAGACCTGCCGGCCTTCGAGTCATTCATGCTCAGAACCATAACGGCGCAGCGCCAAATACTCATCATCGCCCAAACCGTTCGCTTCTCAAATGTGCCTTGGGACATCCGACCTGCTTACAATCAGTTACTCGATCTTTCGCTTCACCATGGCCTCTTACTAGGCTGCTCGCTAAGCTTCCCCCTATCGCTTTAACGTCTGCACCGACGCCTGACATTCACCGCAAACCAGTAAACGACTTTTTGATCATCAAGATGATACCGCGTATAGCATCTCGTTCTTCTGCGCTTGTCACTGCAATAGCTCATCATACCCGGCTTTTACATCCATATTCCTCGATACTACAAACTTGAGATTATAGCTACGCCTACTCTGCAACTTCGGCGCATTCGCCACTCTGTTCACCATACCCAACTATCCAATATGGCTTCCGGCTCCATCTTCACTTTTGATACCGATCCCCAGCGGGTCTCTTCTCCCTGGCTGGCCCCCCAGGACTCGGCAAGGAAGCCCAGGTCCGACGATGGACAGGTCCAGCCCGGACACATCTCGGACTATGGCGTGACCAAGTTGGAGGCCGAGCCACAAGAGGGCCCGACTGAATACAAGCTTCATCTCTTATTGCGACCACGACGTACCTATACGTCCATGAGCGCCATTGCCTCCTCTTGCAATCCTAAAACCCCGGTCTCTCGTGCCTCCAAGATCGCATCGGCAGCTCTATCGGCCTCGAGCCAGAGTCGACAAGTGCGTTTACAGCAACTGACGACACAATTGCTTTGGAGACTTCAACAGTCATGCGCCTACCATGCATTGAATCCCAAAGATCTCATTATCCCAAAGCTTCCCAATGACACAGACGACCTGAGCCAGGCCATGACGCCACAGAAACCGCCTCCGGGCCTGGAGGAATCTCGTGGGGCTTTATACGAGATTGGAGTAGCCGATGATGGTACCCTCGTAGGCTTGACCAAGGACGAGATGGATGAGAGCATCACAACCCTCAGGGTCATGGCCGCTACGTTAGGGTGCCGGGTCGAAATCCTACGCCATGTTGTTGTAGGCGAATGCGAATGGTTGGAGACGTCTGAATTGGTCGACAATGAGGCGACCCAACCTCTTCAGGTTGCCCGGCAGGGAAGACTTTGGGTTGTGGAAGCACTGGTCACTCCTGACTACTCGACGCCGCATGCCGAGCCAGAGGGCTCCCGGGACACTCGCCACGGAACCAAGCAGTCTCCACGAGCCAAGGAGGCTGTCGTGCTACCAAGCAGAGGGCGTTCCACTACCGATCAGCTGAGAATAACTCTCACTGGCCCAACAACTTCGGGGAAATCCACACTGTTGGGAACACTCTCCACGGGGACGGTTGATAACGGGCGCGGGAAAAGTCGCATTAGTCTTTTCAAGCACCGACACGAGGTAGCTTCGGGGCTCACCAGCTCTGTTGCACAAGAGCTTATAGGATATAAGGACCATTGTATCTTCAACTACTCGCAGGACCACGTCGAATCATGGATCGATATCCACGACAGTGCCGAGGACGGACGCCTTGTGTTTGTCTCTGATTCAGCTGGCCACCCCCGCTACCGCCGAACCATCCTTCGTGGCCTTTTCGGCTGGGCTCCCCAATGGACGGTTCTCTGCATCGCTGCAGATGACGCAGACGCAAGCTCGGCCAAAGACGGAGCTAGTTCCTCGGCTAACGAGGTCCTAGGGATAGCAGGTGCCGGCGTTGACCTTGCAAAAGCCCACCTGGAGTTGTGTCTGAAGCTCAAGACCCCTTTGGTTGTTGTTATCACAAAGCTGGACTTGGCTACCAAAATAAGTCTTCAGCGAACCCTTGGCCAGCTGCTGACTCACATCAAAGAGGCCGGGCGACTTCCCAAGATTCTCCAGCCAGCTCTACATAGCGCCCAGGAGTGGACCAACATCTCCTCAGCTGACCTCGACAAAGTCAAGGCCGCCACAACAGAGATGGAGCGGGATGGGGACTTGCTCAAATTCGTTCCCATCATCCTTACCAGTGCTGTTAGTGGTGCTGGCATTGGCTTGACCCACGCCCTTTTGGAGAGCCTGCCTCTTCCACCGGCGCCTACTGCACAGGATTACGTTGGACCGGCACTCAACCCGGAACAACCTTTGTGTCTGTTCCATATTGATGGCACGTTTAGTCTTCCGGCTTCCTACGCCTCCCTAGCCGAAAACCCGAACCAGAATGATATGGGAACCGTCGTGTCCGGTTACTTGCGGTTCGGCCAGCTCTCGGTTGGGGACAGCATTGTCGTCGGACCCTTTCCTTCAGGTGATGACGATTTCAAAGGCATGACACCGGAAGATCGATCCTCCCCCGGCAACTGTGGGCTGTCAATATCTCATCCCGCGTCGGCGGAACTGGCAAAGATCGCGATACGCAATACGGTCGCGGCCTCGACAATCAAAGGAGAGTGGCATGAGGCAAAGATTGTCAGTGTCCGCAACTTGCGGTTGCCCGTCAACACTCTCGAAGCTGGCCAAGTCGGTACCATTGGCATCGTATTAGATATTCCCTCGGATGGTTTCGTCGAAGGGGCCGTTGAGCCTCCAGCGACTGCTCCTCGAATTCGCAAAGGCATGGTCCTGGCCATTCCATCCAAACATATGATAGACACAGGCATGCCTCTCCAGGCAGCCAGCGGGCTAACAGTGTCTTTCAACGACCTGAACGCGGCATCTTTGATGTGCGGTTCCCTTGTCAACGTCTATGTCGGCAGTGTTCGCGCAGCCGCTAAAGTGAAGGGGGTCACCAGGCTACCAACCAAGGATGGATTAAGAGACTCAGGCACGGACGAGGCTGAAGAGATCTTCAATATGAACGAGCACGACGAGTACGCCTGCAGTTCCGTGCCAGAGGTCTCTGGAGGAGTCCAGGCAACGCTTGAGCTGTTGACTAGCAGAGAATGGGTTGAGATGGGTTCGCAGATACTGGTGCTCGAGGGAGGACGGAATGATAGATCTGGCTTAGAGGGTTTCGTTGGCACCGTTGTAGAGATTGTTGACTGAGCTGTGTTTGGGGCGCATTTGTTTATGCGAAGAGGAAGAGCGTGATCGATTGCGGGTGCCGCATTGCTCGTTTGTAGCGTCATGCCAGCATTATTTACTTCATTGATATTTAGGTACGTCATGGAATATAATTTGCGTTCAGTCTTTGCCCTAAGCTCCCTCAATGTCCCGACGCCAGCAACGCCACTTTGACCCACAGCAGCCTGCTACGCCCTCACGATGCCGTAGAATAAGGTCCAGGTGAGGATGAAGCCAGGTAGCCCACCAAACAGTCCACTAGTCCATACGTCCAACGGTCCCTTGAAGTAGCGGCTCGTGTCAAGAAACGGCAATCCTGCCGATGTAGATTCGGGGGCGATTCGGAAAATGTAGAACAAGGCGACGGTCAGGAAGGAGAAGAGGAAATAGAACAGGAAGCCGTTGTATGATTCGAGACCAAGGATGCCGGCAGCGACACCGAAGAGAGACGCCGTCAGACTTTGCAGGTTCGACAGCACCTGCGCAGAGAAGGAGAGAGTTAGTGAGAGCTTGCGCCGGTTGCGAATACTGAGGTGCGTCAGGGAAGCTATCCCACCTTTGTGTTGTGCATCACCGATTCCTGCACAATGGGAGAGATCTGGTAGTCGCGTTCCGACGGCATTTTAAGGTCTTGTGCGTTGGCGTGTAACGGTTTTTCAGTCTTCGGGTTCTCTCGTTTGATTGGGGTGACACCGGGAGGTCCTCAGGTCTTGCAGATTGTTGCGTTGTTGCGTCGTTTCGTCGATGCGCTTCCTGTCGCGAGGGCCAAACAGTAGTAGCGTATGTTCGTAGAGCTCCTCTGTCACTCTGCAGGCCTTGGATTAGGTAATATTAGCAGCATGTGCTGGTGGAGCTTGACAGGACGAGGCCCAGGCAGGCAGACCCAGGATCGGGATCCGGCATCATTATGTTCCATGTCGTTTAAACTACCTAAAATAGGCAGGTAACGGGTACCTAAGTCGCGTCCCCGGATCGAGTGGGGAGTCTGCCATGGTGCAATCTGGTCGGTATCGGCTCCGCCCCCTTGCTGTCATTTGGTCCCAAATTTCATAAGTATGCAGTCGATGACCAGGCACGGTGCACACGCCAAACCTTTTGCGTGCGGTCTTCATCACACGTAAGCTAGTAGCACCGTTAGAACGCTCCGTTGGCTGGGGCAGATCATATGCATTCGCCCCACCGAGGTTCCGTCCTCCCCTTGCACCATAATCGGGACATGCAGGGGTCCAGCGTCATGCCGCTGGTTACTTATGGTCTGTCGGGCTGTCGGTGCGAGCAAACTCTCCCTTCCAACTTCTCGAGCCCCCCGTGCAACCTCCGCAATTACAACGTACCCGCCCGCACGATCCGTATATATCCCCCAAAGCCGAAGGGGCCGTCCATACATCGCTTACACATGTCTTTGCGTTCCTTTGAGTCTGTCATTTGCTTTTCGATCGCAACACGTCTCTCATTCCTTCCGTTCACTATTCCCACGACGCATCAACCAAACCCGACAGTTTGAAGCGACAGATGGCCGTGTTGCTGCTTGCAGGTGCCCTGTCTATACTTGCCCGGTCGCTAGATGGAGCCAGTCGTGTTTGACCAGTCGCCGCTCGCCGAGTACCTTCGTGGTAAGTGCAACATGGCGAGAGGCGATTCAACAACCCCCCATTCAAGCCGACCGCTGACGAGAACCGCGCGTGCGACAGACGAAGGTGAAGACGAGAAGGTGGGATGGGCGCACGACGACTCAGCTTACGATGCATCGCCTCCCTCGAGCCCCGAATTCGCACCGACGGGTCGGCCGATGGTCAGATCGAAATTCCGCAACAATTCCCTCCGAGTCGACATACCCACGAAGGCGGCCTCTGACAAGTCATACCGAAAAAGCTACTCGGTGCGCACCACTCAAAACCCCCTATGTGTGTCACATGGGGAAATTACTTACCTGTGTGTCCTCCAGACTGCGGTAGCGTCCAGGATTGACCGAGCCGACAACTCCAAATTCCTCGAGCAATTTCGCTATACTATTATCGCATCCCAGCTATTGAGTGGGCACTCCATATTATCCCAGCACAATGCATCATCCCGGTCCGCCAATGCTGCCATTGACGGTAATCCGACCGACAAGCTGCTCGACTCGACCGGCGCGGCCGTCGTCGTCTTGGGTGCATTGGCTCTGGCTGTTTCGATCAACTGGCTCGTAGGAGCAGGACCATTGAACAAGAGAAGGACTGCTATTATTTTGCTGGTCGTTGTGATCACTGCAGGGATTGCCCATGTGTTCATGCGGAGGCAATGGCTGAGGTATAGGCGACTGCAGGCACTTTCAGAGGTCACTGCGTTTGTTTCGAACTCCCAGGAATTTGACAGTGCAACTGGTGCAGCCATTACGCTGGTACAAGAGGTGGAACTTGTTTCCAGAGGTTACCGTCTGTAAGTTTTGCCTTCCGAGGCTGACTCGTTGCGACAGAAGGTCTATGGGTGCGCTGACACAAGACTTAGGAGTGCGCCACTTCCACCTATCAGCCGTATAGAGGATCGCTCACAGACGCGCAAGTGCGTGCGGCTACGCAGGGCCCTCAGGACGTGCTTTGCCGATGTCATTCCCGCATACGACCAGACCGTTTCGGTAGTTAAAGGCTTCTCGGAACAACTTGACTTGGAGAAATATTACGACATTTACGACATCAGCGACTTCGACATGTCCGATGCCAGGCAGGGCTTCCAGGAGAATGAGTTTGAGGATAACGAATCACTTCGGACGCTCAAGGTTCTTGCTGCACGGTTTCACACCATTCGCAAGATGTTCTTGTGTGCGCTGCTGGCCCTGGATGCAAGCGGCGACAGCAGCGACCTCTTGAAATGGACAACAACGGTGGAGGTGGTTCGCGCTCTCAATACGGTCACTCAAAAAGCGTTCGAGAGTCTAAGAAGACTTTTGAGCGATGAGGAGTGTAAGTGATCTCCTTCTGGCGCGATGACAACTCGCAACTGACAAACTGTAGCTTTCCCGCCGCCGCCGACTCCAAAGATGCCCCTGACGCCCGGCCGAGAGAGATGGAGATCGCAATTACGGAAACTTAACTCCCTATCCAGCGGGATTCGCGGCTTGCAAGCCAAGCTGACTTTACTGAGAGAAGAGTCTGATCGTAGCCTCAACGAGTCCGACGACATTTCCGAGCTCGGCTCCAGTCTGATGCTGCAATACGAGTCTATCGGAGCGGATTTGAAAACCCTGATGCAGGCCTGGGAGGAAGGCAAAGCAGCTCTCGCCATGGGTATCGACCGGAACGAGAAGAGATTATCTTCTATGAGCACATTGCTCTCTCCAACCAGTTCACTTAGCGGCCTGACGACAGTCGAGGAAGGGGGGGCAGCCGAAGCTCTCAAGGCGTTGAACGGAGAGTCACCCTCCAGCACGGACTTCGGCAGCACAGGGGAACCCGACACGGAAGAGGTCTTTGAGGCTGTTGCCCAGCCTAGGCCTCGCAGCCTATTCACCAGAGAGGAGCGCATCATCAAGATGCGAGAAGATCGGGAGAAGCGAGAGATCGCCAAAGAAAAGGCCGACGCCAACCGGGGTATGATGAAGGAGCTCGAGATGGTCATCAACCTCCGGCCCCGCCCGCGGACTGGGATGAATCCGTCGCGCGTCGTTTCAATGTGACGAGGACACGACATTTGATGATGGACAAGGCGTTTGTGGGTGAGAAGACTCTGAACTAATTACAGTCATTGGAAATTTTGATTTCCTATGTTTTTCCCTTTCTTCTTAATTTCCGATACATAATGTTTACAAACATAGCCACTATCCACTGATTGCATATAGAAAGGGGCTCAAGGACACGCGGGCGGAAGGTATCGTTCGTCGGGTTGCTCTATTGTATTTATGATGACACTGATGCGCACCACGGTCATTCGGTGCAGGTTCCAAATTTTGGCCAGAGGAGGCTTGTACAGACCAGTGCTAGTTCTCTACCTGAATAAGAAAAACAATTGAAAAAGAAGAGAAAATTTTTAATCATTTGTTTACTTGTCTTTGTTTACATTAGAACTAGCCACATGCTCATTTGATGCTATGCATAGGGCAGCTGCGTTGCTACGTTGTATACTCCGTACTATACTCCGTATACTACATAGTATATCCGTACAGTGCATTGGTATATTAAACAAAGGACCCCTGGCTGTTAGGGGAAGAAAGGGGCCTCCATTAGGGGCTGGAAGCCCGCGGCCCTCTGAGCTGCAGCCCGGTTAGCCCGGGCCACTATCTCAGGTGGGCAGGTGCTTGGTCCTTTGGGTTTGTACCTAGGTAGCGCACGGTCCAGCCGTCATCGACCAGGAAGACAGGCCATTGAAGGCAGTCGAGGCAGCATTCTTTGGCCCCGCGCGAGGTTGGCGTCGTGCCCTATTAAACGCTTGACGCGTTGTCTCCTCTTTACCAGCCCACCACGACGCGTGACTGTGTTTGCCCATTAAAGTGCTTGCCGCGACGAGACCTTCTCTTCTTCACCAACCACACATCTTGACGACCAACTTTCCCGCAAGAACACAGAATCACCTCTACGTCTTTCTCTTCCGTCTCTTTTTGATTTCTGAAGATACCCCTCTCCTCTTTTTTTTTTGTAGCCACGCACATATTTTGCCAGTATGTTGCTCCCTTTGCCCCCCTCGCTGTTGCCTGCTTGGGTTTTTGCTCCCGCGGCATGAAAACGGTACTGACGTTGCACAGAGATGTTGGAAGCCAGACTTGACCAGGCTGATATCCTGAAGAAGGTACTGCATAACTAAAAAATACTACAGTCCCAGGTGTCAAGGATCTCTTTCGCTGACCTATCTAGGTTGTCGATGCTATCAAGGACCTTGTTCAGGACTGCAACTTCGACTGCAATGACTCCGGCATCATGCTCCAGGCCATGGACAACTCGCACGTTGCTCTGGTTTCCATGGCCCTCAAGGCCGAGGCTTTCTCCCCCTTCCGCTGTGACCGCAACATCGCGCTCGGCGTCAACCTGGGGTCATTGACCAAGGTCCTCCGCGCCGCCCAGGGCGACGATGTCTTGACACTCAAGGCCGAGGACGCGCCCGACAGCCTAAACATTCTCTTTGAAAGCTCCGAGAACGACCGCATCAGCGAGTACGACCTCAAGTTGATGGACATTGACCAGGAGCACCTGGGTATCCCCGAGACGGACTACGCCGCGACGATCACCATGCCCAGCAGCGAATTCAGGCGAATCTGCGCGGACCTGATGGCCATGAGCGAGTCTGGTAAGTAGCCTCGAACACCGTTCGGTCCCAAATATACCATGGTCTGACAACCATAATACAGTGACGATCGACGCAAGCAAGGACGGTGTCAAGTTTGCATGCAACGGTGACATCGGCAACGGATCCGTCACCCTGAGAAGCCACACCAACGTCGACAAGCCCGAGCTCAACGTCGACATTGCTCTGTCGGAGCCCGTCTCCCTGACCTTCTCCCTCAAGTACCTCGTCAACTTCTGCAAGGCTGCCGCTATCTCCAAGCAGGTCAAAATCTGCCTGTCTAACGAGGTGCCACTGCTGGTCGAGTACACCCTGGTGGGCCAGAGCCACCTGCGCTTCTACCTGGCGCCGAAGGCAAGTTGACCCACGACATCTAAGGCGGGACTAAGACTAACACGAACCTACAGATTGGTGATGAGGAGTAAAGCGGTGATCGACGAAGGGACAAAGTTAATATTGCGGGCGTTGCACGGGATCTGGGACGGGACAAAAGCGCCTGTCCTTTTTACTCTGGATTGAGTTTTGCATGTTCTATAGAGTATGCGCAATACGTTGGTAGACGAAAGGCAAAAAAGCACTTTGGGAACCACGAAAGATGATGAGATTACTGTTTCCGCCTTGAAACCCTTCAAGCCTCATACTTTGATACGCCGATATGCCGAATTTCTCGGCATAGGCATTGCGCTGACGGAGACCGGATAATGACAATTCTCGATCGAAGTGCGCCAGCTGCCCACAGCTGCGCTGGCAGCCAATCTTCTGGCTATAGTGTTTCCAATTCGGGCTAGTGCGGGGTTGTTCGATGCGCCCTTTTGGCGGGGTCATTGTTTTTTCCCTTGACCTTTCTCTTTTGAGTCAATGGTGCACCAGACACTGCCACACTGGTTGAAAATGTTGGATTTGGAGTCAGAGTGGGAACGCGCGGAGCTAGAATGACCTGGAACTGCGGCACTCTCCAATCCCTCAAGCCTCTTACAAATGTTCCACTACTGCAGCCTGATTTCGCACTTGGATCTTTGGGGTTTGCGCCGATAAAGAGATACGTTCCTTTGTCTTTTGGCTCTTGTTCTCGTAACGTCCGAGTTCCAAGTATCTCCCTTTCTCTTTTTTTTTATTACATAGTACATGTATTATAAGTAATACGTTATCGCACTCTTGATCGCTCCGCATATCGGCGTTCCGCCCCCACCGATATCCGACTTCTGGTATCTGAGACCATCTCCTCCATATGAGGCACCTAGAATTGGACGACACAATCTTACATACCATACACGCGCAGATTACACGGCAATTATGTCCTCAGAAATTCCCATTCCTGATACACGCGTCCTGGCCGTCGCCAGTCACGTAAGATACGCCCCCCTTGGGCTTTCGTGCCTCTCGTACGATGTATAACTGACCGTTTCATTCAAGGTTGTGTCTGGGTGAGTCCTCACCGTCTTCCAGAGGCGCTCGTGCGCGCTTGGGGAGAAGTCTTAGTCGCAGGAAATCTGGCTTACGGGAAACCCAGAAACGTAGGAAACAAAATCGCAGTGTTCACGCTGCAGTCCCTCGGCTGCGATGTCGCGGCCCTCAACACCGTTCAGTTCAGTAAGAGACCTCATCCAACACACCCACTCACTCCTCCTTCAACCTCGGCCTCTTGTTTTGTTCTTGCAGGGCCGAAAGGTTCTCATCAGGACTGACTCCCCCCACCCAAGGCAACCACACCGGCTACAGACAATGGAAGGGCACCAAGGTGTCCGCGCAGGAGATCCGGGACCTCTTCGAGGGCCTCAAGCAGTCGTACCTTGACGACTTTGACATGATGCTCTCGGGCTACATCCCGGGCGCCGAGGCCGTCGTGGCTGTGGGTGACATCGCACAGGAGCTCAAGCGCAAGCGGGTCGCCGCGGGGACGCCAGGCGACTTCTTCTGGGTTCTGGACCCCGTCATGGGCGACAACGGGAAGCTATACGTCGCCGAGGAGGTTGTGCCCGCGTACCAGTCACTCATCAAGCACGCGGACCTGATTCTCCCGAACCAGTTTGAGGCCGAGTATGCAAACTTTCTCCCCCCCCCCCCCCCCGGGGGTCTACCTCCCGACTTCTGTCGTGGTTGCAAACACTTAGACTAACACCTTACTAGACTCCTCTCGGGCGTCAAGATCACAGACATGCAGACCCTCCAGACCGCCATCCGCGCCTTGCACACGAAATACCGCGTTCCCCACGTCGTCATCACCTCCGTCTCCCTTGCCTCGCCCGACCACCCGCCCTCCCACCTCTCCGTCGTTGGCTCCAGCATGTCGCCCGCCACCGGCGAGCCGCGCCTCTTCAAGATCGTCTTTCCGGCCATCGACGCCTACTTCTCCGGCACGGGCGACATGTTCGCCGCGCTGATGACGGTTCGCATGCGCGAGGCCGTCATCGCCGCCTCCGCGAGCGTGACAACCGGCCCCGCGGGCGGGGAGGGCCCGCTGAAGGACCGCGCGTCATGGCTGAGCGGCGACAATGTCGGCGCACTGGAGCTGCCTCTCGCCCGGGCGGCGGAGATGGTGTTGGCGAGCATGCACGAGGTGCTGACGCAGACGGCTCGGGGCATGCACGAGGTCGTGCGGGCCGCCGGGGTGGATGACACGACGGAGGAGGGGAAGCGGAGGTTGCACCTGCTCAAGAGCAAGAGCTCGGAGCTGAGGCTCGTGAGGAACCTGGCGAGCCTGAAGGCGCCGGTGGTGGAGTTCCGGGCGAAGAAGCTGTAGCTGTAGCTGTAGAGTATATCCGAACGGGGTCGCATGCCGCTGTTGGGAGGGGTGGTTTTTACACATACACATACCACATATAGACACACGCACACACACACGCACACACACACGAGGGGTAGTCGGCAGGCTTTTTGATCACCTGCATAGGGCGGCGTAGGATGGTATAGAAAAAGGCATTCCATGGTCGTAGCACTGTCATCATCCGTCTATTCTTTTACGCTTCTGGCACCCTTGTTCTATGAACACTTTTTCTGTCCGCCCACTGCGGTGCCATTCTATCCGGTCCATCTTTGGCGGTCTAGGAACCCCTTTTCCCATGCAACAAAGCCTCCTTTGTATTGTATCGGAGGGGGGGGGACGATCTATTGCGTAAGAGCGACGCCCGTGCTGCCGAAGCCGCCGGCGCCACGCACGCTCGCCTCGAGCTCGTCGACCTCGACGATCTCGGGAGTGAAGATGCGCTCTACGACGAGCTGGGCGACGCGGTCGCCCTCGGCGACTTCGAAGTCGGCTTCGGCGTGGTTGAAGAGGAGGACCTTGACCTCACCGCGGTAGTCGGCGTCGATGACGCCGGCGCCCGTGTCGATGAAGTTCTTGGCGGCGAGGCCGGAGCGCGGGGCAATGCGGCCGTCTGTACATACGAAGGGGGTCTATGGTTAGCCAAGTTGTCGCTCGGGGAAAGAGGCAGGACCGGTGCCGGAGCCGGTGCCGGAGAGAGCTCTCGGCAGGAACGAGGTGCAAACGTACAAGTGCCGGCCGGGACGGAAATGGCAATATCGGTGCTGACGAGTGCCTTCCCGCGCGCCGGGATGGTGGTGGCCTTCGCAGCGTAGAGGTCGTAGCCGGCGGCGTAGAGGCTGCCGCGCGTGGGCAGGCGAGCCTTGTCCGACAGCTTCTTGACCTGGAGAGGCGGGCAGGGCTCCATGGCGGCGGGGACGGGGGCGTCGGCAGAGGTCTTGACTCGCTTTGCGGGAGGGTCGAGTTGCTGCTGTGCACTGACGGGTTCAGAAGAGCTCATGTTTTGTTTCGTTTCGTTCGGGGGTTCAGTTGGACTGTCTAACAAGATGGAAAGTTTACCAAAGTAGGACCGAGGTGTTGAGTTTCGGTGTAGCGGGGTGGGGGGAACGGCGGTGTCGCGACGACGCGCAACGACGTGGATGGCGAATTGGCCAATAGAAAACAGCCGTTCAACAGGGTCGCTCAATTGCCTCAACCGCCTTGGCTAACATCGGGAAAGGTCGCCATTGAACAGGTATATATTGTGTCATGCTCTTACCACTGCCAGAGCTCTTTCCATATTGCGATTTTCTGTTGTGGGAACTGAATAGTCTCATGACAGTCGCGGGACCTGCAGCGAGTCACATACCCCAGGCCCCTAGTGTTTGCGCATCGTGTATTGGCATTTTTCACGTAGAGAAACAATGAATAGATTAAAAACCTTAGAAATTAAAAATCGCTCGACGCATAGGCCGAGTTCCCAACCTCGACACCAACCTTTGCCCTTCTGCCCAGATCCGGAGGAAAGTGCAGAGTCAATCGCAGGCACTGTGAATTTCAATATCATATACGAGCCCGCACTGTAGCCACCAAAGCCCGAGCTGCCCCGAGTTGTCCTCAGCAGGGCCTTGGCGGCCATTTAAGGAGCCACCCATCCTGACTCGAGATGCTTAACGCTTAATAACAGGAGCTTTTCTGTGACATTGCCGGGCCCCAGGAAAGATGTGCCGTTGCAGGAAAATTTGGTTTGATTGACTCTCTGTCCACAATTCCACACGGGGGATCTGCGCATGAGCGTCACAATCGCACGGGTGTCCGGCAAATCGTGCCATCCTAGTCATCCAGCTCCCTCCCAAAATCAATCAGCTTGAGCTTCGTAGCGTCCCTGGGATGGAACTGTGCGACTTTGGATCTGACAAGGAACCGCGCCGCCGCCGTCTCCTTGGATAGCTTGACGTATGCCGTCGTGCTGTCACCCCCCGATTCCACAAGCTGATTCAGGAGCTGTTCTGTCAAAGCCCGCATCTCGCGGCCGGCGGCTGCTGCCTCGTCCGCCTCGCCGCGCTTCTGACTTGTGTCCTCCTGTGGCAGGCCCCAGACTTCTTCAAGCCTCCGTTGTCGCTTGTCCTCGTCCGGCTTGGGTTTGATCTTGGCCGGTCGACCTTGAGCATTGAAGCCCGCAATCAGTTGGTCCGAGTCAATCTCCATCATTTCACCTACGACCGGGCCACCAAGATCTTCTGCAGCCAGCTGTGCCGCCAAGTGATCGTCAATAAATTTCCTCAGGGCCTTGAGTAGTCTGGATGTCTCTGTGTCATAACGCTTCTTCTTTTGCCTGAGTTCATCCAGTCTCTCCTGGACGACCTGTTGAGGCGTTAACTCCATTCGAGATTCTGCCTCGCCCTTGAGAGACTGGATGCGCTTCTCTAGACTCTGCTGAAGTAGCTTCTGGTCAGCCAGGTTCGCTTGCTCGATTTCAAGCCTGCGTTTCGTCCGGTCGAGGGAGGCCCCTTGACTCATCAGATACGCCTGGGATTCAGTAATGGTCTGATGAGTCTTCCGCAAGGCCAAGAGCGCGGGCAAGACGGATTCCGAGAAAGGTAGGAAGGGGGGCGTGCTAGCAACTTGCTCGAACGCACTCTTCATCACTTCGTAAGGTTCTCTTCCTGCCCCAGATAGATTTTTATTTATGTGGCCATCGTTTCCCTGAAGCTGTCACCCAGTCAGCTCAGAGTCATCAAAGGGCCACGAAGTAGGAGGCATACCGCTGCAAGCTTCTCCTTGTGTTGCTGAATGTTCTGTTGGAGTTCTTGCAAGCTCTGTTCCAGGTTCAGGGCATACCTATCGCCGACAGGTCGAGGTGCTCCGTCCATGGTGCGTCAAGTGCCGATTCCCAATGTCAGACATTGATGGTTGGCTAGTGTTTTTTTATGTAGCGCGACACGGTTGCAATCCGGGTCAGGAGGCACACGCGACCTATAGAGGATCCCCTGGGAGAAACGAAACAGTTTAAGCAACGGCAATAGAGAATCCCTCCAAGCCTTCCCAAAGCACACGGCCCGTCGAAGCAACCAAGATGTCCAATAGCGTCGTGCGTCTGATCTCATCCCTGTCAGAGAAAACAAGCCGTGTTCGGGCGCTAGATTGTCTCTAGCTGTTTCAAAAGAGGTGTGTCACTGTGTGTCGGACGCAGTTGATATTCCGGGGGGGAAGGGGGAGGGTGGACAGCGCGCAACCTGCACAGATGGTGCACTTCCTTGGCTGTCTAGCAGAGTGACTGACAGGCTGACAAGTGACATCGACAGCGCAGGTCTTGGGTTGTACGACCGACGCCAAAGGTTTCGGTGATGGGGAAGCGGCTGTTGACTGTAAGGTGTGCTGTGTGGTCGAGAAAGACGTCGGCGAGACAAGGTGGTCGTCGACGTGACTTGGACCGCAAGACGCGACGTCGCGATGAGATGTTTGTGTAAATGCCTTGTTGTTGAGTGCTGACTCCTGAGCATCCACTTGCATTGGAAACTGCAGGGCACACCAGACGAACATTGGTGGCAGGCTGCAGTGCTCTCTGGTTGTCCGTGGGTGAGAGGTAGGCCAGACGGTAGTAAACACTGTGCGGCTTGCTGCATCTGTTCCACTGAATCAAGCTGGAAGGAGGCCCAGGCCCCACTCTGTGTAGCTTAATCTGCCGGGGGTGTCAGAACGCACTGTGTAGTACCGGCAGTTTCTTCTCGGGTATTGGGTTGTGGCAGTGTGGCCGTGCATCTGCATTTTACACTGTATCTACCTACGTGCCCTGCCCTGCTGGCTGTGCCTGAGGTGGCCGCTACGGACTGGCTCCTGGCCCGCCCGGGACTGGCACTTGCGCTTCTGGCCCTGGGGTATTTTCCGACAAGCTCTTTGCCCTCGCCCATCCGTTTCTCAAACCTCTTCGAGACATCCGGAACCCCCTTCCAACCCATCTGTTTGCACGGCTTTCCCTCCCCATCTCTTTTAATCCTCGATTCTGCTCCCCCATCCTTCCCCTCAGTCTGTCGAAAGTTCCTTTCGGTGGGTTGTTTTTATCTTACGGCGCAGCGCATCGGTTCCAGCTTCGCTCTCCCCTCTCACGTGTCGCCTTCTCTCAACCAAGCTTTCTCTCCCTCTTGAGGTCCTCAGGCCCGACGGTCGGCGCGTCGCCAGTCTTCCGTTTTGCTCTACAGCTCGACGAGCTCAAGAAAGAGAAGAAGCGAGACATCGCAGAAGGGGAATATCAAAGCTCTGCTTGCAGACTTGACAAACCGTCGCAACACTTTGCAGCTCCCTGCTCTGCCTTCGCAGCTTGGACTGGTTGTTTGACGGAGAAAGGTTTGAGCTTCTGCATCCGAGTCGCCTCCTAGATACAATCTTTGTCTACCATCAGCTCCTTCCCTCCCACCTTCTCCACCTCTTTTCTCCATCATTCCATCTACATCCTGCCCGTTTGCTGCCTCTCCGCATCGTCTCGCCTTCCCTCCGCTTGACCTGAGTTTCTCTGCTCTGCGATTCTCACGATTTCGGAAGTCACCTACCTCGGTCCTGATAGGATAGGAGTCATCCTGAACCCACATCCCGATCTCTTCTCAACGTCACGACCCTCTACCCTACGACCTTTATCCTGCACGATCACAGCCACTTCACCGAAGAGATATACTCTGAACCCGATCCCGACTACGCCACTACACCAGCCCGTTTTCCTTTGAAAACCGTTGTGGTGTAGATAGTCGAATACAAGCTCTTCTTGAACCTGAACGGAATCGCGAAAACTTGTGTGAGACATTAACAGCTAGCCCATCATGTCCGCTTCGCCCCCCCAGCCCGCAAACTCGGCCAAGCGCCCCCTCGAGGAAACCTCCTCCCCGTCGCGCAGCAACGACCAACCCGACGCGAAGCGCCCGGCCTTGGACAAGATTGTGAAGAATGATGAGGAGGTTGAAATGGCACAGGCCCCCGAGACTACTGCCATCCCCACCACGGAAACGAACGATGCAGAGAAGACGAACGGCTCCGACGTCAAGTCAGAGCAAGCCGATGCTGAGGGCAGCGAGACGAAGCCGATCCAGAGCTCCGTCGCCGGCTCTGTCCCTGCCACCTCTACCCCCTCGGCGAGCCACGACGAGAGAGATTGGATCCACATTCGCGCTGTTATTTCTAGTCCTGAAGCTGCCACGATTATCGGAAAAGGCGGGGAGAATGTTTCCAACATCCGCAAAATGTCCGGTGCCAAATGCACTGTGAGCGACTACCAGAAGGGGGCTGTCGAGCGCATCTTGACCGTTAGCGGCGTTGTGGACGCTGCTGCAAAGGTTAGTAACAGTGCTACTCTAGCCAATCGGGCTGTCCTGTTAACAGAGTCGCCAGGCCTTCGGACTCATTATTCGAACCCTTAACAACGAGCCTCTGGCCGAGCCTTCAAGCGCCCAGTCAAAGACATACCCCCTGCGCCTGCTAATCCCCCACATCCTGATCGGTTCCATCATTGGAAAGGGCGGTGCTCGCATTCGTGAGATCCAGGAGGCTTCCGGGGCCCGGCTTAATGCTTCTGATTCCTGCTTGCCACTGTCCACCGAGCGCTCGCTCGTGGTCATGGGTGTCGCCGACGCCGTCCACATCGCGACCTACTATGTCGGCAGCACTCTCCTCGAGCAGCTGAACGACCGATTCGGTGGTCCAGCCGCTTCTGCCTACGCCACGAGAAGCGGTGGCCCTGCCGGTGTCGTTCCCGGCGGCATGCAGGTCGTCCCTTACTGCCCGCAGCCTACCACCGGCGGCAATTACGGCAACCGTGAGAACTACAACCGCAGGCATGATGCTCGTGCTCAGCACCCCGGTCTCCCCGCTGCTCCTTACGGCGCGCAGCCATACCCCCCTCATGCGGCTCAGCCAAACCCAGCAATGCCCATTCACTACGGCGCAGCGCAGGCCGGTGGCTACGGTGCTGCCGCTCCCATGCAGCCCCACGCTGGTGCTGCCGTTCCCCAACCTCACGGCGCCCATCCTGCTCAGCCCATGCATGGAGCCGCTGTTGCCGGCGCTCCCTTGACCCAGCAGATCTACATTCCCAACGATATGGTTGGAGCCATCATCGGAAAGGGTGGGCAGAAGATCAACGAGATACGCCAGATCAGCGGCAGTGTGATTAAGATCAACGAGCCTCAAGACAACAGCAACGAACGGCTGGTCACCATTACGGGAACGGAGGAGTGCAATCGGATGGCGCTATACATGCTTTATTCTCGTCTTGGTACGCAAACTCGACAGAATCCATGCTTGGCAACGTGCTAACAATGTCAATAGAATCGGAAAAACACCGGATCTAACGACGTTTATGACTTTACTGACTATCAAATCTTAGTTCGGCAAACCAAAATTTCGGGCGGAATGGTACAGTTTCTTTTCTTTCGCGAAACATCATCGCCACGTTTGGGGGATATCGGATTGGTTTCCGGCAACAGCTTCGCCGCGAAACCCCGGCTACATCTGGAAAGGGGGACAGGTCTCGATCAACTTCGTCTGATCAAAGGTGCTTTTAGAGGAGGTACTACTTTTAATAGTGCACTACTCTCTCTTACTTCATCCATTCTCCAGCACATCTTGACTCCCTGCCCACATCTTCACAATCACCATTGCGAGCCCCATCAACCGTTGCCCTGCCTGTCTGCCTGTCTGCCTGCCTGCCTGCCGCCCTACCATCCACATCGCCTCACTTACACAGCCCTGATGGACATTATGGCCCTAAGCCCTAGAACTTCGTGATCCGCTCCCAACGTCGCCCGTACTACGTACACCACCAACTTCCATGCACTTGGCCTTACCCTAGCTCATTTTCCTACCATAGCATACGCTCGCCTCGTCTCATGGAGGCAGAGACGAGCCTTTTTCTTCTCTCCACTTCCCATACTTCCGCAACAGATGGAACGAGGTTCGAAACCACGAGCAGAAGGTTTTCACTATTTTATCAACAAATCGCTAATAAGTTCATGGCAGGCATCACGACTCCCTACGGACAGCGGTGGTCTTCGACCAGGATAGCGGTGCCATCCGTCTCCCAGCATCTATACCAACTTGTAAGTGAGGGCCCTCGCCTCTCCCGCCTGCTATGAATTGAGCACACAGCGTTTTCATTTCCATCATAAGTAGGAAACCATGAACGGTAGGCAACTTGTCAGTAATCACGTGCTTCAGTATAGTTCGTTTTTTTTTTTTCATCGTAAAGTACAGCCCGTAGTCATAACCAAGGCCACCTTGGTAATATGATGCCATTTTGAATAATATACTCTGAATTCTCTACAGCCGTCATTCAGATTCGCTTGAAGTTCACATGATACTGTACGCAGTCAGCATTTGTCACAATTTGCTGGCTTGTAATAATGACGACATACCATGGAAATGCCCTTATGGCCTGACCTCAACAGATGAATGTTGTCTGATATTGCTGCAAGACATGTTAGTCATGGCTCTCTCACACGTCGGGTCATCTCCCGTCATGGCGCTCCACAGGGATGTGGTGTACTCTCGTCCAGCCTTTGCCTTGGCATCAAGATGCGCCTGCTTGCTGTCCCACCCCAGCAACAGTGTTACTGCGGGCCCCTTCTCCCCGTCCCCGGAGCCCGCCACGGCCAGCGGCGTCGAGATCGCGCCGTACGCATGCCCGTGGTACCCCTCCAGCGAAGCCCCGCCCTGCGTCAGACCCTTGGCAAACTCTGCCGTCTGCCCTAGGAAGGAGTCGTTCACGCCGTAGGCGATGAAAACCGCGGTGCACGGCGCGTCGAGGGCTACGGCCGGGTTCGAGTCGGCCGTGAAGGGGACCTTATAGAAGAGCGGCGGGGCGACGCCCGGGCTGTCCGGGGAAGTGTGGGCGGAGACGGCCTTGAGGGAGGCAAACCAGGGCGTGTAGGACTCGGAGGCGGCGAATTCGGAGAAGGCGGCGGGCGAGGCCCACTCCGCGACGAGGACCGTCTTGGAGGGGTCCTCGTTCTGGGTGCCCGTGTACACGGCACTGACGCCGGGTGTGGATTTCAGGGTATCAGTGACGTCGGACCAGGCCGCTGGGGGGCCCGATGAGTTGCCGTGATTTTTGAGTGTAAGAACGATAAACTCCGTGATTGGGGTGGCCATCTTGGAAGGAGGGTGAGGAACGGAAGAGAAGCTGCTCGATGAGGTGGGAGTTGATGCAAACCAAAGCTTTGGGTGGGATGGCGACACTTTATCTTGAGTGGATGTGATGCCATTCACGATGCACGGGTGTTCCAGATCGGCTAGCATATTCTACAGAGTTCTACATCAAGGGCGGGACGTCACGGTTGACGGATGCATCGGGCAGGAAGGGTCACGTGGACGCCTTCTCCGCGCTGCGGGGCGAAGCTTCTGGCGACACAAATTGAACCACAATGCTGTAAGCCACGATTCCCCCGCGCTTCTTGTTCTGTCAAGTGGCAGCTCCATAACTGTAGACCTGATCCTGAGGTGTTCCGGCGAGGTGGGGGTCCAGAAAGACATCGCGACCTCGACTCTGCTGGACCGGTCCGCGCTCCACTCTCGCCCGCATATACCTCCGCTTGTGAAGGCCGACCGGGTCGGAGATCACGGGGCAGCCCGGCGACGAGGAGCGGTGCACCACCGACCCTGTCGATTCAACCCTCGGGCCCCGGAAACCCAATGATGCACCCTTCTGCCCGTCGCGACAACAAAAGAATTATGACGACAGAGAGCAGCGAAAGACGCTGCTAGACCCAAGGGTAGCGTTAACCCCCTTCCGGCTACCTGGGAGTACCTAGGACATTCCAACGGCCGGCCGGGTGGATTACCTTCCCAGGGAGGGTGTTGTCTTGTCTCTCCTCGAAACCGCTTGGGCGTACGAGCTTGGAATGCGTCCACCCTGACGAGTACTTGCCATACCTACATCCATCGTGTGACGGTTGACTTGACTTCCCTTCCCCCCGCTTTTCCCCGTTCTTTCTATTATTATTATTTTTTATTTTCTTGACGTAGCTTGGCTGGGAGGAGAGCCAGGGAAGTACCATGCCTCACCCAAGGAAGACCCTTCCCGCTCTTTCGGGCGCCGCAGTGTGGCTTAGGCCGAGGTGCATTCGATGATGGCTGACTTGGGCTTCATGTCGGTGCAGCCGGCGCTTGGTGCTGCAGAGAGGCTGACAAGGTAAGTCGCGTTGGTCGCGATGCAACTGTCTTTTTCTCATCGTCGTTTGATCAAATGATACCAAAGCAGCACCTATGTCGGGCATCGTGGCACCACTACCTACTGCCGAAGCTTTCTCGGTTCCAGCGACCTGCATGGGTCGTAAAGGGAATGAGGCGACAAGTCGACGAAGACGGCAGCAGTTGCAGGCGCTGGCATACAGACCTTGCAGCAGCGCCATCGCCCGTGCCACTCGACCGCAGATAGCCAGCCTGGAAACCGATGGTCCGTACTCGACCGTACCTATTCGAGCCGACAGCCAGGCTGACTGCATTAACAGAGTTGCAGAAGGAAAGGCAACCTAGCCCAGCGGATGACGGCCATGCCAGGACGAATGGTGAACTCACGTTTCCTTGGGGTCGGGCGAGGTGGTGTCTTTGGATTGGCCTCATTTATGTAGATGAGGTCCAACCCACCCTCTACTGCCCGCACATGTGACGGCTATCATCATCGCAACTCTGTTTGTTTTTACGAATCAAACTTTTACGGGCTCATGACGTCGGCTTGCACAGTAGCGGCTGGCTCGGGAGAGCATTATGCCTTCACAACGTCGGCCCAAGGTTTGCGAGTCGCCGACGAAGGGGTGTCCTCTTGTTCAGGTCTCGTCGGCTGTAGGAAGGAGAGTTTGGGGTTGAAACTCTGACAGGGCTAAGAGACGGGGACCTTGCTGACGGCTGACCCGATGTGTCGGATGAGTTTTCCCACCAAAGTTCCCGTTCCTTTCCCAAATCGGTGGGTGGCTGCAAGACATCGGATTATTCTACGATGTAAGATGGACGACTGCGTGGTATAAGTGCTGGGCGGCATTGCGATGGCTGAGACCCGCACGCGGCAAATCAGATGCATCGTTAAATGAATAGACGGAGGAAGGAGCAAAAGCCACGAGGTACTAAGTTTTGACTTGACTGCGTCCAGATTCTATCCGACGCCATGCATAGGGTTGAGCGCCTAGGGGGGCGGAGAGTGCTGGGCTGACTGGGCGTAAAGCTGAGACCCAGGCCGCGGACCCCGTTGTGCCTTCCAGGCATCGGAGGAGGATGAGGAGGTAGGTACATGCATACCCGAGACAAGGCTGGCGAGGAGAGTCAACGGGGTGAGAGGATGGATATTGCAGAGTGGCGAGTTCACACGATGGTTGAAGCACGACTGTCCATTTGGTATGGCCATCTGCCTCGGGATTGTGACACGAAGCGAAAGTGAGATGGTGGCATCCGCTTCATGTCTATGTCATTCAGAATAAGGGGTGGTAAAAAAAAAAAAAAAAAGGACCGTTAGAAAGGTTCAGCTCGGACATTTGATCGGTCCATGAGTTGAAATTCTTTCCCTGACCCAAGCAAGCCCTTACTCTCGGTTAGCAGCTAGTGCCATTCCTTCGCGCGGTTCTCGAAAGGGCCTACCAATGCAAAAGATCCTTATTTTGCATGCATGATGCATTGTCGCTCGAACTGCCAATTGGCTGCCCCTTGTAGGCTACAGCGTGGTCAGATTGGACGGGTCCCTAGGGGGGATGACGGAACCACCATGGTGCCTGCGACAGGCACCAGCGGTCCCATTACGGATAATATGAACATGAACATGAACGTTGACTTGTTTTCTGCAGACTGAACTGGACGATGGAGTCATAATTATATCGTGCATACACGACGTCTTATTTGCAGACAACCCGTTTGGGTAAACTAATTGGGTCAACCCTTCACAATACTCGCTGGAACGAACCTACAAGGTGCGCATGTACAGATTGCAGACGTCACCTCATCTCGGTTCAATATGCGCTCATCTGGCGACACATCAACGGCGACTGCTGGCGTGTACTTGATTCAAGTGAGCGTCCGTCGAGCCGGGTTGCCTGCCCATTGGTGGACGGTCGAAGAAACTCGGTTGGAAGCAGACTAGAATGGATGTGCAGGCGAACCACTATGTATTTTATCCATACGTGCCTTGGTTAGAAACACCTTGCCGTGATGCCACCTCCTCGATGCACACTAACTACCAAGGTACGCAAAGCGCGTTGGCTCAGCCCTGGTCGGTTATGGTCTGTTACTGGCAGAAGTCACACTTTATGAAAAGGCAGGTACTGCGTTGTGGCTTCTCTGGGAGACAACGCTAAATGCAATGCTCACATCTACCCACGCGCCGCACGCTTCAAATAGTGTTCACTTCGGGAGGGAAGGACGGTACGTATCTGCCAAAAGCTGGAGTCGGAGAGGAGAGTCAGGAAAAAATTCATGGGGGGGGGGGGGGGGGCCACATTGGTAGCGTACCTATGCAATTTCCACAATCCATGTCTCCGTTGCGGCGCAGTGCACAAATGCGACGATGGCACGCAAAAGACGACAGGAGCATGTAGTGTGTGCTTCCCCTTCTATGCCTTGTGGCTCTTCTGACAGTCCCCGGGCCATCTCTCGCTCCCTCTCCAATGTGATGCCCGCGAGGCCATCGTTTAGACCATGCCTAATTGAGCCGGGATGCTCGCTGGACCAGGGACCACGGTCCATTCGCCCTGCACCCCCTTGCCGCGCGCCCAGGAGCACTCGGCTAGCAGGGGCCATGCTCACCTCACCACCTCCCCCTTCCCTATCCCTCGTCTCGTCCTCGTCTGGTGTTTTCTTTCTCTTCCCTCCTTCTTTACCTCCAACCAACCAACCAACCAACCCAGTCAACCGTTGTGTCTCGTCTTCTGGCTTCAGCCTGCCGCTCTTTTATATAGTCACTCATTACCGCGTCTCCCAACCCACTCTCCCTCTCTAACCACTTACTCGCTTCTTCCCGTCGCTCGTTTCTCGACTTCCCCGTCTTTCTTTATAATAGACGTCTAAATTCTAATCGCCATCACCACTACCTCATCAGCAACCTTCCAAACCGTTCAAAATGCAGTTCAAGATCTCCGCCGCTGCCTTCCTGGCCTTCGCCGTCTCTGCCCTGGCTCAGAACCCCAACTTCGACCCCGTCTACAAGCCCACCAGCAACCAGAAGGTCAACGCCGGCACCAGCTTGACCATCGAGTGGGATGCCCCCGATGCCTTCAAGGACGTTACCGTCTCCATCAGCCTGATCGGTGGCGCCACCCAGGGCGGCCAGGTTCCCCTCCTGGACATTGTTTGTGAGTATCCTCGACTTGCGTCCCGAGACCCAGTTGCTCCTGTCGCCGACATGGCCGTGTAGCGCAGCCAGGCTAACAAGACTCACAGCCGGCATCCCCAACTCTGCCAAGGCGTACACCTGGGCCATTCCTTCCAACCTCGGCAAGGACGCCTTCTACGGCCTCGTCATCAAGTCCGAGGCCAACCCCTCGGTTGACTTCCAGTACTCCAACCCCTTCCACATCGTTGCTGTCGACGGCGCCAGCACCGGTACCACCACCGTTCTCGCTACCTCGGGCACTGCTACAGTCACCCTGTCCACCCACACGGCCTCGGTCTCTGCTGCTACCAGCGCCGCCTCCGTCTCCGAGAGCGCCATCGCCAACTCTTCTACTGCCGCTCACACCACCCCCGTCACCACTGCTGCTGTCACCACCTTGACCAGCGCCACCCGCCCTGCCACCAACCACACCGCTACCGGCATCGCTACCCCCACCGTTGCTACCATCGTGAGCGGCACTGCGACCAGCGCCATTGCCACTGTCACCGGCTCCGGCGCCAGTGCCAAGGGTCCCGCTGGTATCTTTGCTATCCTTGGTGGCCTTGCCGTCGCCGCCCTTCTCTAAACAACGCTCTTTGCAGCATTTCTCGGATTTTCTACATTCGCTAAATTGCATTGGGCATGGGATTGGGTTTCAACGTGCATATTAGGTCATGACTGGATAAAAAGACGGGGACTCGGCTTCCAGGCTATTGAGCTCGGAACATCCGTGTTATTGTAGCCTCGAGGGAATGGGCTTCCCGCACATGGCGTTTTTTATTTTCTTGTGTTTCCGATACCAGTTTCCCCGTGGACGAGTGCAGTCCAAGAGGGATGGGTTGATGCCTTTCTAGTTGATAATGTGAGAGAAGAATGATTTGGTCTATTCCTTTCTAGTAAAAAAGATTTTCCGCCATACCAATGCAGTCTGTTTGTCCAAGACGTCTTGAAGTCAGTGAGATGTCGATCACCTACCTCATGGAATGTTGATCGGATAACCTTGCAGCTGTCATGTGGCGGCCACAGCTTGTCTGATTGATTTTCTTGCATGTCATTGGTTGAGTCACAACATGGACAGCCCTAAGGACTTGGTTGGGTTGCTAACGAGCGGGAAGACTTGTTTTTCTGCTAACGTGAACGCACGGCATTGTTTTTGGCAGCCACAGCAGCAATCATACATCTTGGCAACAGCCTTGCATAATAACCAACAAACAAGGTGTCATTTTTACCTACCCATATTACCATCCCTGGTACTGTGCCTTGCCATTCAATGTCACTGAAGAACTCTTTGTTTTTCTTGTTGTTTTTCTTTGTCAACATAGCTACCTACCTACTCATGTCCACCATTACGAAGGCCTCTAATTGCAACAGCACTACACGGCCCGCTACTGGCCGTTGGAACCAACAGCAGCTTGCTTTACGCTTGGTCGGGGTTCGGGCTGATTAGGGAACAATTAATTGTTCGTCCATGCAAGCTGCCGCTTCCAAACTCCACCTCACCTGTTAAACACCTACGACGTTTCCCGGCCAAGAGGCTTCCCAAGCCTGCCGCCCTGGCTGGGTCTGAGACGACCCCAACGCATGACTCAGCCTGTAAATTGCAGGCCCGGTTTTCCTGAAGACGATGGGAAACTCTAACAGCGGCCGACGACCCGAGATCATGGTTCTTTGAAACTCGAAAAGGAGTCGTCTTTTTTTCTTTCTTTTTCTTTTTTATAACTCCTTGGCAACTGTTCCGGTTACAGGTATTTTCACGGCCCCCTTTTGGTACTTTCACATCCCTCTAAGCCCATCTAGGCTAGGTTCTTTCTTATCTTAGTTAGTCCCGCTGGGAATACTATATTCCATTCCATCACCCTAACATAACCAACTAACCCAGACCCTAATCCAGACCCTAACCATCCTAACCACTAACCCTACGCATCTTTAAAAGTATATATAAAAGATGCGTAGGGTTAGTGGTTAGGGTCTGGGTTAGGGTCTGGGTTGGTTGGTTATGTTAGGGTGATGGAATGTGTTATTTGGGTGTATTATGGCGGTGGTGGCGGGTGGGCCGTGAAAATACCAGAAGGGGGCCGTGAAAATACCGGTAACCACTGTTCCCAACCTATCCTGGTGGTCTCTGTTTCGGGTTTTCCCCAGGTATAGCAGCACATCCGCATCTTTCAACCGGCGATTCCGGAGACGCTCAACCTGAATCGTGGCTTGTCCCCCGCGTTCCTCAACTTGAGGAGAGATGATTTTGTTTTTCTTCCGGTTGATGATGCATAACTTCCTTCACCTTCGTCCTTGCCTGGCCTGTGAGATGATCGTCAAATAACCGGAGCAGTGACGACTCGGCCCCGTGTAATGTATTATACTTTCGGCTTTCTCATCTCGGGTGTGAGCCTGTGGGCATGTGCCGCCCTGTGGCGTGGCAAGAACGCCGTCCCTGCCGTCACATCCTTACCCCCGACATCACGCAGCTAATGCATTGCTTCTAATAAGGGCTTCGCAATGAAGGGGCTACCTTGTTTGAGTCTCTGGGGACGGTTGACACCTGTGTCTATCGTCAGTTGAGACGGCGAGAGGGGCTCGATGACTGACGCGTGAAGCAGAGCCAACCCACCAAGGCATGGCCTCAGAGACAACATGATGGCTCCGTTGCGGACGCGCATTCGTCCCCACCGGATTGTGATAATTCCATCGTTATTTTGGCATGATTGAGGGGGGTCTGGTTGAGCCCCCTCTCCAAGTCGGTGTGGAGTTAAGAGAGAGGCTATGTTGCAGGAGTCTTGGACTCGGGCCCGTAATCCAGCCATTTTCCGTTGCCGGAGCCTGCTTTGGAGGACCATGCCGTGGAAGGTTTTAGCTACTGATAGTAGGTAGGGCTGGTAGCTCCCAAAACGATGGGTGTTCGCACATCTTTCTGCTTGATGTTTTCAGTGTTCCATCAACGAGATGTGGCCTTTCTTCCTCGGCCATCACCACATATCAATGACTGCAGACATTGCGGTCCTGTTCATGTGATACTCGCAATTACCCGTTTCGACACGATGTATTACCTCCGCGTTATGCAAGTCGACGGTGAATTCTTGGTGTGATTGCCTAGTCAGTTGCCTTGGTTTGGAGCCATGCCGACTGTTCGTCAGCCCTATAAACTGTTCGGGCTCTTGGTGACGAAACCCATATTTCAGGACTGACCAGCTGGTTGGAAATGAACTGGCAGTTCGTGAGACCATTTGGACAAAGGCCGGCAGCAGCAGTCCTCTAGTCAGAGATATGACCGCTTTCACACTGCGGAGGCTACAAAGGCGGGGGAGAGAAGTGGGTGTCCAGCAACACAACCGGTATCAGAGATAACGTCCTAGCTCCAGAAAAACTTGGTATGATGAGGTTTACTATGTCTTTCTGATACCTAGAGCACTGCATAATCAAGTAGAATTCCAGGAGGAGGCCACCCCGCTCCGATTACCTTTGGACGGTTTTGGGCAAAAAACGATCAATGGCAAGCACCACAGAGTCCCAAGCTACTTACTGAACGAACGAGTACGGCAATGACAAGGAGTTTTCTGTATAATTTGACGAGACAGGTATCGCTTGTTACCTGGGGTCATTCAGCACAGGCGGCACGCTGTGGGCAGGGATTCTCTACCCTGGTTAGTAGAATTGGTGAAGCTCCTACAAAAGCTGCTCTGGCAATACATGAGTATTCCATATCAAGTGGAACGCCTCTAGAGTACATCAACATTGGCTACAATGCTCCATGACAGGTATATGAGGAATGGCAATATCACCCTTGGGATTGGCAACCCAGAGCTCACTGGGTTGACTGGTATTTTATATCCCAGGCAGACAATACTACAATCGTGATTACAATGCCTTTCATTCAGCAGAGTGGGTGAGATATCTAACGAACCTGTGACACTTTCCCCATAGAACGTCCTAATCCGAGCAAGACGTATGCGTCTCCAGAGGGTCCACTAAACAGACTTATACCTTCCTTCATCAGTCGATCCCAGTCGTAGATGAAAAGCACTACACGGCTTAAGCCCTAATCGCGCATATCGTGAAGCAAGTCGACTTCAGGTCACTAGGCAAGCCACAAAAATACCGGATTGTTATGATACATGATTGAGACCAAGGTCTGGTAGAAAAAAAAGTTAGTTTGAAAAAGTCTGAAAAAGAATTGGAAGCGTCAATCGCTGGCGGGAATTGAGCCCGACGTGGCTGTAATTTGTTAGCCATGACAACACTAATTATGGACGATTCTGGAGAGGCTTACGGGTCGAACCCACAACCTTGAGATTAAGAGTCTCACGCTCTACCGATTGAGCTAGCCGGGCGGATGGAATCCAGCCGTAGAATGATTGGTGACGGGTCACGGCCGGGAGGAGCTTATGGACACCGATGGCCATGTCCCACCAAGGCGGATCGGATCCTTTGACAACGACAACGGGCCGGTCTCGCTTGACCTCGAAGGTGGCTCGAGTCCAAAGTCGTGAACTCGAAATCGCGTCTCTGCCCGAACGGTTGCTTCGTGTTGCTTGAGATGACGATCATTTTTGCCCGAGTCGGGAGGCCGAGAAAGCGCACAAAGGTTTGGTCCATCGCATGCTTCTGGATGTAAGTTGTGCGGAACGAAGTTATGCACGAGTCAACTCATGCCGTCTCTAAGAAACAACATGGGCGAGGAAATTACTAGATCTATTGTTTTGGTTTCCCATGAGCCTTCTTTTCAGGACGGCAAGATATCGGCAGAGGTCAAGAGGCATCCTTAGGTTGACTCTAACTCGACAAGAGGTGCAACGCCCGATGTACGAGAGTGTATTCAACTGTCACCTGGACGGGAGGAAAGAGCTCAAACCGAGGTCCAAGTAAAGGTCTTTCAGTCAACTTTACTGGGAAGCATATGGGTTCAGTCACTCTGTCTATATCTGACCAAGGGCTGGATGCGACTTCTCGACATTCGCGGATCTGATGACCACGAACCGGAACTTTCCACGTCCGAGATGTGAATATGAGCCATCGGCATATTGCTTACGATGCTGGCTTGGGAGTCTTTAGACGGAAAAAGTGCCGACAATGGCGGTAGAAAGAGTATGCGACTTTCTAATTTTTCATCGGAAACACATGACCGTAGAATGGCCGGTCCGCCGAACGGCCGTTGACCGGGAGGCTTTGTCGTCTGTGGTAGAAGAGTGTAGGGAGCTGCCCTTGCGGAAACAGTCCCTCGTCCTTTCGAGGTGTCGATTGCGGTGTCATTGTAATGGAGTATAGGAGGAAGAGGTGTTTTGAACGGATATGATTCCTATACGCGCTGCAACCCTTGGACGAAGAGGACAAAGTTGAGACTCGGGGTGTAGCCGAAGAAATATTTCGTAGGTCTGCGATGGAACCGGCCATGAGCGTTTTCGTACTAAGGAAAGACTTTGAAGGTCTATGAATCAACTTTTTGGTTGCAGAAGAAGAAGAAGAAGAAGAAGAAGAAGAAGAAGAAGAAGAAGAAGAAGAAGAAGAAGAAGAAGAAGAAGAAGAAGAAGAAGAAGAAGAAGAAGAAGAAGAAGAAGAAGCACCATAGGGGCAGGGAGGGAACGGAACAGGAGAAGGGATGGTCCAAACGATGTCCACCGACACACGGTGAGGTGAAGAATCCTGAACACAGACCTCAGACCAACACAACACCAGTCTCTGAAGTCGCCCCTTCAAGAAACCCCTCTTCTGGATACGCTGACGGGAGCCAATATCATTGCAGGCGGGACAAAGGCCAGTCGTCCCAAGTGTAAATGTACAACGCTCGGGTCCGTTTTTTACCAACTTCAGATAAGACGACTTTCATCTGGAGAACTAACCTTAGCTTATCGGGAGGTCTGCTGGCTAGCGGGTTCGCTAAAGCTCGCCGAGCGCAAGCTGTTCCGGAGTCATTCCATGACACATGTACGTATACACTGGAAGACGTCCAGGAATAGCTCTCCCGGTGACGCCTTTCTCCTCTCCAACTATCAGTGTCAACCGAGTAGAAAGGTCGTTCCTCGGCTTGGAACGTAGCAATAGACAGCTATTGCGACCCGAGAGCGAATGTCGTTGAATGGCATAGTTCTGCTCTACAATCCTTGTCGGTGCCGCATGATAACCACATTCCTCTCATCCCCGCGACTTGAGCAACTCCGGTTCCTGCGGAAGAGGGTGTGGCAACAATCGGGCCGTGACATGACAACACATATAAGTCTTTTCTTCTTATTTTCCGCCTTTTCTTTTCGAATATGAAATCCCGTAGGCCGAGACCGAGCGCGGAGGTTTCTTGTTGGGCAGGGATATGGGCGTCGACCGGAGATGCGTAATCCGATCCACTTACTCAGGCAAGGGAGCAATCTGTAGACAGAATGGTTCGTGGAGTTTTGAGATAGCATGGTGCGCTTAGGGGCTGACTGTTAGATCCTACGCTGGCTGCGTAGCCCGCAGCATGACGATACCAAGATTTCATGTGTCTTGGGCATGGACGAGCCAGATAACAATGAACGGCTCAATGGGGTGGGGACCAGGGAATCAGCTCACGGCCGACGTTGCTAATACTATGGTCTCAGCATGCAATTTCATCACAACAAGTACGCCGCAACCAACCACCGTGGTTAAAATGCATCGAAGGCACTCAAGCGTCTGCTTCCATTGCTGGTATCGCCACGCGTCGGGTGTGTCCATGACAGCCTGCCCAGAGTAAGAGTACCTGATCTTTAGATACTGGTTTCTCAAGACATGTAAGAAGGTTGATGCAAAGAAGGTTAAAGATATCTCCCACACACGCATGGCGCACGGACCACCTGGCGCCTTGAGTGTTGTGTGGCTGTTTGAAGTGGTCGTTCCGTTATCTTGAAACGAGCAACTCCGCGGAGGTCGATTTACATGTGCGAAAAGGCAAAAAGGGGTCCGCAACGCCGTCTTGATAAGTGGAGGCTGAAAGGGCCGTTCAAAAACGCCCGCAACATACGGCCACTGTGCCGAACCGATCCATGACAGATGACAGACGCCGAGGTAGCACTTCTTCGCCTGGCTTTGGAACGCAGCTACACTACAGTCTCAAAGGGATAGACGCGGAAAATTGGAGATGGGACCGAGCTGGAGAGCCCAGACCCTATCGCGATTCAGTCTAAGGTAGGTATCCGTAGGGAAGCCGGCAAGCCGGGGATGCACGCCGCAACGGGAGACAGAAGCCTGAACCAAACATGCGGGATTCGGCGTGGGGGGACAGCCGGCTAACATAACTAGGTACCTACTACGTAGTACCGTAGCCACTCGTCAGGTACGAAATCCGCACGGGCCACAGAATGCTGGATAGGGGCTAGCGGGCTGGCAGAAACAGGGATCTACAGGTGGCAAAAACGGTGGTTAGTCAAGTACGTAAGCAGGAAGCTTTGATGTAAGCACCAGGAAATACGGATAAACGTTGTTGCCGATAGACAGTAGGCAAGTCGGTGGATAAGTGGGGGATGGATGGGTGGAGCAGGTAGGTTGACCGCCCTCTATGATAGGACTAGCGTATGGCCCGTGCGGATTTCGAAACTGACGAGTGGCTACGGTATCCGTAGTGCCTAGGTAAATCACAGGCATCCGCTCACCCCTGTCAACGGGGGTGTGGTGCTACAGGCGCCAGGGACTTCCTTGGCTCTGCTATCTCTCTGTCTTATCTCAACCTACCATCCATCCCCATACCTAACTGTACACAAACTCCCAGTCATCCCAATTTTTCAATTGGTTTTACCCACCCCATTCAGTCTCTGCCGCCGTGCCTGTGTAGATCTCAGGGGCAATGACGTGGAGAGAGAGGGAATCGGGAGGAAGGGCAATTGAGCGGAACCACGGCATTGCCCAATTGTAAGGCTTCGAATTACGCCAAATCATATGTTCTTGGTCAACGTCGGCCAAATATCAATGCGGACGGGACGATGCGGTAAGTCCAAGACAATGATGAATGCTGCACCTGCTTCACCGAGGAGTCAGCGGATGGCAAGCCTGGCATTTATTCTCGTGCTTCAATGTCGTCCATGGTAGGGGACGGGTAAGGCATCATGGAACTGCCATGCAAATTGCGCGCCTAGTCTAGTTTTCGCTCCAAGGGAGCCAATCCAGTGCTCAATGTTAAATCGCTCTTAGTCGAAACTTTGCCAGCTAATCATCACCAGGTTTCACTCGTCATCAGCACACGTTCGGGCCACGAGGAGATTCCGCTAGAATTGCAGCTGCTGTCAGCTCACAGAGCATATAGCCGGAACTTCGAGACAAACGTCACGCCTAAACATACCCGCGGAGATCGACGCAAACGATTTACGCATACACTGCCGTTCAGCCATTAGAGTCGGGGACCCTTATCTCTTGGACGCCAGGGGGGTGGAGCCTAGCTCGTCCGTCCCAGCTGCATCTCGAGCGCCTTCGCGAGCTGGCCAGAGATAAGCAATAAGTTCGTCAGCCCCCGTTTCGTCGTACATAGTACGGATACTACCTATTCTCCCTTCCCTTTTCGGCCCTGCCCTGTCCAATCATTTCTCTCCCTCAAAGCACTTTACTGAGTCATCTGGACAGCCAAGCACCGCCGAGATAACGCACAACCTACATCGTAGTGTCGGAGGTTATTCCACCTACCCAGCTTATCAGCTCGGTGTGCTTCGTCATCTGACGATGAGAGTCGCGACAGCGGACAACCAGTACCATCTGCTCAACTTCTGTACCTCGCTCTCACGACTGGGATTCGATCGGGTTAGGAAGGCCTTCACCTGTGCCACAAAAACACTGGGAAAGCCTTGATTCTGTCAGCCTCGTCATCGGCGATCTTGAATGAAGCTCTCACAAGGCTTAGGTACTCTCCCGGTAACACCTCGCTTGATCCCGAATCCAGTACCCTGGTAAACAGTTCGATACGTACACACACGCCCACACAGGTGTATCTGTCATTACTTCTAGGTTCTCCGTGGCACCCAGTCGTGCAGCACCAGGACCTCGTTCAAGACACGTAGTAGTGCCTCAGCCTACCTGCACCACAAGAACAATTGTGTCATTTCCGCCCTTCTCCAGGACAGAAACTCTCTTATCAGAGAGATCGACAGGCGAGCCCGCTATTAAGGCTACCACACAAGTTGGCCCGGCCTGGTCTCTGGGCGCCTCTTGGCCGCCCCCATAACTGAGGCACCTACCCGTCACCCTCGCGACTGCGTTCCCTCCCCCCCGCATCCCCACTGGCATAGCAAGGGATTGCTCACGGTAGAGTCGATTCGGTTTAGCGTGTCGTTCTTCCGGAGATGCTTCAACCGCCATCAATCTCTATATTCATATGTCAATCGAATGGAAGCAGCCCTATAAGACTCTTCATTGAGCCTCTCCATGCGTCCAGGATTGACAGAAGCATCCGAAAACTCGATATTGTCAAAGACATCTTTCCGACAAGGCTCGGATTGAGTGTTCCACCTAGCATTCCGTACCATCATTGAAGCCTTCCTCGACACGAAACATCCCATAACATACGAACTCGGCCTACCACGAACGAACATCAACATTCACAATGCAACTTTCCGTTCTCTGGAGGGCACCCGAGGTGAACCCCATCAACCGAAAGGCCCGCAGCATCCCGGTTTTCAACATCTTTAACATCTACGCGCGCGCTTTCCACTTCTCATGGCTTGGGTTCATGATTGCCGTGCGTATAAGCCACCCAAGGGGTTCTGTGCGTCTTCATCACTAACTTTTCGTTTAGTTCTGGGCATGGTACACCTTCCCGCCGTTGTTGACGGTGACCATCAAGAAGGACCTCAAGTTGAACAACGCCCAAGTCGCCAACTCCAACATCGTCTCCCTAGTTGCGACACTATTCATGCGCCTCATAGCCGGCCCCGCCTGTGATCGATTCGGTTCCCGCATCGTCTTCGGCTCCTTGCTCCTCATCGGTACCTTGCCCGTCGGTCTTGCCCCGCTGGTGACCAATGTCACTGGCCTGTATATCAGCCGCTTCTTCATCGGTGTCCTCGGTGCGACTTTCGTTCCTTGCCAGGTTTGGTGCACAGGCTTCTTCGACAAGAACGTTGTCGGAACAGCCAATGCCCTTGCTGGTGGTTGGGGCAACGGAGGGGGCGGGCTTTCGTACTGGGTAATGCCAGCCGTTTTCGACTCTTTCGTCCATGCTCGTGGCTACTCTCCTGGACAGGCCTGGCGCATGACTTTCATCGTTCCCGTCATCTGTCTCTTGGCCTGCGGCCTGGGTCTTCTTCTCCTGTGCAAAGACACCCCTACCGGCAAGTGGGCCGATCGCCATCTCCATGCCCAGGAGAACCTGCGATCTCACGGTGTAAACGCCGTCATCGATGTTCCCGGGGGCATTGCCGATCGGACTATCGGGTCCATGGCATCTGACGAGGAGAAGAGCAGCACCCACGGGAAGAACGGTGTCATCGCCAAAAACGATGCCCCCCTTTCGGGTGCCGAGATGATCGAGACCGCTCAAGGAGACACTGTGGTCAACCCGACTTTCAAGGATGCCATGAAGGTTGTCTTGTCTCCTCAGACTCTCTTTCACGTCGCCACATACGGCTGCTCCTTCGGCGGTGAGCTAGCTATCAATTCCATCCTTTCTTCTTACTACTTGAAGAACTTCCCCTCCCTTGGCCAGACTGGTGCCAGCAACTGGGCTGCTATGTTTGGTTTCCTCAACATCATCACCCGCCCGGCTGGCGGTGTTGTGTCCGATCTGCTCTATCGGTTTGGCGGTCACAGCCTTTGGCTCAAGAAAGGATGGATCACGGTTTGCGGTATCCTTACTGGTGCGCTTCTCATTCTCATCGGCCAGCTCAACCCCCACAACGAAGCTACCATGTTCGGCCTCGTCTTCCTCATGGCTATCTTCCTCGAGGCAGGCAACGGTGCCAACTTTGGTCTTATTCCCCACGTTCACAGTCACGCCAACGGCATTGTGTCTGGTCTTACTGGTGCCGGAGGCAACTTCGGAGGTGTTGTATTCGCCATCATATTCCGCTTCATGGACCACGGTGCCAACTATGCCAAGGGCTTGTGGGTTATTGGTTGCATCCACATCGCCGTTTACATTGGTGTTTCCTGGATTCACCCCCTTCCAAAGAACCAGCGTCACTAAGCGCGGTTCTTGGCAAGGACTGATGATTTTGTTTACGGATTGCAACTCTATTATTGCTTAATGACTATTTTGGCTGGCTTCTGGGAATGACAGAAGGAATGTAAGGGAAAAAAATAAGCATGGAGTATGGGAATGGGCGATATGATATCCACGGTTAGATTTTCTTTGCGAACAACCTATTTCAAACCCAAGCGGTTCGCTCCTCAAAATTCTTACGCTACCCTCACTGTGTGCCCGTCTGCGATTGAGTGAAACCCGAGCTTTGCATAACACCCTAACAGACAAAGTCCGTGTGCAATGACTGGAAAGAATGGGTTCATCTTTTGGCTTACGCCTCTGGAATTTATCCCGAAGCCGTTTAAACAGCCGAGAGTTGCCCATCACCAATATACCGCGCTCCGTGTCAATGCTCTAAAATCTCACGTCAGGCATAGCAATGTGGTTCGAAAGCCAGCAACAGGCCAAGAAGCACTCTGACGTCAAAGGGAGTCTCCACATGCGAGGGACTAGAGACACTTCATCAGAAACTCCCTTGCACTGCATATGCCGTCTCATCTAGCCGCCATGTAATGCCCGAGGGTGTGGCTGTTCTGTCCACGGGGCAGAATCAAACCCCCTGCCTCCACAAGTCAGCTCTATTTGACGGAGGATAAGAAAGACAAGGCTTCGTCCCGCGCTGAGCCTGTGCGATCCGGGTTCGTGGCAGGCTTATCGGGGTGCTTCGGCACTTCGGGTTCGGGAGGGACCGTTGTGCTTCCGGGGGTGCAGTAGTATACCACCACAGTACATCACTTACCTACTTTTGACCCATAGTTCTTGTCATGGTTCAACGTTACCCGTCAGGAAATTTCGCACTCTTATTGCTGAGGTAATGTAGATTAGCCTACTGGACGCAGCCTGTGATATTTGAAGGACGAGCGGCCTTTTCACACTGACTCAGTGAATGACGGAAGGATAACACGCTTCTCTCATGATTTCAAAAGCTTTGAGTGACACGAATAATAGAGTTCTTAGTTCTCAATTATCACCCGTCTCAACTTGAATGATAGGGAAACGGGTGATTCGATTGGCCCTTTCAGCCGTGTCGTCAGATAAGGTACCAACCTAGGGATAGGTAATAAGTGGACCGCCCGAAGCTTTTGCTATCAAACGCCAGATCACGTGTCTACGAGACTGGACGAATGACTAAGCCGAAGACGAACGCGCCGACACGCTAGCTAAAGTGGGTGGGGTGGCCAAACGCGGTCACCATCACCATCGCGCTGTGGGTGTAAACACTCTCAGCCAACCTTGCATCGATCGAACAAGAGCCTCAAGCGCACTCAAGCCGTCCCCGATGACGCCTAGAAACCCCGAGGCCAACCTTCTGAAGTCGGATAAATGACTCGAAACAATCTCGGGGATCAGATCTCCTGGCTGTTGAGCAACGTCGCGATATCCAAACCAACCGATCTCTTCTTCCCATCAGCTCGCGACCCCTCTGGCACCGAGTCGTCGCAGTCGCAAAGCCACTTCGGTAGCTCAAGCTCCCAACAAGAGCTTCCGAGCCGTTCGATTCATCAATCGATATCTCGTCCGCATGCCGGAGCTGCACTTCATGCCGTCGACGCAGTGGAACAGCCACGAGACGCCAGAGTGGCAACAGCTGAGAATTCTGCCTCTATGGCGAAGTTGACCTCGTCTACAAGGCCTAGGAGGCCGTCGCTGGCGGTGAAGCACCAACAGTTGCTGACACCGTCGTCGACAACAAGTGGTGGACGATTTCAGCAAGCTTATATGGCCAAGCTGCAGCAAGAAGGTGGGTACAAGTTACCATCTCGTATGCACATACGCTGACCCAACGTAGATGCACAACATGAGCGCGCCAGCATGAATCCTCCGTTGTCATCACAAGATGCAATGCGTAAGCCTTCACCTGCAGGTACACCGGATTTCCTTGACGACGATGACGACGAGATACTGGATTTGACTGGCAACGACACCGTCTTATCATCAGGCTCAGCTGCACTCGATGACGAGGTTGCACTGTGGGCTGCAGAGTCTGCTTCTAGAACTGAGCTGCCGGAGAAACGTGGTCACAAGAGAAAGAGCACAGAGATGAGCAAGGCAGGAGACTTGGGTTCGGAATCTGACGAATTCCCTGACATCTACAAGACACTGGGTACACCTGCCCCACAGGGCAGTCGCTCAGCCAAGGGCCCGAAGACTATCCCATCAAGTATTCGCCGGACGAACATCGAGAGTGGCGTCTTCGAAGAACGAACCATTACGCAGACAATCAGCCGGACACAGCGTACCTACAAGATGACCGACGAAGATAACGGGAATGGAACACCGGATCGGATTCCCATGGCGCTAGGAGCCCCAAAGGTCCTGGGAAGAACTCCAAGCAAAGCTCTGCAAATATCGTCCAGTCCCGAATCGAGCAGTAGAATCAAACCCCTGAATATCCAAGCGAGCACGAACAAGCAACGCATCAGACCTCGGGTTGTTCAAGACTCGGACGACGAATATGATGAGGATATCGACGAGGAGCTCCTTGCTACGCCAAGCCGACATAAGAGCACACATCTGCCAGCCACCAACCCGAGGTCAAGACCGGCATCTATTCCTTTAGATGATGGCGAGCTGTCTGACGGACTTGTGGCTCCCGATACCCCCTCCAGGCCCCATCCATCGGTATTGCCAATTGTAAGGCATTGCACGCCAGTCGATACGGATCATGTTCAATCATCGTCTCGACCAGATTCGGGCAAGCCACTATCCCAACCAAATTGCTCGTCTCAGGGACAGAACTCGTCGTCCATTCTCAAGTTCGTCTTGAGCAACTCGGACTCTTTGAAGGTCAAGGAGAAAATGATCCAAGAACAGCTCGAGCAGAACTCCAAAGAATATGGCAGAGCTTTGCTAGAGGGCAATAGAGAAGACCGTGCTCGTCTAAAGAGTGCCAAGGAGTTACTGCTGAAGCAACAGGCTGGGTTGAATGAGGTTTCCGAACTTCTCAAATCTCATGCGAAACTCGAGGGTGAGAGGGAATCACTTGCCATACAAATTGCCGACGCCTACGACAAAGGCCGCGACACCGAAGAGGATGAGAATCGCTTAGATGAGCTCGCAGACAAAGTTAAGGATTTGGAGCAGTCCATCGGCCCACTCCTTCCCGGCGTCGGTATCGACGGCGAGTCCTTCGTCGAAGAGTACCGCCGATCAAAGTCCATCGTCATGAGTACGCAGCCTAGCCACAAGGCCCCCTCTCGAGTAGAAAGGAATGTGCAGTCGGTCATGGAAATGGACAATCAAGTCATCCATCAGACACAGTTTCCTGGGTCCTCCAGGTTGACTGACCCCAGAGACTGCTCGCCACCGCCGTTTCCCCGAGGTAGGCTTCAGGTGCCCAAGAGTGCAAGGCCTCTTGCATCAGATGTCAAACCGCCCAGGCGGGATGACTTTGATGATGACTTTTTCGACGATATTGAAGATGACTTTGGCCCACTTCATGCTCCCGTGCCACCTATATCCAGACAGGCGCCGAACCGCAAAAGCCCTCTCAAGAAGACACGACCTCGTGCCCAGGATATGTCGAGCGACTATGGCGACGATGCAGATGCGGACATGCTTGCACTCGCTCAAGACTTCGAGCTTCGCCAGTCTTCATCTGCCGATACCGCCAGAGGGAGGAGTGTGCTTAGTACGACCTCCGGCAATGCTACTCAGTCTTCTAAAGCTGCCGAGCCCCTCAAGAAGAGGGAACCGGCTAAAGCAAAGCTGTCAATCCCCCCAGAGCTGATGAAGCATCCGTGGTCTGCAGACGTACGGAAGGCTCTGAAAGACAGATTCAGGATGAGAGGCTTTCGCTCCAATCAACTGGAGGCGATCAACGCCACACTCGCTGGCAAGGATGCATTCGTGCTGATGCCAACGGGTGGAGGAAAATCACTGTGTTATCAACTCCCAGCTATTATCAGCAGCGGGAAGACGAGGGGAATAACTATCGTTGTGTCCCCTCTGCTCAGTCTTATGCAGGACCAGGTGGACCATATGTCGGCTCTCAACATTCAAGCGGTCTCCCTCAATGGCGAAACTAACGCCCAGAAGCGGAACCAAATCTTTTCTTCGTTCAAAGAAAGGAGCCCGGAACTTTACATTCAGCTCCTGTATGTCACTCCAGAGATGTTGAACAACAGCCAAAATTTCATGAGAGCCCTCACGAATCTCTATTCGAACAAGAGGCTGGCACGAATTGTCATCGATGAGGCCCATTGTGTAAGCCAATGGGGCCACGATTTCCGCCCAGACTACAAGGCGCTGGGCAAACTTCGTCACCAATTCCCGACGGTTCCCATTATTGCACTTACGGCAACTGCGACTCAGAATGTCATCGTCGACATCAAGCACAACCTGGGAATGGACAGTTGCCAAGTCTTTTCGCAGAGCTTCAATCGGCCCAACCTAACGTATGAGGTTCGAAGGAAAGAGAAGGAACTCATCCATAAAATCGCTGACCTGATCATGTCTAAGTACAACGGCCAGTGTGGAATCATCTACACTCTGTCGAGGAAGACCTCTGAGCAGGTGGCTGAAAAGCTACGTTCCCAATACAACATCAAAGCAAGTCATTACCATGCACAGATGACACCGGAAGACAGAATCAGAGTGCAGCGCGAATGGCAAGCAGACAAGATTCATGTTGTTGTAGCAACCATTGCTTTTGGCATGGGCATCGACAAGCCTGACGTCCGATTTGTTATCCACCACTCGGTCCCCAAGAGTCTGGAAGGCTACTACCAAGAAACAGGACGCGCTGGAAGAGACGGGAATCCTTCTGACTGCATCCTGTTCTTTGGATACCAAGATGTCGCCACCCTGAAAAAAATGATTGCAGATGGCGAGGGCAGCGAGACACAGAAAGAACGGCAGAGGATCATGCTCAACAGGGTCACTGCTTTCTGCGATAACCGTGAGAATTGCCGTCGTGTAGAGATTCTTCGTTACTTTGGGGAGGTTTTCAACGCCGATGACTGCGAGAAGACGTGCGACAACTGCCGAGCAGGCGCTGTCTTCGAACAGCAAGACTTCTCTGAACTCGCCCAGGCGGCTATTCAGACCATCGAACTTCACGATCGCCTGACTATAAATCAGTGCAGCGACATTCTGATGGGAAAGAAATACCAAAGGACGATTAATCCACATCCTGATGATCCCCATGGCATTGCCAAGGGGATGAAGAAGCATGAGATTGAGCGCATCCTCGACAGGCTCACGGCTGAAGAGGCCCTTGAAGAGGAGAACGTGGTGAACAAGAGGGCCGGCATTGCGATCCAGTACCTTATTGTAAGTCATCATGCTAGCCCCGCCCAGCAACCACCCGCTCGTTCATCCAACTAATTTGCTTCTAGGTTGGTCGCAATGCTCACTTGTTCCTCAACGGGCGCCGTAAGCTACTGTTATCGGTCCAGGTCTCTGATAGGGTTAGGGAATCGTCGGCACCCAAACCGAAGAAGCGGGTCAAGAAGAGTAAGAGGGATGACGAGCAGAATTCCGATGAAGAGTCGTTAAGACGGCTGCCACCTTCGACGAACGTATCTTCGCCAGCCCAGGCTCGAAGAACCCAGGACAAGAGGAAGAAGGACAAGTCTCTAGCAACCATCATCGATTCTGACGAGGAAGATGAGATGATGCGACAGGAGGAACAGAACTTGCCCATGCACGCAAACGGCTATATCAAGGATGGTTTCGTCATGTCCGACAATGACTCTGACGACGGCTTCGAGCCCTTGCCCAAGGCCCAGAAGCGAGGAAATGTTTCCAGGGAAGTCGGCCCTCGTATCGAAGGGGATATACGTCTGGCCAGCCTTGATGAACTGCACCAAGACGTCGTGCATAATTTTGTCGGGGAGGCTAAGCAGCTGGAGGAGTCTTTGCGGAACGCGCAGGGTCTCCGAAAACCCCTCTTTTCCGAGAAGAGTTTTCAAGAAATGGCCATTCGATGGACAACGACCTTGCCTCAGATGCGCCAAATCGCGGGAATCGAACCAGAGAAAGTGGACAAGTTCGGCAGCAAGTTTATCCCTCTGATCAAGCGCTTCCATAGCAACTACAAGGCTATGATCAGCATTGCAGACGAGGACGACATGGACGAGGGCGAGCAGGACGTCGTCGACTTGATCAGCTCCGACGAAGACGAAGACGAAGCCATGGAAGACGACGAGGAAGAGGAATGCTCGAAGTATTTTAGCAACGGGCCGCCTCCCCTCGTGCCTGCCGTACAGGAGTGGAACGAGAGAATGAAAGAATTAGAGACGGCCCCTCCATCCCGAGCCCCGTCGTCGAGCTCCACGCGGGGACGCGGTGTGGGCGGCCGGGGCGGCCGGAGGTCAGGCTCCCGTAAAGGTTCCAGCACATGGGCGGGTTTCAAAAAGCAAGGAGGCGGCGTCACCAAAAGGAAGGCCGTCGGTGGGGCGAGGAGGAGCAGTGGTGGGACGACAGCCGCAGGCTCGAAGAACGGATCTGTGACGAGTTTCCTCACCAAGGGCGGAAAGAGAGGCGGTAGGGGAGGTGGCGGCATCGGGCTGATGCCTCACTGAGGCAACGAAGAGGGGCGGAGGCTGGAACGGGACAGACACGACAGAGATGAAAACGTGATGTTGGCACTCAAGGCACGCAGGAGCCCTGTTACATTTGCATGGCATGACGTATTTGTTTTCATGGCGCGATGAGAAGGCGAAAAACGAACAATGACCAACAGGGTAGAGATAGGGTTCGGGGCGGGAGACAGACCGGTTTCTTCTTTATGTATGCATCTTCATGGCGGCGGCGGCGTCGGGATGGGATGACTGAGTACGCATGGCACTCCTTGGGTTTTGCACGAGCAGGCGTCGGTCGGTCAATAGGCATCATCCCGCAGGCGCAACACCCCTTTTTAACGTTGATAATGACCAAAACGTAACCCTCTCACTGGGCGGGACATAAACTCGCAATAGCCCATCCTGGCCCCTATGTATACATATACTACACTCACGTTCATGTCTTGTGCAATCTACTGAGGGTTCAATGATGATGGGTGGGATAAGGTTCTACGTACCATGATTCTACGTAACGGTATGTATCGGGCGAACTGCACTAGACCACTTATGGGGGGGGTCTACATCCATCAATGGGATGGGATCTCCAACGGTTCTCCAATGCGACGTGGGGCAATACCTGGGGAATACATCATCTGCCGCGCTAGGCGTGCGTTATCATTCAGTACCTGCTGCGTAGCCAATTTTCTCTTTTTTCGTTGCCCCTCCCCCTCCTTGATCGGAAGCCGATTTTGCGCATCCTCTCCTCTTCCCTGTGCCCACAGGCATCATTGCGCAAAGCAAAAAAATTGCTTTCCCTCTTCCCCATTCTCCCCTCTTTGTCCCTTTCTCTCCTCGTCATTCTCTGATTCTTCAATAGTACTTGTTTCCCCCAGCAAGAACTTGTCGTTGCAGAGAGCACCAAAAGCCAAAGATGTCGGGTCAGAAGATTGCCATTGTCTCCGTTTACGACAAGACGGGTCTGCTGGATCTGGCCAAGGGCCTGAACCAGCAGAATGTCCGCATCCTCGCCTCTGGCGGCACCGCTAAGATGATCCGGGAGTCTGGATTCCCCGTTGAGTAAGTTACAGCCCCTGCCGAAACTCCCAACTGGCCGTAACTGGAGCCAACTCGGCTTCTTTCAGGGACGTATCTGCCATCACCAAGGCCCCCGAGATGTTGGCCGGCCGTGTTAAGACTCTTCACCCCGCCGTCCACGCCGGAATACTCGCGAGGAACCTCGAGTCCGATGAGAAGGACCTGGCCGACCAGAACATCAACAAGGTCGACTATGTCATCTGCAACCTCTACCCCTTCAAGGACACCGTTGCCAAGGTCAACGTCACTGTTCCCGAGGCTGTCGAGGAGATTGACATTGGTGGAGTTACCCTTATCAGAGCCGCCGCCAAGAACCACAGCCGTGTCACCATCCTCAGCGACCCCAACGACTACGCCGAGTTTCTTAAGGAGCTTCAGGCCGGCGAGATCACCGAGGCCAGCCGCAACCGTTACGCCCTCAAGGCTTTTGAGCACACTGCCGACTACGACGCCGCCATCTCCGACTTCTTCCGTAAGCAGTATGCCGCCGACGGAAAGCAGTACTCGGCCCTGAGATACGGCGCCAATCCCCACCAGAAGCCTGCCGCCGCCTACGTCAGCTCCGGCGAGCTGCCCTACAAGGTCCTCGGTGGCTCTCCCGGCTACATCAACCTGCTGGACGCCCTCAACAGCTGGCCGCTTGTCAAGGAGCTCAAGCAGGCTCTGGGGAAGCCCGCCGCTGCCAGCTTCAAGCACGTCTCCCCTGCCGGTGCTGCCATTGGCACCCCCTTGACCGAGGAGGAGCGCAAGGTCTACTTCGTCAACGACATTGAGGGCATTGAGTCCTCCCCTCTTGCCCAGGCGTACGCTCGTGCTCGCGGCGCCGACCGCATGAGCAGCTTCGGTGACGTGATTGCCCTGAGTGACACTGTTGACGTCCCCACTGCCACCATCATCTCCAAGGAGGTCTCTGACGGTGTAATTGCCCCTGGCTTCGAGCCTGCTGCCCTCGAGCTCCTCAAGAAGAAGAAGGGCGGCAAGTACCTCGTCCTGCAGATCGACCCCAACTACGTCCCACCCAAAACCGAGACCAGAACCGTTTATGGCGTCACTCTGCAGCAGCACCGCAACGACATCGAGATCTCGCCCAAGTCGTTCAACAGAATCATCACCCCCAAGGAGTCTGGACCTCTGTCCGAGTCCGCCCTCCGTGATTTGACCGTCGCCACCATCGCACTGAAGTACACACAAAGCAACTCCGTCTGCTACGCCTACAACGGACAGGTCATTGGTCTCGGCGCAGGTCAGCAGTCCAGAATCCACTGCACGCGTCTCGCTGGTGACAAGGCGGACAACTGGTGGCTCCGCTTCCACCCGCGCGTCCTGGGCATCAAGTGGAAGAAGGGCACCAAGCGCCCGGACAAGAGCAACGCCATTGACCTGCTGGTCAGCGGCGAGCTCCCCAAATCCGGTGCGGAGCGTGACATGTTCGAGGCCGTCTTCGAGGAGGTTCCCCCCGCCTTCACTGACGCCGAGAGGGAAGAGTGGCTTGGCAAGCTGACCAACGTCGCCGTGTCGAGTGATGCCTTTGTAAGTCAGGCTGGTACCGTTCCCCTTGCAAACCTTCTAACAAGACCCAGTTCCCCTTCGTCGACAATGTGTTCCGCGCATCTCGGTCCGGTGTGAAGTACATCGCCGCTCCTGGCGGCAGCCAGAACGATGGCGCCGTATTCGACACTGCGGAGAAGCTCGGCATTACGTTTGTTGAGCAGAACATCCGCCTCTTCCATCATTAAGCGTCTCTTTTTGTTTCCGTGTTTAGGGTAAATTGATTGTGAGACCGACTTCATGATTCCCAGCTTCCCATGCTCGCCGTTCTGCGCAGGGTGCTTCAGCCGAGACCACGATCAAGTCTAGTTAGAGCCGCGGAAGCTTGATACTACTTTGGACACGACTAATGATGTCGTGTGTCTATTGGGTATCCTGGCGAAATGGGAGGGTGGGGGCCAGGCAGGTCATGCAATGTGTTGGCGTTATGGCAAATCGGGAATGGGTCATATCGACCCTGAGAGATACCAAAAACGCCTCATGCAAGTTGGGGCAGGTGTTTTGACTGTGGCGGGCATCAAGTCCCCGTGGCCTTTCTAGGTAGACAGACTTGCGCATGGAGAGAACGGCAAAAGAAACGGCAGTTTCTAAAATACGATTATCGATTCCCGTAGCTAATTACTAACCGCCCTTTCACTCTGCCCGTAATTGCCACTATTTCTTCCGCGTATGTTCATGAGATAGATGCCTTGTGCCGCATCGAGGGGTATCAAGTTCGGGTCGGGGGGGCCAACACATCTGTCGCAGTACCAGCGATATTTTCGAGGGTTTCTCTCTTATTTCTTAAGGGGTATAAGCCCTTACGCCAGTTGCTTCCGAGTCCCTCCTCCGCCTTGCCTATTGTGATGAGTCACGCTGGCTTCACGAAGTTGCTTTTCCCGATACCGCTCGAAACCAGACTCCATCCCTCCATCCCTGGTATAATACTAAAAGACCGTCAGACAGGTACTGGCCTGTCCCAGAATAATAATACGCCCATCAACAGAACCTAACCCGACGCCTCGCAATAAAGCAATCGAAAAAAATCGTTCAGTGGCACTGCCGTGAATCCATCAAAGGGGGTATTTGAATATGTACAAGTTTACTTTTGTTGTATAGAGTCGAAGTCACACGGAGTGGCCTCGTTCGTCCGGAGTGGCTGTCGACGGTGTTCGTCAAGTCCGCCAGCGGGGATTGCATTTCGCAATCGCGACTACATCGTCGTACTGAGAGTTTGTTGCCAATGGAGAACTGAACGCTCTCCTTTGCCCGGATAAACGAGGTTTCTAACCCCGCCACCGAGGCTTGTTGCTCGTTGAGCTCTGTGACAGCTCAGGAAGAGTCTTGCGCGTAGTGCTGCGTGAAGTTGTGCGCTCCTCAGGGATTTCCCTGCTGCTCGTCACACTGGTCTTGGGTTGCGGCAGAAGACTAGTCCGCCGACCGGAAGCCATAGAGCTCGCAGGGCGGCTTGGTACAGTTCTGTCGGCAAAAGATTGTAACTTGGGTGGTTGCAAAGACGCACGCCGGCTCGACTGTGATTCGAGGCCCAAGGTCGAGGCAGAGACAGACGATGACGAGCGTGGTTTGGAAAGCGTCTGCTGGGAATACGGCCCGGGCGAAGCCAAACGCTCTCGGAAGGAGAGTTTCGAGGGAGCTCTCTTAGTGGGCGTGTCCTCGGGCATGGGTGACGCGGATGACTCCCGAGTCAAGGGGGTACGGAGGTTCGGCGCCCTTGAACCTCCAGGCGAGTAGGTTCCTGGGGTTAACGAGGATGGCGGCCGCACAATGGGTGGGGTCTTCTTGGCATACGGGCTGGGGCATGTGAGTGTCAAAGGCTTGAAGTTGTGGCCAATGCCAACGTCCGCAGTGTTGGTCGAGCTGTTCCACCTAGGACGGTTGGGTTGAGTTGACTGAGGTCTGGGAATATTGCCCGAGGATGGTGAGCCGAGCCTTGAGGTCATGTTTGACAATCGGGAACTCAAGGGCTTGCGCGACAGCTGTGAAGATGGCGTCGGCAACGATGATTGCCTCTTACTGGCTGGCTGTGGTAGGTAACTGTTGGTGCTCATCGAACGGTTTTTGGCGAACCTGTTGGCAGGAGTCGAGGGCTCAAACCCGAGGCTTGACATGATGACGGAGGAAGGCGGAGAGCTGCCCGGTGTGTCGTGGCCGCTACCTATTGTTGAGCGATCATTCGACAACATGCTGGAGATGGAGTCCCTCAACTGCTGACCGCGGGTATCCGCTTGCACCTCGTCTACAACCACATCCATCTCTCTCATTTCGTCCTTGAGAGAGTCCCACTTGGACTGCATCTCCGCGTGGAGGCGTAAAATTTCACCGTTAACCGTCAACCGGTCTTTGACGCCCTTGTCAATGATGGCTAGGACGCGCTCGATGGCCGGGCCGTAATGCGTTTTCTTGGCGTCGTAACCCTCAATCTTTTTGATCATGCTCGGCGGGTTGCTCAAATGCATGCCGGTATCGACGGCCTCCCTGAGCTTTTGCATGGACCTCTCGACCGACTCGATCATCTTCTGAGCCTGTCTTCCAGCGCCACGGAAGACAATGACCCATCGGTCTTCACCCAGCTCCTTGCGAAGGGATTCGGCGTCCTTTTCCAACTTTCTGTAGCTCCCATCAAGACCCGTCCGTCGCATATCCAACTCCTCGCAGGCTGTAGGGAAAGACTTCTCCGCTCTAGCGGCGAAGACGGCAAGTCTCATCGGTAGAAAGTCCAAAGACGCGCGCAGTGGCTGCATTCGGGCGAACAGGGCCAACAGGCTCGAATCGTCTTGCGACAGAGCAAGCATTCCTGGCGAGGCTGGACCGGGGCTGAGCGGCACGCCAGTAACGCTGAAGCGATTCTGCGCCTGCGTCCGAGCTACCGGTGGAGGAGCATCGTCGACAATATTTTCAAGATCTCCAATATCGACACCGTCGCCGCCAGCGGCAGCCATCAAAGACTTGTGGCGGCGTTCCTCCATTTCGAAAACCAGACGGCTTAGCTCGTCCATCTCGCTCTGGATATCTCCAAGAACATTATTCCAGAGCTCTTCCCACTCCATTGCGATTTCGACTTGTCCTTTGACGACGTTTAACGACGCTTTGATATTGGCCCACTCTTCGATAATGGACTCCATTTGAGAAACGGCGCGAAAGAGATCCTCGGGTGGTACGTTGGCAATGTCTTCGCGACCTTGCAGTTCCTCGATGGCACCGACATAAACTTTGATCAACTTCTCAAAACGATGGATGGCGTTTTCCACTTCCTCTAATCCTTCACGGCCACCCGCGGCGGCCCACTCGACGTCATCGTCGCTGTCCAAGCCACTGATGACCTCGGACGCCTTGTAAATCCAGCTCCTTATCTGTTCAGCAGCGTTAATGAGAGCTTTCGATGCGACCTGGGCGGTCGGGATAGCAGACACCTGGCTTGATAAGGACTCGGCATCGGGAAGTTGTAGGGACGTTAGCTGGGCAAGCTGGTTGGCGAAAGATGCGCGCGAAAGCGTGTAGATGGAGCCAGGTCGCTGATGACCGGGGTTGAAATAGGAGGCAAGGTCGGGAGTGAACTCTGCTGCAGGAACGGGCGGCGTGTCTTTCGGAGGCGGGGGCGGTGGCTGATCGGAGGGGGACTGAGCACCGCTACGTTCAAGATGCTCCCGTCGAGTTTCGAGTTGAACTTTGGTGCCGTTTCCATTTGTGTGGTCGGGCAGGCGGTATTTGTGCGTCTCCATGTCCAGAGGCCCGGTGGTTATTATCTCGGGTATGACGAGAGACGTGCCCTGGGCAACGTCTGGTGAGAAGGACAATACCCCAGTGCAGGGCTCTTCTTTGGAGGCAGTCGAGGATGCGGTTGTTGGTCTCTGATCGTCGGATGGTGTGATGCCCTTCCACGGGCGGCCACGACGATAGATCCTGGACTCGAGAGAACTCGCCTTATGGTTCTCGTCGATTTGGCGGATTTGGTCTTCAGGCAGACGCCCAATGTTATCTTGTTGCTTAGGGGAATGGTTGGCCGATTTCTTGTGAGAGGTGAAGCCAAGCGCTTTCAATCGTGCGGCGAGGTTAGGCGAGGGTTTGCGAGTTTGTTTTGTTGTTTTTCCTGTTTTGGGTGAGCCAACCGGCGTGGTGCTTGCGGGTTGCGCAGTTGTCGGGTGGTAGCGGGCCGAGCTTGCGGGTGATTTGTCGTCGGTCGGCGGTTTGTTTTGGGCGGTGTCGACGACGGTGTTGTTGTTGTTTACAACATGGGAAGGTGGGTTTGATTGGGAAAGTCGCGGGCTGGAGACGTCAGAGAAGCCCAGGTCCATGTATGCTGTAGTAGCGACCTTTTGGGCCTGCGGCAAGTCTAGTGGCTGCTGTGGGTACTGCAGTTGGTTGCGGGAACACGAGGTGTTGGAAAGTACCATAGCGTCATTGCTGCTGCGTGTGGCTTGCTGCTCTGCAGCCGACACTTCGTCGGCCGACATTTGTTCGGCTTATTTCGCGAGCAAACCTTCGACCCAGACACCAACCTCGCAGCTTTCTGGCCTTGGTGCCTCGAGAGGGCCTCGCGGGCCTCCGAAAAGCCAGATACCCTGGGCCGCTTGCTACGCCGCAAAACTGTATCGTACGTGTCCAGTCGGAGACGGATGCTGAGCTGGCTCGTGGGTAGGCTGGGGTCTGGTGGTCCTGAGGTTGAGTGATAACTGGGTCGTTGACTGATCCCCGCCGGGTTCAGTCAGGTCTCCCGCAGTCCGTCAAATGAGAAGGATCAATGAGCGGTGCTGGAATGCTGGGAATGTCGGATGCCTGAGCGAACTCGTAAAGCGCACTGTTGTCAATGCCTTAGTGTCGGTGGGGGGTGGGTGACAAGGGACTCCGTGGGAGCCTATGGATGGGAATACAGTCGCTGTTGGAGCAGGCGTAAGCGCTATGTGTATGCGCTGCAACAGGACGCCGCTCGGTGCTGGCGTGATTCTATGGACCACAGTAGGCGAGAGACGTGATGAGGTAACGGGGTTTCGTGGCCTACCTAGGAAGTGTCTAGGAGGAACGTGGCGGCGGATCGATTCGCAGCTGGCGGAATATTGGTTCGGTTTGTACCTTAACCGGCGCCCATCGCATAGATCCGGTCGCGTACAATGCTGCTGGGTTGGTCCTTGCTTGAGCACCAACCTGAGGGAGAGGGAGGACGTGGGAAAGGAGACGAGTAGTGGAAAGCGATCGCCGAGGCGATGAGTAGAGATATCGGCCCCCCAAGCAAGAGACTCGGAGAGAGAGGGAGTGAGGGAGGGAGAGACGTTGTAGTACGCAACTTGCAAATACGAGAAAGACAAACCGTAGACGGAAGGGAAGAAGAGAAGAAGGACCGGGCAGGAAGAATGCAGTAAAGCGGTACGAGAGGGAGTGGCGATGAAAGTCAAAATACGGTATGACTATTTAGTCAACGCGAACAAGAGAAAGAAAGCATTGGCCAGAATAAGGAAAGAATGTTCGCGACGACGACGAGGAGCGTGAGAGGTAAAGAGAGAGAGAAAAGGAAGCAAGCGCGCTCCAAAATGCGCATGAAAGTCCAGTCGATCCGATCGATTGTTTGGGAGCGACTCGAGATGGAAGGGAAAGGCCGTCTTTCTTCTCTCCTCCACACCCAACATGATCCTGCGGTGATTTGATTGATTTTGGTACCAAGTTACGGATGCTACATCAACCTAGACCCTTGCCAAGGTAACATGCGGCAGTCTGGAGCTCCCCTCGCTCGGTTAACCCGACGAACAGGACAGGACGAGATCAAGACCAGCAAACGCTTGCTCTATCTGATGATGGCTTCTCCGTCAGCCTGCAAGGCCGGTCGGCAATGTCGTGGGCGAGCACAAATATATCTCAGCTGTCATGGAATCGGCATGGCAAGACGTCTAACGCCCGTTGAATCCTTTCTTCTCCCATGCTTCTTCCAGAGGTGTCAAGAGAAATGTCCTGATGTCGACGCTTCCCCGGCCGGTGGTTGCCATCGGCCATGAGCCAATCTCGCTTTGCATTCCTTGGCAAATCACACAACGTCAATGATGACCCTTCACTACCAACCGACCACATAAGGTAGCCAGACGGTTGTGCCCCATTATCCTTCACCGGCCTCTGGCTCGAATGGAACCGATGGTTGCCAGACAAGAAGGCAGCATTTTCCTGGACGCTCCAACACCTCTGATACAAGTTCCGCACGTTCGTCCACCGAAAGCATGGTGACAGTGGAGGAGTGGGTTAGCCGACAGGCTGGTTAATGATCATCTCCCCCATCCTTGTCGCCCACGAACCAAGAGTTCATTACCCTGGCCCTTTGGAACTCGTCTGGTGGACCACCACATTGCTCTAATGAGTGAGCATTTGACCATGTGTATAGTGGAGTGCTTGTTTCCGCAAGTTGCGATGTTGCAGCAGCAGCAGCAGCAGCAGCAGCAGCAGCAGCAGCAGTATCACCACCACTTGCGGCAGTCCAAGTTCTCCTCTCTTGGTCGACCCTGGTCACAACGACCGATGTCGTTCCCAGTTCTGGACTGGTCATCCTTTGGCTGGCCGGGAGCCCTGGCATGTGGAAGGCTCCTAGAAGATTGGATGAGCCAGGGGCCCTGCATGCACGATGGGGGGATCGGGGCCGTGGCCCACGGGCCCCTCCTTTCTCTGCGCACAGTTCCAGAGAGCCGGCTGGACATGTGTTTTTCGCTTTCTTAGTCCAGGATGGTGGCAGCGGGGCTCAGGTCGTATCGATTGCGGGCTGGCTAGACAATCTCTCCCGCGCGTTTCAAAGAATCGTTAGCCCAAACCGTCCTGCGCCTGTCGAGATTCTTGCATACCTATGTGGACTTTGTTTGAAGGAAGGCAGCCAGCCCACCGTGTGTTTATGGTTTAGCTACGACGCAACGAATCAACACATCGGAAGGGGATGACAAAGCTCATGCATGTATCGTGTATGTACGGACTATGTGCACTGATGAAGATGCCGCCGGAAGGAGCCGTGGCGTACCTAGAGCAGGCCACCGCCACATCGTTCTGCATGTTGAGCCGTCTAGCTGTGTCTGACTTATGCAAGGGGCAGGCACACTTCTACGCTAGGTAGCAAACGTCAGCCTAGGTATGGAGTAGGTAGGTGGTAGGGTAAGATAGATATCTCCCATGTCTGGCGTGCGTCGCTTGCAAACACTATAGTATTATGCAAATCTGTACCCAAAGAGGCACAATGTACTCCGTACAATGACACACCTAGTCCAGTATGGTGTATGTCGATCCGAGTAGTGCAGCGCCACTGTTCGTCTGGTTTGAGAATAGTCAGTGGGCTTCCATTGTCACTAGCGACTATCACAGTACGGAGTGAGTACATACGCAGTAGAGATGGGCCGGCACAATTGCTTGCGAACCACTTGGATTACCGGAAACGCCTGGTGTTAGAAAGGATACGTAGATGCGAGAAACGAGAGGGAACTGTCAAGTCACGGACCGGGATTAAGGACGTCAGGCAAACCAGACAAGGAGCCACTGTCTAGGAACCCCCGAAGTGTTAGCTCCCTTCTTCAGTTTGATCTACTCAACTGAAAAAGGTCCCCTCAGGAATAACCCGTCAGTTTACTAAGGTATACAGGGGGAGGTGGCAAGACCGGTGAGTTATTGTTGAGGGCGGCGTGACTGTGTGCCAACACGCAACTTCCAACCCGCAGGGTTCTACTATGTATACTGGCTCTGGATTTGGTTACTCAGAGGCGGACCCCTCGCTCACTACTAATTCACTCGTCTTATGCTTTCCTTCCTGAGGTACCCAAGACGAGTCTGTATAATGTCACGTTGAACACTGTCACAACCCAACGACAGCTTTCAGACCGACACATGCTGTTGCCGCCTTCGGGCAATACCAGATGACGCTAGATCGACGCCAAATGACCATTCGACCAGCCAACAGAGATGGTTGCAGTGGGCGATGATCTGGAGAGGTCGTGGGACAGGCCCGGCAGTCGGTAGCAGTTGAGGATATGGCGAAGGAGGAAATGCCCTTGACGCCATGTGGTCGAGGTTGCGCAGCAACAATGTTTCGATTTGATTCCCCTATACTCCGTATTAGGTGTGGTTTTCGCCATCTGTTGGAGTCTGGGAGATGCTTGTTCGCCCATCAATCGCGTTGTCACCTGGACAAAGAGAGGACTCATGTCTGGGATTGACAGAGAATTCCCATGTTCGACTAATCTTAATGTCAGGAAACAGGGGGGCCGTTTGGCGGAATGAATGAAATTATCCACTGGTGCGCTTTGTTGGCCGGACGAGTTGCAGGAGATTGGCCAAAATGTGAGCCCCTGACATTGAGAATGCCAATGGGAACGGTAAATACAGTATGACTGGGCGACGGGGAACATACAGGGGAAGAGAGACAGAGAGACAGAGAGAGAGGCTACCATTAGCTAGCTGGCTGCTAGCCAGCCGCCAGCTTGGTGCCCAAGTGAATACGGCCTTCGCGGCGTCACAAGTCTTGGTTTGCGCATCGATACATGCCTTGCTGCAGCTTGCCCACCTCCATAGTTGCATGTACATTATATGGTTGCTGAGTTGACATGAACGAGTTCCTTCAAACCTGGCTTCTTGATGGCGCAGCTGGATAAGAAGACAATATTTCCCTCTAGTCCAGGGCTCGTGGTACTTCATCCCTCCAAATCCGTTGCATTTCGAACACTACCTAACTACACTAGCATTTTACATCTCACAAGTGCGAGTGCCAAACTCCGTTTCTTTTACATCCGTCACCCTTCCAGCGAGACACTCGAGCCGCAACTTGTCAACAAGTGTCGTTGTAGGACCCTACACAGAAGCGAGCCAACCCATCAGCGCGATACACCTACGAATATAGCAATAGCTACGCTCATCATTGCACCGAGGCAAGGCGCCCAGGCCGCCGAAGAGCAGCAAGCAATCTAGACGTAAACCATATCAGTGGGATAGGGCAGTGCGAGTTCCCCGGCCCGTTCCCACCTTCCCCTCTCCTTTCCTTCGTGACTGGAGCACCCCACCTTTGAAGCCGGCGCGACGTTCAATTTAAACGGCTCCTTCCCCTGCAGCCCACCCGCGCCACTCCATTGGACCCCCAATTTGCCCGCTGCTTTTCTCGTCATCTTCGCCCTGGGCCCTCTACCGGAAAGCCAGCGAATACCATTGACGCAGCTGGAACGAGGCTACAAGCACACCCCGCTCGCACCGCACCGCACCGCACCGCACCGCACCGCCGCTACTTGTACTCTCACCTGCTGCTGTGGTCACGCCCAGTACAAACAAACCCCTGACGCCCCCAAAAGTCGCGTCGTGTCACAGCTCCCAGGAACAAGCATAAGCGCACCCTGGGTTCACTCACTTGCTAACGCACACACCTCCTGAACCTGCGGTGCCGGCCCTTTCTTTTGCCTTGCCGTCACCGAACCGGCCTATGACCTGGGGTGCTGACCGGCCGGGGTTTTAGTTGAGAGGTAAACTTTCTCTGACCTGCTTCGTCCAGCCGAACCTGGCATTCGCTGCTTGGGTCTTCACCTTTACGAACCCATTTCCCATACGTGCCTCGAACCACCAGCACGTGTTTCTTCGTTGTAACCTTCTACCAACCGGACGCTGCTGTGCACTCAGGCTCGTTTGACGGCTTCCTGCGCAGTCCCTTCGTCTGCCCTGCACATGCCTAACTGCGACATTAGTTGTCTCTGTTCCCCTCTTGTTGCCCATCGCGCAAAGCTCGCGGCACTTGGCTGAGCAACCTATTATTCCCATCCGGTCACTACCACACCCTCTGTCGGCTCTGCCAAACCCCCAGAAGCCCAGACTTTGCACTGTCTTCGCTTCTTCAGCCGAACCGAACGCGCGACTTTCTCCCCAACCCAGGTTATGGCCACGGCAAACGAGGAACCGCCCTCTTCCCGATGTGATTCGCCCTCGCCCGAGATGTCACCAACTCCTGCCATCGGCGCTTGCCCCGAGCTGTCCCGCTGCGTGTCAATGGCCTCCTCCACCTCCCATGGATCCGCCACCGACGGTGCCTCTCGCGACTCTCTGGGAAGCTTTCAAGGCAGCTCGTCCTCCCGACAGTCCTCCGGGGCATACAGCCGCCGCTCAGATATAAGCATCGTGTCCCCACGGCAGTCGACATACGGCGGCAAGGAGGGCGTAAGCCGCTCTTCCAGCCGCCGCCGCGGATTTGTACGCCCGCAGGGGACCGACTTCGCCGCGAGTGCCCGGCATAGAGAGAGCGTTCTGAGCCTGGGAAGCATTGCCCATCTGCAATACTACTTTGCGCGCACCGGTCTCCTCGACGGTAAAGGCGCGCAGTTGGCAAGGAAGAACAAGGCGAAAGGGGGGCTGGATCTCTCGTCCGTCAGCAGCTCAAGTACATCGTCACCAAGGATGCTTGATTCGGAGCGAAGCAGCCCGGAACTCGGATCTCACTCATTTGATACCGGGCCCATGACGGGATCGCCCACGGAAGAGGATGACTACTATTCTGACGAGTTGGAAGAGGACCCGGATGTTCTGCCGCCCACTGCCAGCACCTACATCCACAGAAATAAGCCAGTCCCGAAGCCGCCGACGATACAGGAGTTGAAGGCGGACCTAAAGGGTTCTCTTGACAAGGCCGCGGCGGCAACAAGGCGCGCCAAAATCCACAGAGAGCCGCTGCCGGAAATCCCCGAGAGGAAGCAGGAAAACCAGAGCACGCCTAAGAAGGGTCAGGGCCAGGGCTGGCACGAGGTTCAGGGCATGCACATTCTGGATGTTATGACGCTGGCCATTCGCGCTGCGAGGAATTATTACACGGCCCATGAGGTTCCGGAGCGGCTGGATGCCATCAAGTCTGAGAAAGAGATCCGCGCAGAGTTGCTCTCTGTAATGGAAACTTTGAAGCAGATGGCGACCCGCAACTGGGCCGGCGGAATGAGGGACGAGGAGCTTCAAATTCTGGATTCTTGGATTCGGGGGCTGTTTGACATGCTCAAGAAAGAGGAGGAGATGGAGGAGGCCGAGAAGGCGCAGCGCAGTACTTGGACCTGGCTTTCGGGCGATTGGACAGACAAGGAGGTCGAGCGAGAACTGGCCTTTATGACATCGCTCGATCCCTCTGCTGGCCCTCTACCGGAATACACCCCTGCGGCCGACGCGACCGAGTTGCCCACGCCCTTCCTCGAGACTTGGCAAAATGGCATCCGGCTCGTTGAGCTACATAACGCTGCGGTCAAGAGGTCGAAGCGTCGGTTCGGTCTGATCACATCGTTCCACACCGACACAGACAAGCCGTACCGGTGCGCCGACAACATCCGCTACTGGGCCAAGGCAGCGGAGCTGCGTTGGGAGGTCCTTCTGAAAGTGGATGCTCTCGGCATCGTCTACAACAACTCTCCCGAAGTCTGGGTTAACTTCGAGAAGGCTATCATGGCTTGGAGCCGCAAGGTCCGCGAGGAGATAACGCCTGAACTTCTGAGCTGAGTTGCGAGTCACCCTCAACCGGTTGTCGTCATTACGATTAATGCACCTCCTCAATACCCGTATTTTTTCCTGGAGTTTTAAAGGTGGATTTTGAAATTTGCCTCGTTACATTTACCCACCCACTGGAGGGTTGAAATTTACGCAACACGCATATGCGTTTACTACCATTACGCATCTTATCACATCAATACCTAGCTTTTAAGACGAAGTAGATCCGAGTATGAGACGTTAGGTCGTCGTTATCAAAATGCAAGATAGAGCACTCAGGCGTTGGACAGTCTATTATTGTTTTTTGTTTTGCCATTCATACTACACACTCGGAGGTCATTCTTCCTAATTGATACTGGTGTACGATCAGTCGCTTCATCCACACTTCTGGCACCGGGTATTTTTGTGATATGCAACGTGCCTTCCCTTCTCTATTGCCTATCTGACCAGACTTTGAGCATTGTGAAGCTTGTCCTCGAATCATACTGCGTCTCATTTGATGGCCTTCATTGACAAGACGAAGCGTACGTACCGGGATAAGCATTTTCCGGAACCGAGGTGACAACCAATTGTGGCCCAGCTGGCAGAGCTTCAGTGGCTGGCTGTATGGCGCTAGTCGGAGCTGAGCCGTGCTCTGGTAATCAGAAGGCTGCAGTGGGAGGTACGTCGACCTCCGAAAACAACGATCCGATTACAACAAGCTATCCACCACCGCCCGACCGATCAGCCAATCTTCCTAACCCCCGATTCTGACCTGTTTGCGACGCAGCCACTTTATCCATTCCCTCGACGAGAAGCCGACAGTACATCTCTAGTTCTTTTCCTTTTGCCTTTTATCAATCACATAACCAGGGATGTCTTCCGACGACGAACGCCAGAAGGCTCTCGACTCCTACCGGGCCAAGCTGCTCGAATCCCGGGAGTGGGAGGCCAAGCTCAAGTCCCTCCGGCTCGAGATCAAGGACCTGCAGCGGGAGTTTGACAGAACCGAGGACAACATTAAGGCGCTGCAGAGCGTCGGACAGATCATCGGCGAGGTGCTCAAGCAGCTCGATGACGAAAGATGTAAGTGATAGTAGCATGGCCTGGCCGTCCTTCGACATCCGGGGATCCTCTCACCCACCCCCGCCACCATCATCGCTGCCTACCCAAGCACCCCTTCCCTCGCCCCTCCTTTGAACACGCAAAGACAATTCCCGCTGACCACCGCTATTCCCCTTCTCACAGTTATCGTAAAGGCGTCGTCCGGTCCGAGATATGTTGTCGGATGCAGATCGAAGGTCGATAAGGTCAAGCTCAAGCAGGGCACGCGAGTGGCTCTCGATATGACGACACTCACCATTATGCGTATGCTTCCCCGAGAAGTGGACCCCCTCGTTTACAACATGTCGCTGGAGGACCCCGGTCAAGTCAGCTTCGCCGGAATCGGTGGCCTCAACGACCAAATCCGCGAGCTGCGCGAGGTCATCGAGCTGCCGCTCAAGAACCCCGAGCTCTTCCTGCGCGTGGGTATCAAGCCGCCCAAGGGTGTCCTGCTGTACGGCCCCCCCGGTACGGGCAAGACGCTCCTTGCCCGTGCTGTGGCGAGCAGTCTCGAGACCAATTTCCTGAAGGGTAAGTGCAACGCCGAACGGAGGAGCCTGGCCCACGGCATGCTAACAATGACGGATTGCAGTGGTCTCTTCAGCAATCGTAGACAAGTACATTGGAGAGTCCGCCCGCCTGATTCGTGAGATGTTTGGCTATGCAAAGGAGCACGAGCCCTGCATCATCTTCATGGACGAAATCGACGCCATTGGTGGTCGCAGATTCTCGGAGGGAACTAGTGCGGATCGCGAGATCCAGAGAACGCTGATGGAACTGCTCAACCAGCTCGACGGTTTCGACTACCTTGGCAAGACCAAGATCATCATGGCGACGAACCGACCTGATACCCTTGACCCCGCCCTGCTCCGTGCCGGACGTCTCGACCGTAAGATCGAGATCGCCCTCCCGAACGAGGTCGGCCGCTTGGAAATTCTCAAGATTCACGCCTCCGGCGTGGTGACGGAGGGCGAGATCGACTTTGAGAGCGTGGTAAAGATGAGCGACGGCCTCAACGGTGCAGATCTGAGAAATGTTGTCACAGAAGCGTAAGTGCTCCTTCTCCACCCCCTGCTGCGCCTACAGAACAGCAGCGGCTAACACTAAGAACACAGCGGCCTGTTTGCCATCAAGGACTACCGAGACGCGATCAACCAGGACGATTTCAACAAAGCGGTACGCAAGGTCGCCGAGTCGAAGAAGCTGGAGGGTAAGCTCGAGTACCAGAAGCTATAAGGTGACGGAGCGTCTCGTCATGACCGTTTCACAGGAGAGAGGGGGGTGAGAGAGAACAAGACCTTACGGGTGATGGGCGGAGCAGAACCAAAGGAGAAAAGACGTTTTGGAAGAACGGCTGGGACGAAGCATTATGGTTCTTGGCCGCTCTTTGGGGGTCTTTTTTCTTTTAATGTGTTAAACAATGTACAATACCCGAGTCCATGGTTTGGGGTTGTTTGCAAATGGGGCATCATAGAGACGTACGGAGTGGAATAGAGGCAGCTACGAGAGCCCCAAGAATCAGTATGCGCGCTGGCATAAGCTAGGCATGCCCCATATTTCGCGATGGCCGCGGCCTCTTGCCTCGACAGTATCTCTCCCCGTGTCCTGATAATGGTTGATCCGTCAAGGGGTTCCCTCCTCGCAGCACGATCTGCTTTTGGCATCTGCTTTGAGATGAAGTGCCAGACTAGGATCAGTCTGCATCGAAGCGCCTTTCGTTTGTCCCCCTGTCCGAATATTTTGGGGGAAAGCCGAGGAGGGGTCGCTGGTCGTAGTTGGGTGGCGGAGAGTTGGGTAGGGGCTCCGTTCTTGAGGATATCGATGGTGCACAGCCTCAACTGGGGGAGAGAGGCTAGTACGGGAAGCCCAGCCGACGCCACATCCCGTTGCACCAACAGAAAGACAACGCGTATACAGTAGGTTCCAACCACGAGGACCGATTTTTTCAGAAGCCATTACTTGGACCCCCCTTTCCAGAGCCCGCCCCCCCGGGGAAGAAAGGGGGGCGGCGGGCAAGCCGTATCGGACGAGTTCTACGCCGTCGTAGTCGTCGCTGCCGCCGGCGGCGACGTAGGCCTCCCAACCATCCGATAGACCCGTATCCGTACGCTGCAACAGTAAGCGGTAGGGCTGGAGGGGGGGGGTACGTCCGTGGGAACATTCATTCCAGAGCCACAGGTGGCTAGGGGAGGGGACTATGGGTGTGTGTGGGTTCCCAGGTGCCTTTCTCGAAGCTTGGCTTGGCCTGCTTGCCTGCCTGTATGCCGGACAGCCGGAGAGACAACGTCTCGCGAGACGTCTCCGTTTCCCGTACTAGGAGCTTTGCACCCGGAGACGAGCAGGAAGAGCACAGGCGGGGGGGAGCACATGCCTGCGATCCTGGCTGACGGGGGGAGAAGGTCCTGCGTCTGCAATTCGACGAGCCCGACCTGTCCGCGTAAATGAGGCTGCTGGATTTTTGCTGCATGCGGATAGCGGGGGCTCCAGCTGAGACCATCCAGCACGGCAACGAATTCAGACAAAGGTCAGCCGCATGCTTCTCGATGCAAGCTCTTTATTCATGAGATTTGGGCATAGGCGAGACAACTAGGCCACTGCAAGCAGGAAGTCGACTGCGGAAGCACACCATTGTACGAAGCGGCGGCAGGAACCAGCATCACGGATTCTTCTAGGCTGCATGGTTTACTCATAGTGGAAGGGGGAGGGGGGTCTCCAAAACAGAAAAATCCGATGAAGTCGTTGCGATACGATGGTTGGTAACCGCGTGACCTGTATTATCCCCGACCATCCTACGAAGCTCAAGGGACCGCGGAACATGGCACCCACCTTGGCATCTGACATCAGAAAGCTCGCTCCAGATTGTAAACTTGGGAGACGGAGCGAGCGGCTGTACCAGGAAACGCGCGCGCTCGAGGCTGCTGGCCTTCGGAGAAGATGCTAGATGGTGATTTGCAGGAGAGGCCGATCTGACAGGGTTCTCTACTCGGTGCGAATTGTTATTTTTGGACAATATAATACAGTACGACGTACGGAGTACAATACGGAGGGGACGACAGGGCGCCCCTTTTCTGGGCCCGTTCTCTCGATGGTCATTGAGGTTGTACCTGTCTTAGCGCGTCGCTCTATTCTCTTTTTCTCCCTTCCTCTTCGTACCAGGAACAGAGGGCGCCCCACACCCCCCTGTCTGACCCCCCTCTATGGATGCAACCAGCAACGGAGCCAAGCAGCAAGAGTTGGAATCAGGAGACTCGAGCTGGGGGATTTCCCGACGCCTGCTATTGCAGTGCCGACGATCTCCGCTGGATTCTTTTTTAGCGCTTGACAAACAGGGTGTCCGTGGCTCTCTGATTGGGGATGGGAACCAGGCAATACGAAGGGGACGGGGTCGGGAAAGCTATGATGACGGTGACGCAGGGCATGGCCAGGGATGAAGAAGGCAGATAGCCGTCCGCATCAACACACGAGAAAAAGGGGATGTCTCTGAGGCAACACCAAGAAAGGGTTTGATGACCGAATCGGGGTGGCTTGCGACGAAGACGTTGAGCTAGCAGCGGCTTTTGCTTTTGTCTCGTGCCGTGTTTCTGCCTCTGGGTTTTGTTGTCTGATTGTGTACTCCGTATACCCAAGTAAGCCAGGTTGTTGTTGGGATAAGGCGGTCTTGGATCGGATCTTGGAGTTGAAGTAGGTAGGCAGGGGATTGGACGAGGTGGGGTGGGGGCGCAAGTGGTGAGGTACCTACCTCAGTAGGTAGTGTGTGCACTTGGGGGTGTGTGCGCGAAAAGTACACCAAGGCACCACCTTACCAGGCTAGGTTGTTAGTTGGCAGGGTAGTGCAGGACGCGAGAGAGAGAGAGAGAGAGAGTGTGTGTGTGTGTGTGTGACAGAGCTTTCGGGTGTTGTTAGCAAGACAGTTAAGGGCTGACCACAGAAATGGGCTAGCCGAGGAAGGAAGAGAAGGTAGGGCAAGGGATCCCAAAGGCTGACCATGATATTGGCGAAGGAGCAAAGTGGGATGCGGTCAGAGGAGACGAAGATGAGGTGGGACGCTGAGCAGCGAGGCGGCGGCAGTAGTGCGGGAGGCTGGAAGCTGACTATGGCTTGGCTGTTTTGGCTCCTGCCTGCTTGTTGCCGAGTTTCCATCGAGAAGAGCGATTGTTGTTGGCCTGCTTGACTTGGGAAGCGCAGCGTCAGACGGCAGCGCAGCGACTTTGTTGTCTTGCTTTCCTAGCGGCCGGCTCTGGAATGGAAGTGACGAGAACAAACAGAGTTAAATGGATTGTTGGCTACGCCGGCTGCCATCTCGTCGCTTGAGTGTCTAGACGCACAAGAGCCGAAGAATGGCAGATATCCCGGTTGTTTACACTAGATGTTCTGATTGCCCGGCCGTACTGCTATACCCGTAACAGCTGGTTCGGATGAAAAAGCAAGTCTCCTCCAGAGGTGAGATGTTGTGGTGGTACGTATCGAGGATGATTTCTCAAAAGCTACTTACATATGTAGGTAGATATCCGTACATACATACCTACCTAGGTACCCACGAAGTAGTGTAGCAGCAGCTGGGCGGCTCAGCCAGTAAAGGACACTGCAACCCACCCAGGCTACCTAGGAGGGCACCTTGAGGGACGTGGGACTATGAATGGAGATGAAGGCGGCAGGAAAGTAAGTGATGGTGGACGGGTTCATGCTCCTGCCTCTTCTGCGCCAGCTGTCCGTCAGAAGAAACAAAGTGAGAGACAGACAGACAGCCTCCGGGTAGGATCCTGGCCAGTCATCAGCCCGGATCAGACAACATGCCAGTTTCTGGATGGTTGTTTCTATCAGCCTAGATATGCACGGATTTTTGCCGGTTTGGGCCTCCAACTAGATGTGCAGTCAACACAAGGTTCCTAGAGAATCGCGATGCTGTTACTGCAGGCAGGTGGTGCCAGCAGGAACTGCAGCTGTTTTGTTGTTGCCGGTGAGGCGGGGAGGGGAGAGGGAGGGGTCCTCCGCAAAACCTGCCCCTCACCCGCCGCATTCTCAGCTTTACCAGCGGCCTGTCTAGGCACAGGTTCGCGTTTCCCCCTGATCCGCACCCAGCGCCTGCTTCCCGCTCGCGATATGTCAGACAACGCTTGGAGTTTTGGGGAGCGAAGCCACTTGGAACCCAGCACGCCCCAAACAACCTACCTGCCTACAGGTAGGTACCAAGCCAAGCCCATCCGGACGCTGTACCTTGCCCAATAGTGGTCCAGGCATACAAACCAACAAACGATAACGATGACAACACAATGCCGTCCCTTTACCTGGTGACCTCAATATCATGAGAAACAAGAGCTTGCATCTGCAGTCCATACCCATACCTCAGCCTGCCTAAGCAATTATAAGACTTGCCTACGCATTCAGAACCTCCTCGTCTTCTTCACCGGCCAAAAACCCAAGCCACTTGGGCTCTCGAATACAGTATTTTTTGACGTCTATCTGCCAAATCCACCAGTGCTTGGTGCAATTGCTTCTAGGATTCTTGATTCCTTTCTATTAGGTCTGGGAGCAGGTACCTGGTTCTCCCTTCATCTTGGCTTCATCCTTCCTCTTCGTCCTCGCCCTCGCCCTCAACCCGTACCGCGCCGCGCCCTCTCCCATCATCCACCGATACGAGCACGCCCCTGCCACACCCCGCCCGCCACCCCCCGCCCACCACCACGCCTCTGGGCGCCACTGCGTATTCTCTCCACGTACACAATACGCTCCCCTCCTTTCGTTCTCCGGCCATTCGACCAGTAACACATAAAGCTGCTCAATTCCCGCCTCCTGAACTTACTTGGCTCTTCTCACTCTCTCTCGACTGAACTATCCGTCTCTCTCGCTCTTCTTGATACCCCTCACCGTCTCCTCCACGCCCCCAGTCTTTGACTTTTAAGTTTTTGTCGGTCTCTTCTATTGCGTTGATTCAATATGTGGTACGTCTAACCCCAATTCTCTCCCCGCTCTCTAGCAAACTTGCCCGCAGGCCGTCCTCCCCCTTCCACCTAGCGTTTTTACCAGCTGAAAACGGACCGGACACGGCCGCCGCGAACGCAATTTTCATCATAGTAAGCAGTAAGCTGACGGGAAACTCTCAACAGTGGCATTTTCGGCTACGTCAACTACCTGGTGGAGAAGGACAGGAAGTTCATCCTCGACACTCTGGTGAACGGTGAGTACACCGCCTCCCCTTGAACAACTCCCATTGGAGTTTTCAAGCTCCACCCACTCCTAAGAACCACTTAGCTGACAAGCCGCTGTCTCTCAGGTCTGTCTCGTCTCGAGTACCGCGGATACGACTCGGCCGGTCTGGCCGTCGACGGCGACAAGAAGAACGAGGTTTTCGCCTTCAAGGAGGTTGGCAAGGTCGCCAAGCTCAAAGAGCTCATCGCCGAGTCCAAGGTCGACCAGACCAAGTACTTCGACTCACATGCCGGTATTGCCCACACTCGCTGGGCTACTCATGGCCCCCCGTCTCGTCTGAACTGCCACCCCCACAGGTACGCGTGCACCTCCGAAAGGACAATAGCAGACTCTCCCCATGAGCCGACTCCTCACCCACGACTCTGCAACTAGCTAACCTTGCCTCGTTCTGCAGGTCTGACCCTACCTGGGAGTTCACTGTCGTCCACAATGGTATCATCACCAACTACAAGGAGCTCAAGACTCTCCTGAGCACCAAGGGCTTCAAGTTCGAGACCGAGACCGACACCGAGTGCATTGCCAAGCTCGCCAAGTACCTCTATGACCAGCATCCCGAGGTTGGATTTACAGACTTGGCCAAGGCTGTCATACTCGAGCTTGAGGGTGCCTATGGACTCCTGATTAAGTCCGTCCACTACCCTCACGAGGTCATTGCTGCCCGCAAGGGTTCTCCTCTTGTCATTGGTGTCAAGACGCAGAAGCGCATGAAGGTTGACTTTGTCGACGTCGAGTATTCCGAGGAGGGTGCTCTCCCCGCTGAGGCTGCCTCGCAGAACGTTGCCCTGAAGAAGCAGGACAACTTCTTGAACCCCAACGCCCTGCTGGGCGCTCCCGACAAGTCCCTGCTGCACCGCTCGCAGTCGCGCGCTTTCATGACCGACGATGGCATGCCCATGCCTACCGAGTTCTTCCTTTCCTCTGACCCCTCCGCCATTGTCGAGCACACCAAGAAGGTCATGTACCTCGAGGACGACGACATTGCCCACATCCACGAGGGTTCGCTGAACATCCACCGTCTTAAGAAGGCTGATGGCAGCTCCAACGTGCGAACCATCCAAACCCTCGAGCTCGAGCTCCAGGAGATCATGAAGGGCAAGTTCGACCACTTCATGCAGAAGGAGATTTTCGAGCAGCCCGAGTCCGTCGTCAACACGATGAGAGGTCGTCTCGACACTGCCAACATGACCGTCACCCTTGGTGGTCTTCGGTCCTACATTTCTACCATTCGTCGCTGCCGCAGAATCATCTTTATTGCATGCGGCACTAGTTATCACTCATGCATGGCCGTTCGCGGCGTGTTTGAGGAGCTGGCCGAGATACCTATCGCCGTGGAGTTGGCCTCCGACTTCCTTGACAGACAGGCGCCCGTCTTCCGTGACGACACGTGCGTCTTCGTTTCCCAGTCTGGTGAGACCGCCGACTCCCTCATGGCTCTGCGCTACTGCTTAGAGCGTGGTGCCCTGACGGTTGGTATCGTCAACGTTGTCGGTTCCTCCATCTCCCTGCTCACCCACTGTGGTGTCCACGTCAACGCCGGCCCCGAAATCGGTGTCGCTTCTACCAAGGCCTACACTTCTCAGTTCATCGCCATGGTCATGTTCGCCCTGTCCCTCAGTGAGGACCGCGCCTCCAAGCAGAAACGTCGCCAGGAGATCATGGAGGGTCTTGCTAAGATCCCCGAGCAGATCAAGGACATCCTTACCCAGGATCGGGCCATCAAGGAGCTCTGCGCCAAGACCTTCCAGAACCAGAAGTCCCTCCTTCTGCTCGGCCGTGGTGCCCAGTTCTCTACCGCCCTTGAGGGTGCCCTGAAGATCAAGGAAATTTCCTACCTTCACTGCGAAGCTGTCATGTCTGGCGAGCTGAAGCACGGTGTTCTTGCACTTGTCGACGAGAACCTGCCCATCATCATGATTCTTACCCGTGATGACCTCTTCAAGAAGTCGCTCAACGCCTACCAGCAAGGTAAGCCAAACCACCTGCGTACTAAAACCCATTTAAACCAGATGTTAACGATGTTAAATAGTCATTGCTCGTGGTGGCAAGCCCATCGTCATTTGCAACCCCGGCGATGAGGAGTTCAAGGCCAACGAGGCTGAGAAGATCGAGATCCCCAAGACCGTTGACGCTCTTCAGGGTATCCTCAACGTCGTTCCCCTGCAGTTGATTGCCTACTGGCTGGCTGTTATGGAGGGTCTGAACGTTGACTTCCCTCGCAACCTGGCCAAGTCTGTCACCGTCGAGTAGGCTGCTCGTACGGGATGATTGAAGTTTGGTTTATTTTCGGCTGCTTCTCGCCATAACGGAGTTGGGTTGCCAAAAGGGATCCGGCTGGCCCTTGGTGCTTTTAGTGGCATAGCAGGCTGATTAAGAGGTACAGGCCGTGTCAGATGTGAAGCCCTCTTTGTGTATTACTCGGGGTATCGCGGGAAAATGAGGGAAAGGTGCAGCATGGGTAGATTTCAAGGTCCTGTCAAGATAAAGGAGCGTGTTTTTTAGGGAGAGGTTAAATGCCGCAGCAAGGCAACCTGAAGAAGCAATGAAAACAAATAGCGTCTATTTCATTTATTGATACATTGGCATGCCTCAAGCCGATCCGACTGATGAAGCCGTCATCGCGCCTCCCCCCTCTCCCCCCGCAAAGCCTTTCAGCAGTGTCTGTCCCCACATGATCAATCGTCAAGGGTCAGCTATCCCAAGTAACCAGTCATTGTCATTTCAGTCCTTTGTCTCTCTATTTCCCAAACTTGCTTGCCTCGTGACTCCACTCTAGACAACCTGCGTACCATAGCCACGGATCCGTTCCGCAAACTTCCAGCTCTGCTTCTCGAGCTTCTCATTCTCTTTCAAGTCAACGCCGTCCTTGGTCACGACAGCGATTGAGTAGTTGTCGGAGCTGCGAGCGTCGCGGTAGAAGAGCACCTTCATGCACTCCTTGATGACCTCGATGGCTTGCTCCTTGGACAGTTTGGCGGCGGCCTCCTCATCGGGGACGTAGCGACGCATGATGGGTTGGGCGAGAGCCGAACCGAAGCCGGTAGCGAGCGAGGGGGAGGTGAAAGTAGTGCCGAGGAGGTCGGCGGCAGCGAGGAAGGGCTTGTTGCTGTCGTCAAGGCCGGCGACGAGGAGGTGGTTCCAGAGGGGGTCGAAGTCGGAGCGGCGCTTGTAGAGGAGCTTGGAGAGGTATTTGTGCAGGTTGGCAGCGTTGAGACGGGCGGGGGCGTCAGAGGACAGGTCGTACGACTCTTCAATATCGAGACCCGAGAGGTGGCGGTCGAGGTACTGCATGTCAGAGACGTCGCCGCCGAAGCCGACTACGGTGGAGTTGGCAAAGGTACGGAGACGCTTGACGTCGGTGAAGCGGGCGAGGGAACCGTAGGATGCTTAATGGAGTTATCAGCCTGCGTGCTGCTGTTGGTTCAAAGGGGGAAAATGGATGGTGGTGACGTGGGAGGACGGGAGACAAACCCAGGTTGTCGGCTGCAATGACGACACCCTCACTGAACTTCATGGCTATGACTGATGTACCCGTGACGATGGGGGACTGTGTCGCTTGGTTGGGACCGTTGAGGTTCATGTAGGAGCCATCGTAGGCACCGTAGACGTCGTCTCTGGGCTGCGAGGAGGGGTTCAGTCTGTTAGTCCATGATGCGAGGCTTGAGAGGATGGAGGGGAGGGGAGGGACTGCATACACGGCCCCAAGCTTGCGGTCTGTGGTCCATTATGGCTGGTGTTGCGTAAGTGTGTGTGTAGTCGCGAAAACTGTGAGATTACAACCGTGGGAAAATAACGTCGTGCGGAAGGTCGTGAAGGGTTGGCGATGATCGGTCAATATGGGATGTTGAATGAAGCTTGGGGGTTGCTGTGCCGAGCTTCGCGTCCCTATGGATGCCTCTCCGGCTACGTTGGCTGTACCAGGCTACCAGCTGCTGCTCCTGCCGCTGGTGCTTGCTGCGTCAGGGTGGTGCCTGACAATTGGGGCAATAAGTTTGGGGGCTTACCGAAAAGGGTCAGCTTGGGAGCTGCTGAAGTGGGTGACGCATGATTAGTACTCAGTACCTTCGATGAGTGTTAGTCATCTAGCCTTTACAAGTACTCAGTACTTGATAGCTCCAGGGGGTCAAAGATCAAACAAACAAGGAGGTCAGCGCAGTTCAAATCGCATGCTCTGAGTCCCATGCCCCATCATTTCGTCTACACCACGGACGGCTTAAGGTATCGAAAATATACCGACTCCTCCGACTCCCACGATCGGTATCTCCGCCTCGCAACTCGGTCCGTTCTGGCCTGCGCCTTTCGAACCGCCTTGCACTGCATCGCCACTATAACTGCCCTGATAGGAAAGCTCAACAGAACATAACTCCCACCCACAAACACTCTCAAGATGTTGACAGCTATTGGCCAAGCAGCCAAGCAGCGCCTGTTCCTCCGCGCGGCGCCATTGGTTGGCCTGCGGGCTCAACCCGTCGTGCGCGCTGCGCGCCGCGGCTTTTCGACCTCGCAGTGGGCACGTATTCCCGCTGCCAAGGCTTCCTCAACGACCGCGAAGACGAAGAAGAGCACCGAGGCTAAAGACGGCGCAGCGCCGAAGAAGAAGGCCACAGCCAAGACCAAGACCAAGGAGAAGGCGGCGACGAAGCCAAAGAAGGAGAAGAAGCCCGTGCTAAAGAAGCCGGTCAAGGTGCTCACACCCGAGGAGAAGCAGAAGCTCGACGTGAAGAAGTGGAAAAAGCTCGCGCTGCTGCCGGATCCCAAGAGGCTGCCGACCAACAAGTGGCTGGTCTACACAGCAGAGGCGACCAAGGATGTGAAGTCGTCAACCGAGATGATGATGCGGGTCAAGGAGAGCGGCGAGTTGTTCAAGAACTTGTCCTCGTACGAGCTCCAGGTAAGCTCCCAAGCTCCCTCACCTCGGATCTCTCCCATGAAAGTTGCCAGAGAGCTGACACTAATACTTTCTCTCGAATCACAGCGTCTCCAGGAAAAGGCCGACGAGAATAAGCTCGTCAACAATGCCACCTACAAGGCGTGGGTAGAGTCACACACGCCGCAGGATATAGCCGCGGCGAACCGCGCGCGCCTCCGTCTCCGCAAGGCCAGTGGGCGCTTGACCCCTGCGCCCATCCGTGACGACCGCCTGCCTACGCAGCCGGTGACACCCTACGCGCTCTTCATCAAGGCCCGTTGGGCCAGCGGAGATTATGCCGGCTCGCTAGTGCCCGAAGTCAGCAGCCGGATATCCAAAGAGTGGAGGGACCTCTCAGAGTCCGAGAAGGGCGCGTACAGGGATTTGAGCAAGGCGGATAGAGAACGGTACGAGCGCGATGCGCTCGATGTACTGGGACACGTCGTTCGGCGCCGCGAGACCTCCCAGTAAATGGGCAGTTTCGTAGGATCTGCTCTCCCGGAAGGGCGTCAAGTTGTTATAGGCAAACAGAAGCTATGAACTTGATCGAATCTGGCAAGTAACGACCGACTGTGTACAAAGAGGAGATGTAGACGAAGAAAGAGGTGACGGGCCTAATGTTTTTCTGTGTCCTGGCCTTGTACGGAGAGTATAGGATCGCCGGAAAGGATCGACCGCTTGTTCCAAGGTTGAATTTCAAATACCAATGTGAGACAGAAGCGTCTGGCGCACAAAGTGGATTATCCAGCCTGCCCCTTGTATGCAAAGTTCTGAAGCAATACAGGACTCCTGAGTGATGCTATGCTAATCGCAGTGTTTGCGCCGCCGTGTACAAAACATCCCAAACTTGATGCGACGCTCATGTGCTGTGCGACCCAAACGCCTCGCTAACTCGGAAAACGTGCAAGAGATCTGTCTGCCTGTCATGCTACTTTTTCTCTCCCATCTCGCGTCACGTCGTCCGGGCCGTCGTCCATGCTCTCCCCGGACTCGGAATTACCATGCCCGTGGGTGATGACGACAACCTCGCCTGCGCCGTCCACCCAACGCGCCACGTCCTTCTTCAAAGCCCTCTCGCTCGCCAGATACAGAGCCAGGTAAACGTGACCCGCGATGTGGCCCCAGCAGTAGACCCGCAGCCCGGTCCAGTCCTCGGCGCGCTTGCACCAGACGCCCCAGCCAGCGAACCCCTCGAGGATGTAGTCCGTGAGGAAGTGCCACGCGCGTTCGCGTAGCGTGGGCCGCCACCTGGTCCAATCAAGCTGCCAATGGCCTCGCTCGAAGGGTCGAAGTTCCCGCTCCTGCACGATGGGCGCGTAGCGCTTTGAGATGTTCAGCTGACGGGCTAGTTCCCGAAGTTTGGGCGTAAGGAGGTCGTCAGGTGTCAAGTCAGTGGTCCCGACGGGAGGTCCGGCTGGATGGATTTCGAGGCGATCGAGGTAATTCAGGTGCCGCTCGTTTGGGGGGCGTACAGGGCGGTATAAATCTGTAAGAACGGTTCCAACGTCTGATGAGCTTCTGGTTATGACCGACCTTGACTCAGAGATGGGCGCAGATCTTCTGTGCCGCTTTGACGAAAGAGGAGGCTCAGAACCGGCTCGTGTCGGTGATAAAGGCAGTCTCCTTTTTTTTGAAGGCTGACATGGCGTATCTTGTATGACCTGCTCGAAGGGCGAGCTGGGTAAAAGTGGCCGCTTAAATGCAGCAAATGGTGTCCTTTCGACCACCTTCTCTGCCGAATATGCAGGGCTCGTGGTCGCTTCGTTGTCGGCTGGAGGCCAAAAGCTTGATGCTACGAGGGCAACTTGGCCTTCGTCCTCATCTTCATCCTCTTCTTCCTCTGGAGCTGGTGCCGGCGTTCGGGCTTGCTGGATTCCCGAATCTTGTGGAGATACCCCGGCGGCTTGGCTGTCAAACTGGCAAGCCAGGTGCTCGAATAACCGGCTAGGAGATGAGAACTCTGGGAGACTGACGGTATTCAAAGGTTGGGAATCGCCAATGGTACTCGGAGGAGCCTGCCAACTGCTCTGGGTCTGTTGCGGCTCTGGCTCTGGTAGGGACGAGGGTACTATGTCTCTGGGTATAAGTGGCCGAGCCAGGCCTGGTGAGTTCCTGTTGTCCAAAACATTTCTGAATGACAGCTCCTGCGAACGAAAAGAGCCAAATGATCCAAACGATATTGGTGGAGGTGGCGACGGTGGCCGCGATGGTGAAGAGGTGGCAGGCCGGGTTGCATCACTACTAAGGATCGGTGGTGGTGCATTAGACCAAGCAGGCAATTCCGGCAGCTCAACCTGTGAGCTTGGAATGACTTCTTTTGCAATACTGGGTGAAGGTCCGCTTATGATCTTGGTCTGGCTTGTTGGGTTAAAGTCGAGATATGCCTGTGCCAGGGCCCGGTAGCGCGCATCATCGACGGTCCTGCACGGTGCTGTGACATGCACCAAGATCTCAACGTTGGCAGTTGTCTCCATGACGACCTCCCAGCGATTTTCACAAGCGCGGTCATCTCAAAGGACAGGCGCCAGGGTGCACATTAATGATGGATAGCAAACGCGATTATGACAGTAACAAAACGTCAGAGTCTTCAAGTAAGATAATTGCATTGAAGAGAGAAAGAAGAGGATAAAGATAAAGGCGTGAGATGCAGGTGCTGAGGAATGTCAGGTTAAAAGATGAATGTAAAGTTGCAAGTTCCAAGAACGCGCAACTGAGGACCGTGGAAGTCGCGAAGTCAGTGCACGTTGAAGCGGGGCACATGTCTAATCATCAGAAGAGCGAGACTGGGGCGTTAGTTCTAGCCTGCAGCCTAAAGCTAATTGGCGTGCTGAAAAGCTCCAATGTAGCTGTACCACCGAAGATGACACCCTTTGGCCCTAGAGACCCGTACTCAGTACTTAGTACGGATACTCAAGCTGTCAATGGGCAATTTTGAACGATTGGCCGGCCCATCTGTTGTTCTGCGAATGCGTGTGTCCTTACCCCAGAATCTCACTGCTTCAGGGGACCAGACACAAACCACCAATTGACTTGCTCCTTTCCCCAACTTCTTCTCTTCTCCCTGACCCGTGATACCCCTTCGTCCCCGACCCCCGGCGAATTCTCTCATCGAATTCTCTTGGTCGACGACCTCAGATACAGCAGCCATGTCCGAGAAGAAGTCCGCGACCCCCAACCTGGGAAAGGTTCTCGTCATCGGCGGCAACGGCTTCCTGGGCCATCATGTTGTCAACCAGCTCCTCGCCGGCGATCGCTGGGCCGTCACGTCAGTCGACGTAATCGATCTTCGCTGCGGCCACAACCGACACCCCAAAGCCAACTATCATGAGGCCGACATTACCGACGCTGACAGGATGAAGTCCATCCTCGAGAACACTAAGCCCGACATCGTCATCCACACCGCCTCCCCTGCCGCCCAGGGCGACGGCCCCGTCGCCAAGGACCTCTTTCGCAAGGTCAATATCGACGGCACCGCCTCCGTCGTCGCCGCGTGCCAGGCCTGCTCCGTCAAGGCCCTCGTTTACACATCTTCCGCCAGCATCATCAGCGACAACACGAGCGACCTCATCAACGCCGACGAGCGGTGGCCCGTTATCCGCGGCGAGCTGCAGACCGAGTACTACTCCGAGACCAAGGTATGCGCCCACCAAACACACACCCTTCCCCCTCCTTTGGTGCCTTCCCATTGCCGCATAGCGCTCTCTTGCAACTGAGCGCAACAGGCTGACTTGACGTGCTTCTCTCCTAGGCTGCCGCAGAAGAACTGGTCCTCAATGCGAACCGCCAAGACCCTTACCCCCTCGTTACATGCTCCATCCGCCCTGCGGGCATCTTCGGCGAGGGCGACACCATGGTCACGCACCAGATGGTCAAGATCTACCGTGAGGGTAAAACGGGCTTCCAGCTCGGCGACAACGACAACCTCTTCGACTTCACCTACGTCGGCAACGTCGCCCACGCCCACCTGCTCGCGGCGCGCATGCTTCTCGCCACCGCCGGCGCCTCCACCGCCCCCCTCGACCACGAAAAGGTTGACGGCGAGGCCTTCCTCGTCACCAACGACAGCCCCATCTACTTTTGGGACTTCACGCGCGCCATCTGGCGCGCCGCGGGATCCGACAAAGGCACGAGCCACGTCTGGACCATCCCCCGCGAGATCGGCGCCGTTTTGGGCTTCTGCTCTGAGGTCTTCTGCAGCATCATCGGGAAGCCTCCCACGTTCAACCGCCAGCGCAATATTTACAGTTGCATGACACGCTACTACAACATCAGCAAGGCCAAGCGCCTGCTCGGCTACCGCCCCATTGTTAGCCTCGACGACGGCATTAAAAGAGGCGTGCAGTGGTTCCTGGACCAGGAGAAGGCCGGCAAGGTCGGTATCAAGGCATGAATGAGATGAACCATGATGAATGGAAGAAGGTGGGAGCACAGGATACTCTCGCGATGAGCGGCAGGCATGGCGGTTCAAATGAAAAGTGTGTTGATTTCCGTATATATACATTCATACCCTCAGTGTAGGAGGGACTTAATAATGGGGTCTCGACATGGCCATGACCTGGGCAAAAGAAACAAGCTACAAACCGCAATGAACTTTTACATTGCAATGCTATTGTAATTGACAAGTGGAAACATGAAAACAAACACACACAAATGAGAACGAGGACACGTGAAAACACATAAGCACGACATACCTGGAACCTCGTACCTTACTGGAGGGGAACCTGCAGGCAACAACAATCCGTCTGCCCAGTTCGCATTTGTGAGCTATCTGGCTGGTTTGGGGTTGTCTTTACCCCATGCGTTGCTACTTGAAGAAGAAAAAAGACTGTCGCTCACTGCTGCGACATGCAAAAGTTAAGGCAGAGAGAACAGGCGGCTTTTGTTTTCCACCCCCTCCACCTTCGCAACAACCCTCCCATATGCGCGCAAACATGGCGCGCTCTTTGACGCTCTCCCACTCTCTCACTTTCTGAGATCCTCCCACAATGTAATCCGACATCCTCTCCATTCCAACAAACAAGCGAAGCTATAGCGGGTCTCGCGCGCAAAGCCAAGATGTCAAGGCTTGCTGTCTAGCTCGAGACAGTCAATCAAGCAACACTGCCCATCGACAAGTTGGCAAGCCCCTGGGGCCTATACTCCAAGCCAGCCAAACCGAAGCCAAACCAATCCCTCCAACCCTGGTGCCCCTCCACCCCTTCCTGAAATATGGCAGGGTAAAGTCGTGTGAAAGAACACCGGCAAACCGCAGAAATCTAGTTCTGCGCTGATCCGGTGCTTTACTCTCAGAGAAGCCAAAAAAAAGGGGGTTAGAAAGGGGATTTCTTTTCGAAGAAAAATAAAAGAGGCCCAAGCTCTCTGCAAGAAAAGAAAAAAAAAATCATTCATGCCGCCTTGTCGTGAGTAGAAGTCGAACGATAAGGAAATCTTTTTGTCCTTTTGATGAAAAACGGTCGGAAACGCCGCCAACAATGCATGGATATGTGACTCTTGAACCCCTAAAACGCAGGTTCTGATAGAATGCGCAGTAAGTAATGCGAACCGGATAACAGGCCACTCTGTAATGCGTGTGCAGGCCTGCCATCTTCGTGTGTTGCATGGCCAGATTACAAATTTCCGCCAACACCAACACCGTTGTTCTGTCTTCCCCAAACTCCACCAGATTGGCGCCACTCTCTCTTCTGCGCCTCACTAGGGCCCTCGGTATCGGAATGCTCGAATTGTGCTCCCCCGCCATAGGCAGACGGGTTACCGTTTTCTTCTTGCGGTGTTCGCCATCTCTGGGGTGAAGTGCCAGGGTTGACTGGGTTGAAAGGGGGCAAGGGCATGGGCGGATCCTGCACGGGGCGGACACTGCTTTCCTGCTTTTGCCACAGAGCAGGGTCTGTCTCAACTCTTCGGGGCGGTGGCCGAGTCGAGTTGTCGGGCCTGTTAAACACCTCGCTGACTTCACCGCTAAGCCCCGATTTCTGGCCCATGCGGTCTTGGTAACGCTTGAGAATGTCCTTGGTGGTGAGGTCGGCAGTATTGCCAAAGACAAATGGATCGTTGACCAAGTCCATAAGCTCGTCAGGGACCTGTGAAATAAGGTTAGCCACATGGGATCAAAGATAAATCCCAAACTAATCTGCTCACCAAGCACATCTCTTCAATAGAGGTGATCATGTCGTTCACAGCCACAATGGCAAACATAGGATCGCTGTCCAGCGCAGGCGCTTTGTTGCTGTTATAAAGAATGTTAGGCGCAATGACTGTTGCCAGGTTCTTGATGTCCATTCTGGATCCAGCTTCTTCGTCAATCTGGTGGAAAGACCCGGCCCACTTCAAAAAGCAGAACAAGATCTCCAAGCAATCCCGGTGCGCCTTGGGCAGCAGGCAGCAGATGAGATGCAGGTACTGTTTACGCTTCTGGTCGTCTTGAATCTTGGCCACGGCGATCCAGAGTCTCTGAAGCTTGAAAGTCATGAGCGGGTCAGGAAGCTCGCGCAAGTATCGCTTTAACAAAGCGGCAACCTGGACGACGGGCTGGTCCATGAAGTTGATGCTGTCGCAACCTTCGCGGTCGATCCTCTCACATAACTCATTCAGCTTCTTGATATTTCCGTTCTTTCGGAACACACCCTCGACCGACAAGTCCATCTTTCTCATCGAGGAGATAAGATCATCAATGATGGCGGGAATCTTGAGAGTGCCAGGGCCCACGCCGTCTGTCGATTCGGCACCGTCCTTGTCAATGATGACATCGAGCGGCACGCCAAATATGCCCTTCTTCTTGACGTTCTTGGGCCTGTCGTTCTTGAACGCCTTGCCGAGGTTCTTCCAAAAGGTGGGCTGCTTCCTGAGCTCGATGAAACTCAACAACTCATCAAGAGAAAACTCCTGCTCAACAGCAGGCGCCAGGGTCAATACCGCCAGATGGCGCACAATGAAGTATTCTAGTCCTGAAAGCTCTGAGAAATACTTTCGGCCAAGCCGCTGAGGCATCGGATCACCCATGCGGATCTCTGCGTCTCTGCCTGCAGACTGCGATCTTTGGTGTCCTGCGAGATCGGTTGCGGGGGATCGGAAGAGCTCCTGTCGGTTGGGCTTATACTGTTGCTCCTTGACCTGTTCAGCGGCGACGATTCGCGGGATGTCATCGAGAGTTAGGGCATCTTGGTGATTGAACATTTTATCAGTCGTGCCCTCGTCTTTTGGGCCGCGTCTATCTTCGACAATTTGGAGGTCCCCATCGGCTGGTCCCAAGTCCTCGCCTGCCGATCCCGGGCGGACGCTGCGACCCTCAGGACCGTCCATGATGCGCGAGGTTCTCGCCTTTCTAAAGCTGGACGACAAATGCTTGTCAAGACGGGTGCTCCTCAGCCGGCGAACATCATTCAGCGTGTTCTCGTAGGAAGACTCGCGATTGTGCTCCCGCTGATCTCCGGCGTACGATTTGGAGCGATTGTCCGAGTTTAGGTAGGGCGGTTCTCCGGAGCCCAAAGTTCGGGGCCCCTCGCCCGGGCCATACCCATCCATGTTCTGGTCGTCGCTCTGCCGAGGCAAAGCACCATTGCTTCGGAGGATGTCCAACAATCTCGCCAGCGCTACCTTGAGCAGGAAAACATATTGCTGCAGCTTGGTGACATGCTCGAAAGGCGGCATGTCCTCGTTGTTGGCACCGATGCAGTTGTTGCAGTAGATCTTCTTGTCGAACGCATTGTAATTGGCATCTTCCAACTTGCGGCCGATATCCCTGGTGCATCGCGAACAGCTCACGCAGGCGATGTGCCAGCGTCTATCAGAATGCTTGGCACATTCGTCCTCGACGGATTTATTACACAGTGCGCAATGGTCCGAGTCCTTTGCTGAGAGTCGTGTGTTGCCGGTGATGGCCTGGAGAGTGTTGTCGTCAGGATTGACGTTATCCAGCTCGCTGAGATCATCCAGGAATTGATAAATGCCGTCGGAGCTCTTAGACTCCTTCTCGAGGCGCAGCGCTCCCTGCAAACAAATTCGAATGAGAAGCTTGAGGTAGTGAGCAAGACCTGTGACGAGAGACAGTAGCTCTTGCGTGACGCCAAGCTTCCGGGCACCCGTGTCTTGTGTCTTGGACAACAGGGAGAAGAAAGACACTATCTTCTTGCACAGAAGCTTGGCCTCACGTCCGTACGACAATCCTATTTCTAATTTGTTAGCAATGCAGCTTTTTGACGGGCGAAACGAGCGAAACACACCCTTCAACTTCAGCTGATCCATGGAGTAGTCGAGGCGATCAGCAGACTTGAACAGAATTTCAACGTGCCAGATGAACTTCTTAGCAACGAGTACACCGTCGACGTAGGCGCCATTGCTCACGTGAAGAAGCATGTCGGAAATACAAGCCGCGGATGACTCCTCAAAGGTCGACAAGACACTCCAGATGCGATAGACCTTCTCTTCCATGCGCTCCTCCTCCTCTCTGATAATTTCGCGAGTGGCGGGGTCGTCGTTCGCTTGAGGGATCTCGGAGGATTCGCTTGGCTGGGTAAGTCGAACGTTCCAAAACTTGTGTATCATGTAGCACTCGGGATGCCAATGTTGGTTCTGGCCGTTTCTGTAAATCTCCACGAACTGCTTGAGGATCGCAGTTTGGCAGCCATTGCATCTCTGCGCGAACTGCGTGGAGTAGTGGTAATGGCAGTAGACATGGCCATCGTGCTCGTAGTAACTGTCCTGAGCGCCGAAGACAGTGGGGCAGAGGGAGCATGTGAAGTGGTCGACGTGATACTTTCGGTCGAGAGCAGTGATGTAGGAGCCTCGGAGGGCGCCGCCACATTTGTAGCAAAGCAGACCCAGCCGGCGGAAGTAGTCTGTCTCGCAGAGAGGGTACTGTCCCTCGCCACTCTCGTCGTCGACGGGGAAGAACTTGGAAGCTACAATCTGACCGCAGTCCTAGAGAAGTTTGGATTAGCGTGGCCAAGGGGTAACCAGGGAGCACGCCCAACACCTACACGACACTTGAAACAGTCCAAATGAAAGGTCCCGTCCAGGGCGCGCACGAACTGGCCGGTCAGCGGCTCTCCACACTTTTTGCAGATTCTCTGTTGGCCGCTGGCTGACCGCCCACCTCTTCCGTTGGATCTGCTGCGTTCACCGCTCCGTCTCGAGTCGCCATCTCTGCCGGGTGTTCTGGGGCCCGGCGAACGCGAGGGCTGCTGTGTGCGATAATTGTTATCGGGGGTTCTCCGTCCTCCATTCTGCTGCTGCTGCTGCTGCTGCTGCTGCTGCCAACCGCGATCGTCAGGATAGCCGGTGTCCATGGAGGCAGCGGGGTGGGTCGGAAAGCGGTCGTCAGGCGCGCCGTGTTCGTAGTCCGACGCCATGTTACAGTGCTGGTCTTGTCGATGCTCTCTCTACTCGGTAGGGGTCGATTGCGACTCTTGGCTCGTAGGGCGAAATGGATTGGGGAAAGCGGCCCGTCAGCCACAATATGACAAGGTACCAGGAGGGTGCTGGACCCTTGGACTTGCCCCGCTTGTTTTCTGGCGGACCGTCACGTACCGAATGGGTAGGAGATATGTATGTACTGGGGTCGAGAATTGAAGAAAAGGGTCGTCGTCGCACGGCGGCGGTATCGTGCTGCTGGACGATAGTAAATAAGTCGGGCAACGGCGGGCAGCTACTCGCGTGACTGGCGGGAGACGGCTGGCCGCGTCGCAGGCGCTGAGCTGAAAAAGGATGGCGGACGGTGAAAAGTGGCAGTCGGGAGCGGGTTTGAGATTGGGAGTCGGTCGAGTACGAATAGTCGGGGTTCAGGGTGAGGGCGAGGGTGAGGGTGAGGGTGAGAGGAGGATCGGGGGAAACTGGGTCGGGGTCGTCGAGGTTAGGTTGTTGGCTTGTGGCAGTGGAGCGACGACGGACTAGCAGGGCGATGTTTGGAGCAGGAGCTGGAGTTGCTGCCAGCGACCGACCACCTTTTTTTTTTTTTTTTTCCTTGTCTCCCCTTTCTTTTAGTGCTTCTCGTCTCGACCGAAGGAATACAGGCGGGCGGGATGAACAAGAGAGGGTGATCGGATGACACTCCAAAAGGCAGACAGTTCACAACAACAGAGTACCTAGTTCGGCGAGGCTAGGTATGTGATGCAAAACCTAGAAACGTTCTGTTTGGAAGGAGTGCCGCAGTCCAAGTCCAGTACCAACAGCAGCTGAGAAGAGGAAAAAAGGGGCCGGTCAAGGATGGTCAAAGGAGTGCGGGCGAAGGCGCGGTGGTGGTTCTGTTAAGCGGCGTTCACTGCTGGCCGTAGGGAGATTTAGTGTGGGCTCGACCAGCTGCACCCAAAACCCAGGCAGATCCCCAAAGTTGGGCTGCTGTGCTGTTGGGTATTGCTGAAAAGAGAGACGAAGGGCAAGGTGATGGGATGTAGGGGTAACCCAGCGCGAAATCTCTCTCTACGGCTTTTTCTTCTTCCTCGATTTTGACTTTTTGAACCCTTCTCCTGGTGTCTTTTTCACGGTACCTTTCGCCCCGAGCACCGCAGACAAGGTACTTTGGAGGGGCAGAGAAAGGATGCGGCCGAAAAGTGGTATGCACTGCTACCGTGCCTCTCGGAGTAAGGTCCCTAAAAATAAGAGCGGGTGAGGCAGTGGAGGAGGAGGGCGGTAAAGTGAGGAGGAGGATGGATACAACGCAGAGCGGAGCGAGAGGAGGTGGGAAGGGGGGGTGGACGGGAGTAAATTTGGTAGGTACCCAAAGGGTAAGGCACAGCAAGAAAGAGCAGGAAGGAAGGCGCAAGGTACCTTCCCTCAACTTGCCCTACACTGACTATTTCGTACCTTACCTAGGTACGTTATGCTAAGATACACCGGTACCCAGACTAGGTACTCCTCGCTGCTCCAAGGCGCTAAGACTGATGATCGCCGCCTCTATGCACTGTTTGGGTTCTTCAGAGACGCTGGCTTGTGGCGTCAAAGAGACTCAGTCTCTTCTGCGGCGGTCCTATGTACGACGGATACGGACGAAGAGGGAGACTGGCTGCACAAGGGGAAACAATTCATTCCAAGCCATCGGGATTGAGAATCTCATCATTGGTTGCCATAGGTATCTGCACCGCCATACCAAAGTTACCTAGCCATAGGTGCTGCCGAATCATTACAAACCCACCCACCACGTATGTGCCCGCGTGCAAATTGCAAAGTACCGGCTCCCCGCCTCTACCAGGCAATCTCGAACGAGAGGGGATTCGAGCAAAGCGGCGACCAGTCCATCATCAATGCTTTGTGCTGGGGCCTCTGTCGCATCCCCTCTCTTTTCCCGGCGGGAGAACAGGGAGTCCTGCTCCCTCTCACTGGACATGGAAGAGCGACCCGTGATGATGATGGGGATCCAATGATACCTACCTTAGGTACCTCTGCCGTACCGATGTACATAGGTACCTACCTAGGTACTCACATTGGAATTGCATTGCTCCTGCCAGGACGAAGGAGTGGACTCAACTTTTGCGCCCTTTCCCCTCCAATTGACGCTCCAGTCAAGGAATCAGGGTGACGTCCGTGCACGGCCCACGGGCAAAGACTGGAGGGGAGAGGCCCTTCACAGCATTTTTGGTCGCTAGGCCGAGCAGGACGACGGACGAAGGAAGGAGCATCGGGGCTAACCTTCGCTCGAAGATCTTGCGTCACTTTCCATTTCTTACATAAGACACACACACAAAAACACACACCCCTTCAACCCGCCACGGGAGGAATACCATTGTCGGCAAACGTCGTCGTCAACAGGAACTACCTAGGTAAGATATGGTCAAGCTCTCAACTAAAATTAGAGAAATTGAAAAGTTGACCTTGCATCACCTTCACTGTCACGTGAATCTATTTGGCAGAAGCTCGAGTTCGGTCGGTCCTCTCTTCTACCTCCTTGGGATGATCTCGAAACGGCCCCACCTAAATTCTGATATACGAGTTTACTTTAGATAAACGCCCATGCAAGCTTCGGGAGTATTTGATCTGGAGTAACATCGCCATCTGATCCCTAACCAACGGCCCTTCTCCACCCGCAACCGACGACTCATCGCGAATCCTCCTCCTCCTCACAGCCGCTAGAAACCCTGATATTGGCCTTTGAGCTTTGTTTGGCAGCTTTTCCTGAATCTTCCCCACGAGCCTTCTCTCTCTCATCCAGGATACCTCCCCCTCTCGGCCCGTCTGCGCTTCTCCATCCCCGCCCCCCACCTGACGAGCTTATTCTGTATCTCGTGCAAGCTCGGCGCTTCCCTGCTGCATCGTCCGTCGCTGTCCTCTGCTGGCTTACACTACCGTGCCCGTGGTCTGCCTGCATGCAAGTCTGCTCATTATTCTGAACTCGTGGTCCCATGCAATATCATCTGATGGCTTGACCGAGACAACAGTCCAAACAGGTGCCAATCCCAGATCCGTCGTCCGGTATTCGGTCTTTGCATGATCAGACGGTTGGAACGGTACGATGGTCTGTCTATCTGGGCGCTGGCCCAACGTCGTTCGCCTTATTCGCGAACCCGTGATATTCGAGGGTGGAATCCCATGACAGTTCGTCGCACCATCAAAACGCAAGTAGCTATCTGTTCCTTGCACCAAGGATTCCCGAGCTACGCTGGACTCTGTCGTCCCTCCCTTTCCCCTTGATGGCAACTATAGGCCTCTTCTTCATGCTTATCACCCGGCGCCGAGCCTCATGAGTAGGCAGAATGCACCTGGAGCTGCCAATTGTCCTTTATTGTGGCAGGGAATGATTCTTCATCATGGAGACTTTGGGAACAGTTCCTTGATAAATGAGTGGGCCTTTCCCATGACTGACCGAATGTAGTCCAAGTGAGCAAAATCCGTAACGTGCTGGTCTTTTTCTTGACATCAAACCTGATGAGGATCTCGGATTCCTTAGATGCTGGTGCCGAAGGTCGATTGCAGGGATGTAAAACGCCCGACGCATATAGCCGTCTGCTATGTCTACAAGGGTGTTGGTTGTCATATTGTCCTTACAAACGGAACCAAGAAACCCACCCAGGTTTCAGACCGCCGTGCGATGGCGACGTTGGCGATAACCATCTTCCCGCCGTGGTTCCATCATGAGCATTATGAAGGGGAGAAATGAGAAAAGGGCTCCAGCCATGGCTTGTCCGAATTAAAGTGCAAGACGACGAAGGCTCCTCCCTGCTGCCCTTGTTCTCTCTGACATTCTTCCGGTTTGTTCATTGGCTTGTTCACTGTGCTGGTCTTGCTTCAGGCACAGATGTATATCATATTCGGAAGCAGACCAATAGTCGACCACCTCAGCAGGTCCGGAAGTTGGAAGAGTGCCTGCAGTTTGCCAACAAGACTTGAGGAAACGGTAACGAGTGGGGTGTGACTTCCCTAGCATTCCTCCAACAATCTCTCCTGTATCTACAGTCTTCTCGGTCCGCTGCCGACCAGGAATGGCGAGCTTTTCCAAAGGAAGGGCACGAGCTAGGACCTGTCAGGCGTTCGAAGAGCATTTTGCCTTGCAAATCCACGGAGACTCGAGGGTCGTCCAAGAAAACCGACTCCCTAGACCGAATACGGTGACTGTAGTGTTGAATCCACAGGTGAATGGTCGATTCCCAATGATACGGAGCGAGCCCTTCGCAAACCAAGTGGAGTTCCCGATAAGAATAACTATCCCGAGATCCATACAGTATCGTCTCATACGTCAACTCCTATCTCCGCAGCCACCCGTGCCGCCTCCATCCCAGTCCCCATCGTTTCTGATCCATACATGGGACTTTTCAGCAACAAAAACTAGCACCCTCGGTCGAAACATACTCGTGCTCCCGAAGCATCAGTCTGCAAAAGTCTCTCCAAACTTTGCTCAACGCGACACTTCCGCCTCTAGCCGTACCCCGCCCCCCACTTCACTTTGTACGGCTCTTGGGTGTGTCGAAGCAACCATGAACGACGCAGAGGGTCTCGCCATCGCAATCGAGGAGGCCAAGACTGGTGCTTCCGAGGGCGGCGTTCCCGTATGTCTTTGGCCATAGCCAATCCCCGTCAATTCCAATGTCCAAAGCGTCCCAAGCTAACGCCGGCTAATCAACCCCTCCGTCAGATCGGAGCCGCCCTTGTCTCCGCAGACGGCAAGCTCCTTGGCCGCGGCCACAACCGCCGCGTGCAAATGGGTTCCGCCATCCACCATGTAACGCGCTCTCACCCTTTTCTTTCTTTTGCTATCTATTTTCTCTTAATTCTGATGCTATCGTCATCCCCACGAAACCTGATGGAACTGACATAACCCAACAGGGCGAGACCGACGCCCTCTTCAACTCGGGTCGACTGCCCGGCAAAGCCTACAAGGGCAGCACGATGTACACGACACTATCCCCCTGCGATATGTGTAAGTCTTCTGACCCCCCCCGGCCATTTTGGACGAAGACTACGATGATTTATCTTTTGAGCTCTTTACTGACGACGATAGGCACTGGCGCCTGTCTTCTCTACGGCATCTCCCGCGTCGTCATCGGCGAGAACAGAACCTTCCTCGGCGGCGAGGCGTACCTCAAGCAGCGCGGCGTCGAGGTTGTCGTTCTGGACAGCGCCGAGTGCAAGGCCCTCATGGACAAGTTCATCGCCGAGAAGCCCGAAGTCTGGTATGGCTCTTATGCAATCTGAACCCTTTGCCCCCTGTGACTGAGTTGCTCGGCGAGGCAAAGCTGACTTTTCCATGTTCAACAGGAATGAGGATATTGGCGAGGAATAGATGTACTATCGCAATTGTTACGGTATTTTCAGAGGGGGGGAGGCAGAGTAAAGAATAATCACGAGATGGCCAGAAGCTCTGTAAAAGGGTCGGCTGCAGAGACTTTGAATGCCGGCAGCATTGGCAAGCTTCTATTCAAAGACATAACTTCTAACTCGCGCGTTTCTTGGGATGACTTTGTCACAATCCCTTGCCGGTGGCCCTTTCTTGTGACCATCCTTTATCTTAACAATCGAGTGTCAGTCGACACAAATTTTTCTTCACTCCAATGAATATTTTACACCAGACGGGCAAAGTTTTCTGCCGCCCTGCAACTCTGATACCAAATGTCTCAATGAGGACCTTGATTTCCATCCCCCAAAACTCCTGAAAACAGAAACACTAAAGCAATCCGCCTCGAGGCTCTCAGGAGAGCAGGTTACGTAGTGACGGGCTGGTACTTGCTCCCGCTGGTCGAGGGGGTTCATTGGTCGGGCGCATGCTGGGTGTCCTCAGAGGACCTCCAGCGTCATGGGCAGAAGGGCTGCCGTATGGCGCTCTTTGAGGCAGAAGTCCTTGCGCAAATGTATCAGGGCCTCTCGGCTGAGGACCGCCATTAGGCAAGGCATGAGGCGGTCCGTGGGGACTTTGTCGGTAAGGGTGTATGTACGGCGACCCGTGTGAGCCGTGTGAGCCGTGTGAGCCGTGCGAGCCGTGTGATGCGTGTGATGCGTGTGATGCGTGTGATGCGTGTGATGCGTGTGATGCGTGTGATGCGTGTGATGCGTGTGATGCGTGTGATGCGTGTGATCCGTGGGACATGGGTCCGGCCATTAAGGGCGAAGGCGAAGACGGTATTCCGTTATGAGCAGGCTGACCCATATGCCCGGCGGGAACGGCTGTGGACATTGGGGGGTGCGTAGGCACTGCCATCGGCGGAGGACGCAACGTCGATAGAGGCTGGAACGGCGGCGGTCGCTGGGGTGGCGAGCTGTGCCGGGCGGGTGGACGGCTATGCCAGTCTGCATACCTTGGCGCCGGAGGAGGGCCGTAGGGGCTTGGAGCCTGATGAGGTGCCGTCGGTGGAATTGGGGGAGGCGCTGGGGCAGCCTGGACCGGTGGTGCGACAGGAGCAGCCGGTGGGGGAGGAGCCGCAGGCTGCGAGACAGGCGGAGGCGGAGGCGGAGGCGGAGGCGGAGCCGGGGCTACCCAGGCGTATGACGAGAGGCTGCGAGCCCTTGCCTCTGGGCCGGTTGTCGGTGGGCTTCTCAAGGACGGAGGGCCTGGAGGGGGTGCAGCCAGTGCGTGGTGCGGCGGAACAACTGGGAGCGGGGGTACGAGTCTTGCTGCTTCGACGACTGGGGACGGGTCCTTGGGCGGATGGGGGTTGGGTTTCCGCTTCAGCTTCCGGCATTTGTGACACTGGAACTTCCTCTGCTCCACAAACTTTTGAGCCTCCGACCCGAGGCTTCCGTAGTGGCCGTTGGTGAGTTCTCGCTCGTCCGAGTTTTCGATGGACCACCACTTGAGACTGACATCGATGCCACAGGTGATGCAAATCTTCTCGCCTGCTTGATAATCACTTGCTGTTTCATTATTGTTCCCACCGTGTGAAATGCCATTGGTAGGCATGGCTGTGGTTGACGCCCGCCGAGTACTCGGCGTGACAGGAACACCGCCCATCTTGGCAGCATTCGTCATGAGATTGGCCTTTCGGACTGTACCAGTCAATGTAAGATCTGCCTGCTTGTAGCTTTGCACATAAAGCTGGAGAGCATTAAGACCGTCGTCGTTAACAACGTCGTGCATACGATGTATGACGCTCTTTGTCGGGACATGTTCTTTGCACCACACTGTGGCTGACATGACGCCACTTTCGCCATTGATGGTAACAAGGTTGAACTGATCACGACGAGACCCCTTGACAGGAGTGATGTCGAAGCCGAGTAGGTAGCCTTGCTGACGAGCACACTCGACGTGGACTGGTGGCCATGGTTAGCACTGTTTCAAGAGAGGAAGGAATACCACACTCACCAGGACTGCGGCAATTATAGCAGGCAACGCAGGCGCCACCCTTGTGGCTGCAGGCCTTGCAAACCTCATCGTACCTCACTCGAGGAATAGAAGGGATACCTTCAGACGGGCTCAATGCCTTTGCGTTGCCAAACTTGACTTCAGCCGTCCAAACGGCACAGGTAACGTGGACCCAGTTGTTGTCTGCGGTTCGCTTCAGAGGTTCCCGAGGGTTGACTGGTCGGTTATTCTCTTCCTGCTTCTTCCTGTAGTAGTCGGCAGCCTTCTGGGCTTGCTCACGCTCGACTCGCTCGCGCTCCTTCTCCTTCTCTGACTTCTTCTTGGAAGCAGATATCTTAGGCTGCTCAACAAAGTCGTGTTCCGTGTGCTCAATCGGGCACAAGACACACTTGTATTGCTGCAAACATGTCAGCTGTCGGATTAGGCGAAACAAATGGGGGTATTTGACATACAATGGAAACCTGTGGGCTCTTGTCGTTGGCGCACATGTCACAAGTCCATTTGCCGGGGTTTCTGTTATCAACAACTCCGTAGCAGTTGCGGTGTACTGTCAACCGGCACTCCCTGCAAGACAGATGCTGGTCTCCCAATGGCTCCAGCTGGTCGCAGATTGCGCAGGGCATGGTCTTGGGCTTCGGGATCTCAGGTGCCGGTGGAGGGGCCGGTTTCTCAACGGCCTTCTCCTTCTTTTTGGTAGGGGCGGCAGCCGGAGTAGTGTCCGACGCCAGCGGCTCCGAGTCTCTGTCTGGGGCGGAACTCTTAAGCTTCTTGCGAGGTGGCTCGCTTGAGGGTGCCGCAGACACTGCAGTGGCCGGCTCCGGAGCATTGGGCGGCGGAGGCGTGTTCCAGTAGGTGTGCATTTCCTTGGCGGCCTCGAGTTCCTTGAGGAGTTCCTCGTCCTGACGTTTCTTCCAGGCTCGGCCGCCCGCTTGAGCAATCTTCTTGGCCACCTCGTCAACATCTTCCCACTGTATAGCATAGCGCCGCCAGAGCTCAGCACATCTGCGGCAGAGTGCTTGGATATACTGGTTGTTCTTGTCCTTGCTGGAGTTCTTGCCCCCGCCTTCGCTCACGGGAGTCCCTGATGCATTGGGAGCTCGCCTCCACTGCCTCGAGTATTTGGTATGACAGAACTTGCACACAAAGCCCTTCTTCTTGCTGTGCGCTTTGTCGCCGTCAAACGCGGAGTCGTCGGCATCGTCGGCGATATCGTCCTGCAGCTTGCTCGCAGCAACCTCTGCCTTTTTGGCCTCCTTTTTGCTCTTTCTATTCTGAAAGTTGCCCCAAATCTGTTTACCTTGAGGAGTCTTCTTCCAAGTGTAATAATACCGCACTATTGTACCGGGCGGAACGGTCTTGACATGTCGTTTGACGAGATAAAGCTCGGATCCGTACTTCCCGACGCCTTCCTCGAACTTTTTCTGTTCCGTTGCCGTCAGGTCGGGCTCTTTGAAAGCTGATTTGTCCACTTCGGAAAGAAGCTTCAGAGCGCGGTCCTCGCTGTAACCACTGTGGTAGTAGGTTTCCAGCGCGACATCGTGGAGGTTGGTGGAGTTCTTGGGCAGGTTGAATTTGGGCGCCAGCTCTTCCGCCTTCTTCATGTACCGGTCGACTTTGGCCTCCCAGTCCTTGTTCTTCTCAGTCGCTGGAGGTGGGGCCCACAATCGGGTGGCCGTCGCGTTCGGGTCGTCGCTGTCTTCGTAATCTTCACCTCTTGCCACATAACCGGGGGGCTCATCCTGAACCCACTTAGGGCGCTTCTCGCGACGAGACTTCTCAGCCTCCAAAGCCGCCAGCGCCTCCTTCGACAAACCCGGTCCCTTCTTTCCGGTTCTCTTAAACTCAAGAGGCTTTTGGTACTGCACAGGCTGGCCAGGCCATGGAAGCACAGTAGCTTGATGCTTGGGACCAATTCGAGTACTAGCGCGAGGGTAGATTCGGTCGTCGTAATCCAGGGCATCCTCGGGCTTGCAGTGCATTCCGAGGTACCGCCAAGGCCAAAGGCTGGCTTGGTAGATTTGCTCCGCAGTGCCCGTGCGGTGAGAGTCGTCGTTGTCGGCGGGGCTTGTCCGCTCGGTGTCGACATGCATCTCTTCGTCATCGTCATCGTAGAGATCCTCGTCGTCGCCGTCGCCTGCGGGGTCCAGTAGATTAGGTGTATGACGGGCCTCCAATTTGCGTTCCTGGGCGCGGCTGCATGCAGCACAGGACCAAGCGAAGCCTCGCGAAGGCTTCTTCAGTAGCGGTGGCCTGACGCAGTTCATGTGGTATGTCTTCTTACACACAGCACAGTCGACCGAGTCATTGCTAACATTGTGTTAGCGACTCCAACTCCCGTTAGACCGCGGCGTGGGTGGACCAACCTTGCACAGTAGCCGCTGCATCGCTTGCAGAGCTTCACTGCGCTAGTGAACTCTTTTCCGCGACCCTGCTCCACAATAACGAATTTCCAGCGCTCGTCCAGTACTTTCTTGACTCTCTCGGGCACGTTCACGATTGTCGACGTGGGAATGAGATCGTAGTTTTTCTGGATGTATCGGTCGTAGAGTTTCTCGTACCAGAAGCAATCCGAAATCTTTCGATACTCGTCCATGTTGGGAATTTCTGCCTTGTGTAGGATTTGGCACTTGCCACGCAAAGCTGTCAGAGGGCTGATATCGGAATGCATCGTCGCAAACACCAAGCGAGTGTCATTGACCTTTTTCCCGATATCCTTGGGCCTATAGAACCAATTGATGCGAAGTGCATCAACCGGCTTGGTGTTGTCATTCTGCGCATGGAGAAATTCCATGATGCGGCCCAAGTAGTATGGTTCCCCCGGGGGTTCGCACACAAGATAGACATTGTCTGCAATCTGGAATCAGCATGTCATCCTGTTCTAGGAAAGAAGGAAGAGAAGAAAAAAAAAAAAACACCCCGGAAAGAAGTAAAAATGAACAGGGGAGCACAAGGATGGGTGAGTGCGCGTGTGCGGTTTGTTGCTGTCT